CCCCCCCCCCTTTGTGCGCTCGCTCGCTCGCGCCTGCAGACGGCGATCATGGACATCGACATTTGCGGACCTTCCATCCCTCTGATCATGGGTCTGGCATCGCACAGCGTGCACAGCAGCGCGTCAGGCTGGCAACCCGCATACGTATCCGATAATCTGTGCGCCATGTCCATCGGCTTCCTACTCCCATCCGCTTCCTCAGCCGTGATCTGGCGAGGTCCAAAGAAGAACGCATTGATCAAACAATTTCTGTTGGATGTGGATTGGACTGGCGGTTTGTACGACGAGGAGGAGGAAGAGGAGGAGGAAGATGATTTGGTGCGCGTCGATGGGCAAGCGGAGAAAGAGGGACGATTGGATTATATGCTCATCGATACGCCACCCGGAACGTCGGACGAGCACTTGTCCATCGTTTCGCTCTTGCAACCCAGCGGATTGCAAGGTGCGATCCTGCTGACGACGCCTCAAGAAGTCTCTTTGCAGGATGTTCGAAAGGAGATTTCGTTTTGCAGAAAAGTCGACTTGCCGATCCTGGGCGTGGTGGAGAACATGGCGGGATTCGTGTGTCCTGCTTGTCATGGCGCATCCGACGTCTTTTACCCCTCTACCGGCGGAGCAAAGGCCCTGTGCGAAGAGCTGAGTTTGAGATTCTTGGGCAGCGTGCCGCTCGACCCTAGGATTGGGAGATGCTGCGATGAGGGCGAAAGCTTTGTGGATGCTTTTCCTGAGAGCCCAGCTGCAAAGGCTTATCTGGACATTATCGCGCGTGAGTGGTCTTGCCAGCAAATGTTTTTTCTCCAATTGCATTTTTGGGTTGTGGGGGGGTTCAACCCTCCGCGGAATAGGCTCTTGCTTCGTTGCGAAGAAGTACGGCGAAGAGAAGACGCTCACCCGCTACAACTCCTTCTCTCCCTCTCCCCCCTTTCCCCCAAATTTTTCTCCCGAACTTTTTCTTCGATTCGAACACCTTCGCCTCGGACGCAGAAATCCAAGAGCTTTGTCCTTGATCGACGCGCGCCTTTTTAGCGCGGCTCTCGATCGAGAGAGCACCTACTCGGCTCGGTGCCGGACCACTCCTCCTTTGCGCACTGCTTCAGACCTGCTATCTCCATCACACGTGTACAACATCATGCTCTACAGGACCCATCCCCCCCCCCCACCCGCCGAGAGCGGCGAGGGACTTGCAAATAGCATATCCACATCATCCCTCTCCTTGTTGATCCTTCGACTGTTTGCATGTCGCGAGCAGGTGAAAAATGTTCAAGTTTTACGATTGCAAGCCGGGGAGGGGTAAGGGGAGGAAGTTCTATTTGCAGAGCAGGAAGAGTGCAAGTTCTCTGCGCATCAAACCCAGCTGCCTCGACATTCCCACTTCAACGTGAGCGCGGCTTCAAAAGTGTTTGTTTCGGGGAAACTTTCTTGCCTTTGAAACCCTTTCAACTTTCTTCCCCTTTTGAATTCGCAGTTTGGGCCTCATTTTTTTGGCCCTACGAAATCGTCTCCGCCCTTCTTTTGAAAGCGGCAATCATATCCCCCGCCATGCTCCTGCACACATTGCCAGCAACGAGCGCGTGCAGAGGATTGTGAAATGCGAAAGAGACTTGAAAATCCACCCTTGTGCGGGAAGGATCGGTGGGAAGAGGGGTAAAGGTCCAACGTGTGTGCAGGTGCTCGAACAGGTCTGATTGAGCTGTTGCCTATTGGCGCGTGCGGGGGAGTAGAGAAGCAAGTGTGAGTGCCTTTTCGTGTTGCTTGCTTGCTTGCTTGCTTGCTCGCTCGCTCGCGTGCGAAAAGACAACCCCACTCCATTGCCCTTCCTACACAACTCACCTCGACGCTCTTCTCCGGCACACTAACGACTCTACTAGTGTAGCTCTCCGAGAATCCCTTGAAGCCGATGGATAATTGGGCCAAGAAAGCTTTGGAATTGGGCGGATCACGTGCCGAGGAGGTGCTGGGACCGAGGATGGTGGAAGATGTGCAAAAGGGCAGGTAGGAGGAGTAGGAAGGCACATCTTCTACGAGGGCATGAAGCGTTTTGGCGGTGTACCTATGGAGCGTCGGCCGGGAGAGGGGGGGGGGGGGGCAGAAGATGCATCGCGTGAGGGGGGCAAGCAGGATGCCAAGGGGTGGAGGAGAGTGTTCGAGCATATTTCAGTGTAGCTCTACGCACACCAGAGCGGTGTCGAGATGGTCCGGGGCCATGCGTGGGCGACTTCTGCTCTGCCCTACTCACGGAAGGACGATGGATTCGCTCACAGTCTCTGTTCCTTCGGGTCCTGCTCTATTCCCAGCCCCGTCCCCAGCCTTTTGATGCCCACGTCCCCGTGTCTGTGCAAAAGGCGATAATTGCGACAGGTCTGGTAATCTGAAGCATCTGCTTTGACAAGCTCTTCCTGACCGGAAGAGGTGCGCAGTGCGGGCTGAATTGAGATTATGGATGGAAGGGGAGCAGAAGGGAGAGCGGGATGAGGCGAGAGCATGGGTGCGAAGAGTATGCCGATGAGATTCATGAAAGCCTCTTCTACTGCTTGAGTTTGCGCATCCCGAAGACGGGCGGGGGAGGGAGCGGGAGTGGTGGGAGGAGAGGAGGGGTGCACGTGCGCATGCGCATGCGTGTAAAGCTGAACTCTGACTGATTGCACTCGGACCGGCCATGCTTGCCATTCTGCACGCCAGATCGGCCATGGTCACGGCCATGTTCAACGTGATTGTCAGCCAGCTAGCTGACTGATCAGCGAGTGAGCGTAGAGCGTCGGCTCCTGTCTGATATGAGCATGTATGCGCCCACGCTAGCCTTGCCTTGCCTCGCCTTGCCTAGCCTAGCTTTTGCTGTAGTCGAAGCCTTGCCATGCGACAAAGGGGCGAGGAAGCGAGGAGGTATGCGGAAGCTTTGGTCGCTGCTGATGGGTCTGGATGTTGCTCGCGAGTCGAGCGCGAAGAGCTGTGTGCGTGAGGAATGAATGTGAATGAATGAATGAATGAATGAATGAATGACGACTGCTCGTTGATTGCGAACTCGTGACTTGGGAGGTCGAAGAATTTGAATTGTGAATCCTGAACCTTGAATGCATCAATCAGCTCAGCAGCGGCGTGGTCATCATGTTCCATTCAAATCACGAATTCTTGATTCAGATTGATCGATCGATTCTTGATTCTGGCGCGTACGTGCGTGGAGGTTCGTCTGCCTGCCTGCCTGCCTGCCTGCTTGCTTGCTTGCTTGCTTCGCGCGCGCGCGCGTGATTGATCAGCTGCATGCCCATGCACGCACGCCCTGCTTGATTGACTTCGCCGCTCTCGATTCGTCATTCTTGATTTGAATCAAAGTCGTGAGTCACACAACACTCGTGACTCTTTGAGTGGGGGGTCCGTATCAAGAAGTCTGAGTGCAAGCTGCATTCAATTGTGATTCACGATTGCCTGTCTTTGCGGGCGGCTCACGAATGCTCTGCTCCTCCGTACAGAGTCGAGTCTAGTGTCAAGCGTCAACAGAATCGACGATCCATCAAGAGGAGCGCAGCTCCATCACAACCACGTGAATCCAATGGCGAAGAAACGCATCAAGAAGAAGCAGAGGGCTAGAAAGTTGGCGGCAGAGGCTGCTGCCAAGAAGCAAGCGTTGGAGAAGAAGGAGGAGGTGCTTCGCTTAGAGGCCAAACGGGCGAGGGATTTGGCGCTGGCTAGCCTGTTGAGCAGGCGGCAGAGGCTGGGAGGGCAAGCCGAGGGACTGGCTGAAGGAGAGAGAAAAGAGGAGCAGGCGCAACGGGGTGCGCGGATAAGTGCGGTGCCGGGTCGTGAGGAGGCGGAGCCACAGGTGCTGGAGCAGGAGCAGCAGGAGCAGCAGGAGCAGCAGGAGCAGCAGGAGCAGCAGGAGCAGCAGGAGCAGCAGGAGCAGCAGGAGCAGCAGGAGCAGCAGGAGCAGGTCGTCGATGAGGCCGATCAGACTTTCGGGGACGAGACGGTGGATGCTGTCAAACGCGCAGAATTGCCCGATGATGATCACATCATCAAGCGGTCATCCGACGTTCCTCCATCTCTGAAAAAGTGTGAGTCAGGTTGTCTTCTTCCACGGACCTCCCTGTGTCTCTCTGTCTCTCTCTCTCTCTTCCCCTCTCTCTCTCTTGTGCTTCTTCTCTCGGAACCGCGCTGATTCGCTCGCATACACACCCATCCTCGCTCGCTCGCGGACGTACAGATTGGCAAAATAGACATCATCTATTCTCCCTGTTCGATGAGGGACATGGTATTCACTTGGACAGCGAGAGCTGGTACAGCGTCACTCCGGAAGCTATCGCTTCTCGCGTCGCTCATAGATGCATCACTTCCATCATTGCTCATCGACACGAGCGATTGGCCCAAGTAGAGGTGCTGGATGGCGATGTCACGGTGCTAGATGCGTTTGCGGGAGCGGGTGGAAATAGCATAGCTTTCGCTAGAGCTGGCATGCGAGGTGAGCTTAGGTTCAATTTGTCCGTCGTAATTGGACAAGCAGCCTGGTTCCAGCATCAGCATCTGACACGTGTCTCCATTCTTCCTCTGTCTCTTGTCAGTGACGGCCGTCGATATTTCAGCGAGCAAGCTCGCATTGCTCAAGCACAATGCCCTTGTGTACGGGCAAGAGGTGGCGGATCGAATAGAGACCAAGTGTGCAGACTTCTTTGATTATGCGCAAGGATGCCTTGGCGGCGATGGGCGGTTGGCTGTAGAGGGATACGACGCGTGAGTGTGCGCAAGTCTCTGATCCGATCTGCTCCTCACTGGCGCTCGCTGACTAACTTGGACGCGTCTTGCGGATCACTCCAGCGTCTTCTTGTCGCCTCCCTGGGGCGGCGTAGATTACCTCAAGCTGTCCACTAGCTCACCAGCGGACTCGACGTCCGCGGTCAGCCAAGCACCCAGGTACGATTACTACCCATTGCAATCCATCTGCGCGCCGCACGGGCTCGAGAAGATGATCAAGTGCGCATCCAAATTGGATCGCAACGAGCAAAACAATATTGTCCTTTTCCTCCCACGCAACACATCCCTCTGCGACCTGTTCGACCTCGCCCAACGAGCGCTACGAGCCACTGACAACGCCGACGACGATGACGAAGATGCTGGTGCTCTTTCTCAACACTTTTTGCCAATGTCCTTTTCGAGCGTCAAGGATAGTAGGCAGAGCGCCAATGTCTCAGAGAGAAAGATGGACGTGGAAGAACAGTGGATGGGTTGGAAGTTGAAGGGAATCACGGTTTATCTCGGAAGACTCGCTAGCTCGTGGGAAGAACCCTTTAGGGAGGACTATGGATGGTTCGAACATCAAGAATGAGACGAGCGTCGCGCTATGCCTTTGGGGGAAGAAAAGAGGGGGGGAGAGCTGATCGCTTGGACCTCCAAGATGAGCGCGGCAGAATCAATGCCCACAGTGGTGAGGCTTTGTAGTAGTACGTATCACGTTGATCAAGCCTGCCCGACTGGCCTGGACAATCGAGACCTTGACTTGAACTGGGACCGGCAATTGTTGGAGCGTTGACACGCTCAGCGCACGGCCAGCAATATACACGCGCGCAAATTCCAACTCAGCCGGACGATGCGAGAGGCTCAGGAGACGAGCAGGCCAAGACTTTGATTGCGCACGCCCGCGGGCGACAGCGCTTATCGCTTGGCGGTGACGACCAAGGACGGTCTGACAGGAAACCTTTCGCAGCATCTTCCCCGTCCGGTCTCGACGTGGAATCCGGTAGCGCTTCGGTACGTGTCCGACCTGCGCCACTTTACCCATGAGCTGCTTCCTCGCTGCTCTACATTGTCAGCACGACTTTGACGATTCGGCTTTTGGTACGTCTTTGCATTAGATTCGCATGCATCGACGTGCCCAGGATGCCTACGTACTCTACACTACTCAACCCGGCACGTACAGCAGCGTGAGCCAATCTCATTTGGATGCCAAATTGCGCTTTACGGTATGAGTTTGTATTTTCATGCTACACTGCACCGTCACTTATCCTCTGGTCCACAATGCCGGCACTACGTAAAGCTGAGCCGCCAGGTACACTACTAGCAAGATCGAGCGGGCGTATCCTACCTAACCACGACCATACAAGGTTGGTGTGGGATGAATGCAAGGTCGATTCGAGCCTGGAAATTTTGCTTTCATAATTGGGCCGAAGAATCTCTAATTTGCATGCTCTATACCGTAGATGACCCTCATCCGGTTGCCCATCGACCTTTCCGGACTTTGGTACTTGTGGCCGCAGCACGCTCGTACAAGCCGAGCCGAACCGAACCGAATCGCATGACGTGGCCGTGCGTGCACCTGCGGTGCGGGAGGGTTAAACACACAACACATCTTGATAGCAGGCGTCTTTGGGATCACTTGATCATCGATCGCGAAGGCATGGACACACTTGCTCAAACTGGATATTTCACGTGGCTCACTTTGCGTATTGCAGATGAGGCGTGAGCTGATAGCTCATGTGGTGACCCAAGACATCTTCTCCAATTTCCTCTGTGAGCGTGTGTTTGCTAGCGTTCGGGAGATCGACTTGCAGCTTGATGAGTCTGTGTCAGCGAAGTCTGAATGTGCGTGCACCCCTACGCGCGAGGGATTCTTCTGCGAATGCTCGGACGGCGAGGGGCCTGAGCATTGATTGGACAATGCAGGATTCGCCGTCATGCCTCTGACGACTTCAGTTGCTCTCTGCTTGGAGCTGGGCGGCAAGGGTCTTGCAAACGAATCGCACAACTATCACGGCCCTTTGCGAGGTGCTCGCCCAGCTCCATTCCAAGAAAGCAAGCTACAGCCTCTCCGATGCGCTCGAAAAAGTCGGCTGGACGCCATGAAGTGCTGAGTCATGCAAAAAGCCGAGGGTTCGGTTCAGTGGCAGGATTTCAATTTCTGCGCTGTCATCAATCGATCCACTTGTTGAAGATTGAAGAAGACAGCTTTCCGTGCAGCGTAGAGAAACAGCCACCAACCAACAAGCAGGCTTTTGCCCAAAAGCGTGGATCCGTGTTTGCGGATCCGCGATGAACTTCAATGCGGGTATCGGGCCTGACGAAGCTCAAATCGGATGCTCTCATACGACGCTAGAGATTGGGCAGAATGGAGATGCAGCCGGACCCCCCTCGCCTAGTGTGCTTTCCTACATGCTAGCGCGAACCTCGGAAGCAAAGTGGCCAGCCCGCAAAGTGTCGTGTTTGTCCAAAGTCATCGTGCCTCCTGCGCGACTCTGACTCGTCACTGCTCGCTTCTTTGCTGGCTGGCGACTGTACTGTAGTCACAGTGGCAGCAAGCCGCGCGCCGCAAAGTGGAGAGGGGCCTCCGAATACTCATCAGAGCGTTAGCGGTGGTCTGAGTCGCTTGTGCGGCTGGCTAGTGGATGCTTGGGATTATGCCGGTCCTCATTTAGAAGGATATGGGCCCCCGGAGCTCGCAGCAATGGCAAATGGACCGCCGAGAGTGAGACATTGATTGGTCTCGCGAGCCTTAGCTGCTGTCACGACGGTCACTCGCTTGCCTAACGACTTGGTCTAGTGCGCTGTAATGCGCATACGCAGCATGTCCTTGCCGCTGCACCCCACTCGTCACAGATGACAGCCGAACAGGAGCAGGCGGAGGGAAAGGCATCGAATCACATGATGTTTGACTTCACGAGGTCGATCAGGGAAAAATCAAGTCAAGTGTGCGCGGCAGCTGATTGGCAGCGCGCATGACGCATCACGGACATTCAGGGCGATCGGGAGATGGGACATGCTTGGCTCTCTCTGCGTTGCGATCCCGAAAGCTGGTTGGTGCCAGTCTTGTGATTCGCATCGCATCGCATCCCTGGCGCTACTTACACTTACCGCTCGGATGGGGCACAACCGAGATCCAAGAGAGAGGCGTCGCGTTGACGGCACATTCGCGATCTGCCTCCGCCGAGCTTGGGCCCTTCCTTGCCCCGCTCGAAAGATTTGCATCCGTAGCGCGTGCCGTCTCGTTCTCTCAAATGTGATTGTGAAGCGTGAATGCAGCTCCGCCAGTCTGAGTCGTGAGTAGCAGGTCGCGAGAAGTCGATCAAAGCCCTTTGCTGGCGTGCTCGCGGCCGGGGTCACGACGCGTGACCCGCTTTAGAGTTTCGGCTACTGGCCAGCAGGCTGAGTTGGTCCGATCCGCTTTGCCTCTCGTTGCTTTCACCGCATGCCGTTTCGTCTCGTTGATTATGAACCGTGCGAAGGATTAGCATTCACATTGCATCACGATGCTGCTCTTGCAAGACGATCACGAATGCGCTGATCGCTCGTTGTCGAGTCGGCGACCTTGACGAAATGTGAAGTGGGCTCGGCTCTTCTCTTTCACGAAATAGAGAACGAGAACGAAGAGACAGGACTGGGGGACGGCCCAGCTTTGAGTCGGATTCACGATTGTCGCTGTCACAGTCACAACAGTCGCTGTCGCTGTAGCATCTCACTCACACCGATCAATAAGCATCCCACCCAGACCACGCTAACGCGTCGCGCGCGCATACGTTTGGCCACTCAAAAAAGACCCGAACGGCGGACTGCGAATCCGAGCGGCGGATGGCGGATGGCGGATGGCGGATGCGGTCGGTCGGTGGGTCGGCCCGCAGCAGACGTTAGACTGACCCTTTTTTCTTCTGTCAGCAAAGTTTCTGCATCTGCATGCTTTAGCGTCCGAAAAGGATGGCTTGCTTCTTTGGGTCCCGGTCTTGTCTCTTTGCTGCTGATGGCTGCCACGCCGTCCGCTGTCCGCTGTCCGCTGTCTGCTGCGAGCTGCACCTCTCTCTCTCTCCCACGCATTCGTGTATCATGCGTGCTGCATGAGCAAGCAGCAGCGGCAGCTGATGCTGACAATCGATAACTTTTCTGTGTGAATTTGGTGCTTTGATTCGGGCATTTGCGCTGACCGGAAGGACCGGATGTGAAAGTTGCTGCGTCCCGAACGCCGATGTGGCGGGCGGTGGGAGAGAGTGGCTACGCAGAGCACAGCAGTAGTTAGTAGTAGTAGTAGCAGTAACACTCACGACTCACTGACTCTTTGTTGTAGCGCCGAGAGAGAGGGGACTCCAGGCTAAGCTTCCGATCCTCGACATTCACCATTGAAATGAGCTGCAGCATCCTAGCTTTCGCTTGGCCATCAGATACGCTAGTGCGAGCATAGCGTGGTAAGCCTGCTTGCTCGAGTTCTCTGTGCCTGTCTTTGTGTGCAGGTGTGCTCCCCTTCGCGACTCTCGAGCATTTGGCTGATACGGCCTCTCGCCCAAGCTCTGTTGAAGCCGTCGATCGGAGCAGCGTAGTCTTCGCAAAGGTATGGCTTCCCATGCACATGCAGCACCTATGCGATGGCGTTCATGCCAAACACCAGCAGTGCGGTCACGATTGCACAAACAGATTTCCACCGCATTGCAGTTGGCTGAGGTCGACGATGAGCTAGCTGCCCGGTATCATCATCTCGATTGAGGGATGCTCGCAGACACGGACGTATATCAGCAGCTTTATCATCGACGAGACTTCCCGTCGCGCTCGAACCAACTTCTCCCTCCCATCTGTCCCAGTTGCTCTGCTTCCGACGTACGACCTTTCCCAGCCTGCTCTTACTATTTCGAGCCTCCACGCACGACGCCCTTGCGGTGCTTGCTACCTTTACTCCATTGGCAAGTTGCGCAGCAGGCCGACTCAAGAGGCTGTCACTGCCTGTCAGCAGCATCGATTGGGTCGTGGACTCGTAGCACAAGATGATGGGTCCATCTTTCGATGCTAACCTGCCCGAGGGTGTCATGCCGACGGGCAGCGTGGCAGAGGTGCGCGATTTTTTGCACGAACTCTTCCAGCCCACCGCTCCTACATATTTCTACATTCAGGTGAGGAATGAGCAGGCAAGAAGGGAGGCAAGCGCAATGACATTTCCAGTCAAAGTCCTGACGCGGCCTCTCGGTTCTTCTGGCAGCTTTACTTCGTCGTAGGCGCCATCCTGATCTTCTGCCTCATGGCATGGTCGGTCGTGCTCCGACGGTTGTACCGAGGCAAGGCCTGGTTTGTGCAATTTTACCCCACCCCTCAGGGCACCTTCCTCATTCCAAATGCGGTCATGGCGCTCTGCTCGTTCATCTTGTTGTGAGCTCCTGCTGCCATGAACGACAGGCAAGTCTGCACGCTGACCCATACCAATGTCCGTGCAGCTACGCTATCTGCTACAGCGCATACTGTTTGATCAACATTGGCTTTTACAGAGACGGGCACTATCAGCGACGTTTCTTCCTGTGGCGACAGATCGTATGGTACCCTTTGTGGGTCGCAGCATGGGCCTGCGCTTGGGGCACCTTGAGCGCTTTCCCTGACGCGCTAAGGATGCGAGGCAAAAGCACGGTCCAGCGGTACATTTTGAACCCTTGGCTCTTCAACGCAGTCGCTCTCGGAACACCATTCATCGTCCTGGCCACCATATTGATACCTTCTCTGCTCTGCAACAAACTGTACGACGAGCAGATCGGCAGGCGCGACGACTGGTTGCGCGCCGCAGCTGCCGCTGATGCAGGGACGAACCTCACTAACCTCGTGGCGGATGCCAAAGATATTTGGCTACAAGTGACCAAAGGTCAGTTGATCGCACGGGACCTTGACCACTTCGCACGTCAGACTGAAGGTCTTTACCCTCCCTCTCGACACCTGCAGCGTACTGGTACTACCAATTTACCATGATCACCTGGACCTGTTGGGCGTGCATCATCGTCGTCGTGTTCGTCCCCATCGGCTTTCACACGCTATACCGAATCAGACATCAGGTCAAGCTGGCCGACAGGAAAAGCGAGATGGTCAAGACTTTCTACCTCTTTCCAAGTCAAGACATACACACCGCTGTGGGCGCGGAACGAGCCCATCGTCAAGGACCTGCCCCGCCACTGAGCGCCGAGCCCGGCACGTTTTCTCCAGGATCTCCCTTCACCTCCGCCAGCAAGGCTGGCCAGGTCAAGTGGGGTAACGAAGATGATGCTGATGCGGATGCTGCTGGCGATGCAACTGCACGTGCCGCGAGCATCCCGTTGGAGGAACGTCGCATCGGGTCTGGTGAAGACGAGCTCATGCAAGCCCATCCGGATGTCATCGAGCAGCTGCGCGATGCGCCCCAAGAAACGACCACAATCCTCTACCCTGCATTGAAGCCCAAGAAGGGCGAAAAGAAGTTGAATCAAGTCGCGGCAGCTTCTAGAAGATGCGAACAGCTTAGGCTCATCTACAGAAACCTCGTACTGCAGTACTTGAGCATTGCTGGCGGTGCCACCACCTTTGCGTGCTCAGCTGGTATCTTGGCCGGAGGCACGTACGCAAGCGCGAGAGAGAACAGGATTGGCAGGAACCAAGTCATCGCGAATCTGCTCGCAGCCTGGGCAGCGTTCGTCTTCGGATCTGCAGTGCTTGTTGCTGTGACTTGGCGCAGCTTTGACCCCACCTTGACACTGCAGGAAGAGCGCACGGAAGAGGAAACGCGAAGAAGCGGCGATGCGACTGACTCTACCAGCAAGAAGCGGCGACGATCCAGCGCTTTCAATGCCAGACCTCGCTTCCTCGGCTTCAACTTTGGTGGTAGCAGTGCGAGCCGCTCGCAGTCTCAGGCTGAAAGGACGAGCACTTCAGCTGTACATCAAGCCTCGACGGCGACCACCTCTACCACTGCCGCACATGATAACGAGTCGTCCCAAAGTCCAAAGGACAGGGATCACAATGGCGTCTTCACGCCTTCGCGCACTCCCTCCACCCGACGAGTGTCTGGACTTTCCTCCCAGGACGACGCTACAACAATGGACAAGGATCGGCAGACCGAACCAAGCACCAGCGACGACAATTTGACGGCATCGGTGCCACCTGTACCACCCCTCCCTCAGCACATTGCGGAGCCAGAGACGAGCTCAAGACGCTCTTCCTTGGTTGGCGGTAGCCAAATTGTCAACAAGGCGCGCATGCTTAGGGGCGTGCCTGGCAAGATTCGATCGAGCATGCCCGCTGCTTCGCCACCGCCTTCCGCGTCTTTGCCCGCGTCTCCAGCTGACCTGGCAACTAGCTACTCACCAGGCCAGCAAGGGAGCCCTTCGCAGGGACAGGGCAACAGCGGTGGGGTCCATTTCGCAACGCCATACGGCATGATCAGCGGCGATACGCCACTTGCCGGTCTTGCCATCTCTGACGCATCACCTCCGAGCAGACCGCAGCGTGCCGCGACGGTCACATCGAGCCCCAGCCGCTCTCGCGTCGCTGAGACTGCGACCGCTGCAAACGCGTACTTGACGGGTCGAAGAGGCTCGGCCGGATCCGTCCGCTCTCCGCCCTCCCTTCAAGGCCAACAGAACACCACCCTCTTCTCTTCTTCTTCCGCCTCAACGCCATCATCTCCGCCTGCTGCTGCAGCCCTCGCGAATGGCTTGCAATCCCACGACTCGCAACTGAGACCGGCCTCGAGCTGGAGCACGCCTGGCGGTAATTCACCTTCTCCTGTTCCGGGAAGCAACCGCGATGTTTTAGAAGCTCGTCTTGCTTTCGGCACTGCTAATGGCCCTAGCAGATTTGGCGGCTGGAGAAGCGCCAGCCTTGCGAAGGAGGAGGAGTGAAGAGCTGCAAAGTGGTGAGAGAGAGAATACGGGTATTGTCGAAGCGGCACTTGGCACCTTCTGCGCATGACCCAGCCCGCCCCTGTAGTATTTGCCATGTCTACCACTGTACATCTAGCCATACATTGCAAAACGAATACCACTTGAATTCGAGCGAAGCGTGCTAAGGTTAGATCGGGTATTGATTGACCGTGCGATGGGGAAATGACGAAGGCTGCAGCTTTGAAGCACTTGACGTCTAAGTATCCCGCGACAGGTCAAAGAACAGCAGAAATGAGAGGCCGTGTGTATTGCGCCGTCGACAACGCAGCAACAGGACTCCAGGCAGCGGGCTCACTCAATAAGCTGCCAAGATCAAGTCCCTGTATTCCAGATTGGAGTAGGTACGTGAAACGACACGGCAGGATTCTTGGCAATTCGACGCGCTTAGAAGCATAGACTATGTGCACTGCTCCGGCAGACCGACGTTGCATAGCTTTCTGATCCAGAAGATTGTGGCAGATGCCGTCGCCTTGGGACACGAGATCACCGGCATGTCTGCAATGGAAAGTGGGCGGGAACAGGCCCCTTGGCGATTTGTTTTGCACGTTCACACGTGCTCTTCCTCGAGCCTTCTGGGTACATTGCGACTAGCCTCTTCGCCCCCCGGACCGATCTGCGGAAGGCTGAGACGCTCGCCCGGCCGGGAATGCAAGCCAGCAATGATACAACACGCTTGGGACTGGCGACTGGCGACCGATGGATGATGTGAGGTTGTTGTGCGCACGAAGATGAGCACGTACGATGCGCCAAGACCCAAGCCACGCGTCGGTGCTTCGAGGTCTGGCCGGGCATGCGCTCGCCCCTGCATCCGAGCAAGCTTCCTTGCGTGCGCGATGCAACGTCAAGTCGAGAGTGATGTTCCGCCTGCCTTGACATGAACTTTGCTTGGAGAAGGCCGCGCATGTAGTTCTTTGCAGGCAAATTGCGCCGAAGATCTTGGCAAGAGCTTCTTTCGGTCCCTCTCGAATGCTCCTCACGCTCTCTTACGGCAATGAATGAGACCGCGACCGCGCAAAAATGGCGAGACGAGGAATCTCCATTCACCGGTGAAGTGAGCACATGCTGGATTTGATCTCGCCGTGCGTTCCGCGACGCAACGGCGGTACCGTTGCAAGTCGTGAGGCCGCCGTTACCCTGGTTGCGAAAGGATGCACCACCCTCTCTTTCCCCCCCGTGCCAAGTCTTGATGCTCATACTGCCGCAGAGGACCTGGCGGTCTTGCTTTGAGCAACGAATATCCGGAGCTGCGTCAGTGAAGGTGCGGTCAGTAAGTCTTTAACCATTTTGGTGCGATCATCCTGATTGCAGCGTAAGCCTGTACGTGATTCGCGACCACCATCTTCACCCTTCGCTTCGTATCTCGACCCTTTCCTGAACACCTCGCCGTGAGCATCAGTCGCGAGTCAGTCATCTGCTCTTCTCCCATTCGGTCAACATTCACGACTCGTCATCAAATCCCGCGTGTGAACGGTAGCTGAACCTTTCCCAAAAACCTTGTTCTTTCAGCACCACATCGACTCCGCACTTGTCCTCACCCAATCGCGCTTTGCGATCTGAAACTTGTTGAGCAGATCGAGCGATCCATTGATTCATCATCGGTGCTATCTGCCTATACTGCTGCCGCGCCGCGCTCGTACGCACGCCACCTGCGCCGCTTCCGTCATCCGCCGAGCGCTTCCGGCAGGAGCACGGGCACGTGCTGCGCTCGCGCCTCCACCTCCAATTCCTTCCAGTTGCCAGCCTCATCTCAGTGACGCATCTTTGGCGATTCGCGCATTGTGCTTTCGGATTCATTTCGACGATTGATTCGCCGAAGCACACCACATCGATAGACAGGGGTCTTGCCGAACCCCAACATCCCAAGGCTGCTCGCCCTCTGCGATTTTGGCCAGACGTTCGCGTCCGCCTTGTCAGCGATCGAGCTTGACACTCAGTCTTGCCCTTTCGCGTTTCCTCACCATCCTACCCATCTTCTATCCGGTCGTCGTCCAGCCAGCACTTCCATCCTTTCCCACAACGATCTGGACGCAGTACACCTTCTCTGCAATCGCGCATCATGGCCTTCTCACTCGTCGTCGATGACGTGACGCTCATCCTGTTGCTGCTCATCACAATCACGCTCTCCCTCACGCTGTACATCTCCAGCCAGTATCAACCCAGCATACATCCACTCATCTTATCCCGCCAAGCTGATGTATCCCAAGTGCATGGCAAGGGCGAATCGCCAAAGTACAGAAATGCAAACTCGCCGGCTGGCTTCAACCTGGCCGAAAGACCTCGACCCTCCATCGTGGATGTGCCCGCCATCGTCGCTCACGGAGTGACGGTGGAGGAGGAGCAGGCAAAGAAGAGCAAAAGTGGCGAGGTTGAACCCATCCAGGCACAGATGCTGTACGGCAGGGAAATCGGTTCGGTGGGTCAGCTGCGGGATCAGGCCGCAGCTTTCGCAGCTGGGCTAGTCAAAAGCGTCCACTCCAGTGACGCCAGCTTTTCGCTGGCTGTTTGCGCTCACAACGACTCTCTGGAGAGCTTGACCGCGCTGATCGCAGCATCTCACCAGACAACCATCGACTCGACGCCTTTCTACACCCTCGTGACGCCAGCCGGAGGTGAGAAGATGCCTGTACTACCCTCAGGCGTCGGGCGCGTTGCAGCCATCTTCACCACCCTCGAAGCACTCGACGATGCAGCACAGATCAGTCCAGACGACTCTGCGCTTCTGATCCTTCCTACTCAATCCGACGCCGAGGTTGCATCCGGCAGATCGAAGCGTCGCGTTGTTTCTTTCGAACAAGTGCTTTCGGCTGGCGCTGGCGCTCGAATGCCCACGTTCGGCACAGAATCCGAGCGGTTGTCACTGGCTTCTCGTCTGCATTCGCATTACTTGCTCGAAGGGCACTGGGTCCCCGTGACCAACGAGAAGCTCACCGCTGGACTGGTTGCGCAGCTTGGTTTCTTCCCAGGAGACGCCATTCCCAATGCAGAGGATCACATCTTTGTGGAGCGGCACTCCTCACTCCTAGCCAGCGCTACACCAGCTGGTCTGGTCCTGGCTTTGCTTGCGGTCTTCACTCGAGCCTCGCTCACTGTGGATGCGCTCGTCAGCAGTCCATTCGACTCTCGCCCTGCTGTCACTGGTGCTCTCACCGATGCGAAGCCAACGCTGCTCTACGTGTCCATGAAAGGAGCTTCAAGTCTGAGCGCAGCGCTGACCGAGAGAGCCCGACGCACGCCGCTCGCTGGACCTGCTCTGCGTCTCAAGCTCGGCGGCCTTCGTCACGGCGCCCTATCCCAGACCGGCTTGGCCGATAGACTGGTCTTTGATGATGTGCGGCAAGCTTTGGGGCTCCGTCGACTTCGCTCGGCGCTCATTTTGGGGGATGGAAATGCGCCTCAATCTCTTCTGGATACGTTGCGAGGCATCTTGGGTGTTGCAGTCATGCAAGCCTGGTTGCCATCAAATCTTTTGACGTCTTCTGTGACGGGAGTAAAGGTGGCTGCAACGGCGCCATTGTCGGCCACTCATTCTTTGGATCTGCAAGCTTTTGCCGATCATTCGATCAACTCCCACAGCGCACCTTATCACTCTGGTCCACCTGCCGTCAGCATCGAGCTCAAGCTCGTCGAAAGTGCTGCAGCGAAAGAGGGAGGCTACGTCGGCCGCTGTCTGGAAAAGGGAAGGGAAGGGGATTGGTCAGGTGAGGTCTACGTTGCCGGTACCACCCTTGCCGGTGCGAATGAAGAGAGCGAATACTGCTCCTCGAAGAGTATGGGCACAGTGAGACCCAACGGAACTCTCGTCGTTCTGCAAGATGCCCTTAAGACTCCATTGGCCAACGTCGGAACGCTCACAGGGAAATGGGCGTCCACACTTCCCAGTCGCAGAAAGACTAGCCAGCCACACAAGTGGTCTGCTGTTGCACCTGTCGGTGTCTTGGCCATGATGCTCTTTTGCGCCCTGCCCACCGCTACAGCGGTCAACGTAAACAGCACCAATCTGGAGCTGGCGCGACTTTCCATGCTCGTCTCACAAAGGGCTTCCTGGGAGCAGGGTACCGCTCAATCAGCGCTTCTTGAGCTTGATGCCGGCGGCTGGTCCGTCTTCACAGCAGAGCGCGGTGGTCCCCCGTACTCGCCTCGCAGGGCTTCGAGTCGCGACCTGTCTAACCCGCCTTTACCGGTGATGGCCATGAGCTACCACTCCGTGTCTGCTCAGGATGGTCTTGGTAAGCTTTGCAGTCGTATCAGTGGAGACGAAAACAGGACAGCCGGAAGCGCTCTGGATCCTGCTTCTTGTCTCGAAGGAGTCCTCGTCAGCGCCTTTGCCAGCGGTCAGATCAGCGGCTCGACGCTGGGCTCGGGCTACTACGCACAAGCGGCTAGAAGGATGATCGACTACCTCCTCGACACGGCTCCGAGGACAAGCGACGGGGCAATCAGTCACCGAGCAAGCTCTTTGGCCCTTTGGTCAGACGCCATCTACATGCTGCCTCCGGCTCTCGCTTCTTACGGCCTTATTACGAGCAACCAGAGTATGCTGCAGGAAGCATACGACCAAATTCGATGTGAGCACACGTGTCTAGATTGAGCTCTTTATGCCAGATGACAGCTTGTACTGCGTCTGCACTGGCTGTCCGTCAAACACTTCCTGAGCATGGCAGTCCCTTGCCACTCTTTCTTTGCCATCCCATCTCTTCACATCACGTCCACTGCAATTTCCCCTTCCCTTCCTTTCGCTTTCAATCCTGCTGCCTAATCGGCGCACCATCTCCCCTTTCCATTGTCGCCTGATCGGCACAAATGATGAATGCGGTGCTCGCCGATTCAAAAACCCATCACAGTGTATCGAGACGGGCTTCTGATAACGAGCGGACAAGCGTCGGGAATGTGGAACCACATCAATGATATCACGACTCCGAATGCGAGCGACTTGGGAGCCTGGTTGACTGGCCAAGGATGGGCGGTGAGCGGCATGAGTAGGGTGCTAGCTGCCTTCTCCCATTCCAATTTCGACTTGACCACTGAGAAGGAGGACATTGCGGAATGGGCCAAGGAGATCATGGACGCTTCGTACAGCTTTGCCGACCCTAGCACCGGATTGATTCGCAATTATGCGAACGAGACGGACGAATTTTTGGATGCGGCGGGATCTGCACTGCTGGCTGCTGGCACCTTCCGAATCGCTTCCATCACTGGCGACCGGACGCACGTCGCATCGGCGGAAAAAATCTATCAAACGACCAGTCGTTCTCTCAACAATATAGGAAGCTTTGGCGGAAGGTTAGAAACCGTCGACGCTTTGGGATTCACCTTTGCGGGAGAGACTTCTCCTGAAGCGGTGGCTGCTCAGATGCTTCTTGCTGCTGCTAGACGCGACCATACCGCTGGCAACGTCACTGGCCTCAATGGTCCCGGAACCGGCTTCGAGGGCGGCGCGTCGAGCTCGGCTCATTTGCCTTCCACTCTTGTCGCTCTGCTCGCCGTCGCCTGCGCGAGCGCAGCCATACTTCTCTAGGTGTTCACCTAGTGCCCGCGGTCAACCCCCCCGCCTCATCTTTCTCTCCAGCAAAATTTCCTCAAAACACGGACACCTGCAGCGCTCGATGCGCGTGCTTCGCTTTTCGCAAATGCCCCCTTCCTCTCTGCCATTCCTGGACACACATCAGACAACAACACCTGCCTCTCACCACTGCCACATCTTTTGGAATGCCTAAATAAAGTGCACCTTGGTCGTCGTCCCTATCTTTGCTTTATTTATCTCGTGCAATTGCCATTTGCACCTCTGCAGCACGCGACCGTACTTGCATGCCAAATAGAATAGATAAGCGTCATCTCTCACTCTCTCTCTCTCTCTCTCTCTCTCTCTCTCTCCTCTGGCCGTGCGCAAGGGAGAGTGTGGTGCCCGAGCCTCTAGTCCGTCCGCCTATTCACAGTCGATGCAGCAGCTGCTTTTTTCTTCCAGTTCGCCTGAACGAATCTTCGTCGGAGCACGACGCCAGTCTTTCTGTTCAGACCCTCTTGTCTGATCTCCGTGACAGGACCTTCCAGACCAGCGAGCTCCGCTGTTCTTTGGAGCTCAGCTACACGAAAGTAGTAAGTGAGGGTATTGTCTCCTGCGGGGCAGACAGACACCAAACAAGGCGTACATTTCGATCCCTCGTCAGCGCAAGTGCAGGAAGCTAAAAAAAGCTGCAGGCGACATCGACGGCCGAGGGGGGCGCTCCAAAGATCGCCAATACTCACCGCGTCTGTACAATCCTCCACAAGCGTTCTCTTGCCCTTCCTCTGCATCCTCACCAATCAAGTCTGGCACGATGACGCAGCTAGGCTCTACCCAGCTCCTATCCTTTCTCCAATGATACCTCAGCTGGGTCAAATCTCCAAACGCAAAGTCTCTAAAGACCAGCGATCCGCCTTCGGGCAGCACCTCGGCTAGATTCTGTAGGACTTGGGCATGCAGAGAAGGTGGGATGGCCGAGAGGACAAAGATCAGGGAAATGACGTTCGGTCGACCGAAAGGGTGCGATTGGAGTTGGGGCAAGAGAGCTTGATTGCTCGTCAAGTCGTACGTGAAAGCATTGATTCGTGCCGTGTCGTACTGAGGATGAGTCTGCGTGATTGGCATCGTTGGGTCAAGTCGCATGAGCGCCAAAGGCAGAGAGAGGGTCAGCAACGCGACGTATCTTGTGCAGAAAGAGGATCGCTCGAAGTTGTACAGTCGAGCAAGCGATCAGACGTACCGTGACGAGATCGATGGCTCGAGTTGAGAAATCGCAGGCGTGCGCCTTGAGTGATGCGTTGTTGGCCAGAGCCGGATAGAGCATGTTCCCAGGACCGCAGCCCACCTGTGCATGCCGAGGATGTACAGGACCCGGTGGGAGGAAAGAAGAGCAGGATCAGGTGAGGACAAGTGACGAATCACCGCTTGCGCGATGCTCGACCATCCGCCAGCTCACCTCCAGTAGTATGACCTCTTGAGTGGACGAGGTGGCTTGCTCAAGCTCAGTCTGCACCGCAGCGTTGGAAGAAGCTTCGTCTGAAGCATCTACAGCCGCCTTCTTCTCGCAATCTCCAGTAGGACCTCCGGTCTGTTTCTTCTGATCCTGAGCTCGCAACTCGGCGAATTCTCTATCTACATACACAAGAGAAGGCGTGACAAAGAGCAGCCGGTGTAAGCTTCGGTTGCGTTGTCACCTCGAGTGTGCGCGAGGCGTCGAAATAGCATGACTCGCCCGTCCAATTCTTGTTCTTGAAGAAGCGATCTGAGGGGCGGACAATGCGACGAAGGAACACGTCAGATGAAGAATGATCTTGGGCACAAGCTACAAGCAAGTCCCAATCACTTTCGTTGGCTTTGTAGAACTTGTCCCAATTCTGCATCCAAGGATGTGAGCGAGGAAGGATAAAGAGAGCGTGGTGAGCTCGACTTCATTTGTTGGACCTCGCCTCGAGCTCGCTCGACTGCCTGACGCATTCAATGATGCGCCTCGATAGTCTGTGCTTGACTCGATTCACTCACCTTGGCAGCCTCTTCTTCGATCTTCTTTCTCAAGAAATCCGAAATGGTCCTCCTGTTTTGACACAGAACATCTTCTACATTCCCAAAATTGGCTATTGCAGCCGCAGAAGCGGCCCTCCTATCTCGAGATGTGATCTCGTCCATCGTCAACTTGGGCTTGGCAGAGGTTGATGGACCCGAGGTCGCGCTCGTGCTTGCGCGCGGTGTAGAGGATGTGGTGTCCAACGAGGATGTGGCGTCCAGGGAGGATGAAGTGCCACGAGAAGGACCAGCTTGGCTCAAGTTCAGCGGAGCCACCCCGTTCCGCAACACTTGCTCCACTGCTTGACCCGAATCGTTCGACATATCACCTTTCCCCACCATATTGGCCTGCTCTTTGGCTCGATCGTAATCTTGCGTGTGTTAGGGAAGAATTTCCCTCCTCATCAGAGCTCGAGTGCGCCTCTTCTTCAATCCGCCACTCTAGTGATCAAGGTGCGTCAAGAGGGGTTTTGCCTGGCGAGCCGAGTGGGCAGAATGTGCTTCGTGGATGCGCTTCGAGTCAAGAGGCAAGGAGCACCCTTGTTGAACGGATGGATGGACGCCATGCAGCAAAAAGATTTCACGGTCCCATGCACCGCCTCATCAACCTTTCTCCACGTCGATTTGACAACGTGTTCGGCGAATAGAAATCAAGTCCAGTGAGTCAGAGTCGGTCTGTTGCGAGTGCACGGTTCCGTGGCAATCAATCTGAATACATCGCGAGCTCATCCTTGATTGAGGCCCGCAAGACCCCCGTCTCGCCATTCTTTCACGAGTCATTTGCTCACAGACGCAAGGCAAAACACCCGAAGTTATTCACAAAAATCCTAACACACGAGTAAGAGTAACAACTCAAGATTAAATGGCTCTTTGCGAGGGCTAGCTTTCGAGAAATAAAAACGAGAGTGGGGAGAGTGAGAAGAGAATGCTTCGCTGACGCGCTCGCTCCGCTCGTCGCCGCCCGCGATCGCCCAGAGGGTAAGATCGAAGTGCGGGAGTCGAGCGGATCATGGATAGTGAGGAAAAAAGTGGCCAACGTCACAAAGGACAGAGGGCACGTTATGGTTGGTTGTTCTCGACCAAGCAAATAGTACAGACTCGGTAAGGACCTCACTGTCTTGTACACCTGCCCTTGCAAAAGGATAAAGAGAGCATTTCAAAAGAATGTGGCGATGCGAAGTTGGGTTTATGTACTCGAGTCGGGGCGGCGCGCAGCACAGGGTGGACGTCTGCGCTCCGTAACCAGCAACACGTGGCTTTCGGTCTATGCTGCGAACGCGCAAGACGCGCCCGCTTCATTGCTCGTGCGCAGAATTTTTCGTGGCGAGCGCATTTGCGACGCGTTCGAGAGGCGCCCCTGCAAAGGTATAAGAAGGGGTGCAAATCGCGCATGCCCTCCTCACCTCCTCACCTTTTCTGGCCGTGAGTACCGCACCCCTAACATTTGCTCGATCCATCGCCGAGCCGATCGCTGATCTTCGATTCTTCCCTCCCTCCCCGCTACAGTATTGGCTTAGATCAAGTGTAGTATCTGTTCTTTATAGTTTAACGACTGTAACATACCCTCCGTGGTATTTAATCGTTAACCCTCTCTTTGCTTCGAGGGGTCGAGTCGTGCGGCTTGCCGCTGCTCGCCACGGGTGTCCTTGCGCTCTACACTTCCGCCTTGAGACGCCCACCGCATTCTTCTCGCCTTGGCGCGAGAAGAAAATTCTCTTTTTTGCCCTGCGGAAATTTATTCGAGAATGTTCTGATCTGAAAGGGAGGACCCGCTCGCAAGCTACCCAGTCGTGTTTGGTGTGTTGTGTGTGAGCGTCGATGATCTGCCTCTTGCGCTTGTTCTTGATCGGGACGTGTAGTCAAAAGTCTAAGGCGATGAGATGAGGCGAGATGCTTCGATGTCGAGTGGATCGAGGCAGCGTCTGAGGTCGAAGATGATGCTTGGAGGCCAGGCCCGGCCCTCCAACGCGAATGCCATGGATGCACGCGCGGCACCAACGAGAGGCGTGAGAACATGGGCAACATGTTGCGCCACGCAGCAGGCCGTCTGTGCGCACAGACGATGCGGCTGGATGTGTCGAGTGCATAAAGCAAGCAGCAAGCGAGCGGTGTTGCTGTCAAAGACGTCGTCGACACTGTCACTTCATCGCTTCCTTCAAACATTCGAGCCATCATCCACTTTAACTCTGATCTGCATTCAAGGCGATCAAGTCAGACAAGTCTGGCCTCGACGTCGGCGCTTTCACTAAAAATTTCGTCGAAGAGACATTGCCTAACAGCTTCCGCGTTCAGATCCGTGTCGAAGTCACATCCTTGCCTGCTAGCGCCCCCCTCCCCCTCCGCCCCTCTCCTTGTGGGTGGATCGCAATCGTCGCTGGGAGGTCGAGATCGATACGCAGCGCTTGCAACGGAGCGTGATCAGACACGCCAGATATCAGCTGCGCCGGTGCCGGACGGGATCCTTGACCTCGACGTGTCGGTTTGGTAGCAAGGGATCAGGCGGTCGAGTGGGGGTAATGCACCGCACCTACAACTTTCACCAATAAACCATTTCTGCGCAAGCCATCCCCCCTTTTCCCAACATGGTGAGTTTTGGTGAGATGGAGGAATGGGTCGCATAGGTGGAGCTCTGGAGTTCAAGCTTGATCGTTGAGGGACGAGCTAGATCCCTTCTGCCTTTTTAATTTCGGGCTCACTGGCATTCCTTTGTCCCCCCCCACCTCCACGTTCTTCAGGCTGCTTCGGATCGACTATTGGGCGGTTTGCTGCTGCTCATCGCAGGTCTCGTCTTCACATACTACACCATCTGGACATTCATCGTGGTGCGTCTGCCTCACTTTCACTTGCTCTCTCTCTCTCTCTCTCTCTCTTCAATTTCATGCGGGCCTGACCTCCCACCTCACTCCTCACTCCTCACTCCTCACATTCGAAAATCGGAAACAGCCCTTCTTTCCATCCTCTTCACCTCTGCAGCAAATCTTTCCAGATCGAGTCTGGGCAATCAGACTTCCAGCGCTCATCTTGGTCTTGGGATTAGCGGGCGTAGGAAGTTTTGTGGGCTTGGTGATGCAGAAGGAAGCTAGAAAGAGGGCAGAGAAGGAGGCTAGGAGGAACAATTGAAGGCTTTTTTTTTGTTTCCACACCCCTACCCCCGAGCTACGAGGCCTTGTTGCTCACGGAATACTCGAGTTCGACATTGGGACTTTTCCCAGGCACGTCATGTGGAGAACAAATTTGCCATACATGACAGGCCAAGGAACTCTCGCTGCGCGTCAATTCGAACGTGCTGTGCCGAATCATGGACAATCAGGCCTCTAGAGACGTAAAGGCAATCCAAGCACACGAGAGTTTCGCTCGATAGTTGCCATTTCATCAGATGGAAAGAGGCATTCGAGTACGCGAGACAGGATGACATGCAGGACGAGCGAATAAGACAGACCATGGGGACAGTGAGTCGAAGGGCGCACAGGACGTCGGCGGCAGGATGATGCGTCGGGTCTTTAGGGGCGCTTTTGAAGGTGAAGCTAGCAAGCGATTAGGCGTTTGCCGGCTTGATGGATTTGAAGCCCCTGAGTGATTGCGAAGAGAACAGGGAGGCAAAAGATCAGCGGAAGACGAGAGCGGCGTGAAGAGATGAGATTTCGACACTTACTCGACAAGGCTCGGGTGCATCGTCATCTCGTGCAACGCGGAGCCGGCGGCGATCATAGGGTAGCAATGCTCGGCAGTAACGACGCGGCACTCGAACAGGACTGGTCTGTCATTATCGTACTCGATGAACTCCTTCATCTTGGCCGGCAGGTCGGTGAGCGAGTCGCAGTGGATAGTGTGGCAACCCATAGCCGAGGCCAGTTTGCAGAAATCCGGGTTGGTCATCCTCGTTCCAGAGTAGCGCTGCTCGTAAAAGAGATCTTGCCATTGCAGCACCATTCCTTGAAATTCGTTGTTGAGCACCAGGATCTTGACGCCCACGTTGAACTCGTTTGCTGTGGCAAGCTCCATAGCTGTCATGCTAAAGCTGGCATCTCCATCCACGCACACTACAGTGCAGTCTGGTCTGGCTACCTTGGCTCCGACAGATGAGGGAACGCCGAAGCCCATCGTTCCGAGACCACCAGATGAGACCCAAGAGCGGGGATGCCTCCATCGGATGTGCTGAGCCGCCCACATTTGGTGCTGTCCGACTCCGGTCGAGATGATGGTCTTTTCCTTGCGAGGCTCGATAGCCCTGTCCAGCTCTTCAATAACCTCCTGAGGCTTGGGGAACTCGCCCTTGGATGGATCAGACGGGTAGTACGTGAACGGGAAACGCTGTTTCCAGTCCGCGATACGTGCGTGCCACTTGGGGTGCGTCTTCTGCTCGACCTGAGGCAGCACCTTGGCCAAATTGGCGATGACGTCTCCCTCCAGCGCGCAAGTAGCTTGCACCACCTTGTTGATATTCTTTGGCATGATCTCGAAGTGAATGATACCCCCGCGACCTTCCAGAGCTGCTGCGCGAGCTTGAGGCGCAAACTTGTCCACACGACCAGTGACGCGGTCGTCAAAGCGTGCACCCAGCGCGATAATGACATCTGCCTCCTGCATTGCCAGGTTGGCGTACGCTGATCCGTGCATGCCAAGCATATGCAGAGAAAGCGGGTGGAGCTCGTCAAAAGCACCAAGACCTTGGAGGGTGGTGGTTACTGGGATGCCTGCACGCTCGGAGAGCTCCTTGAGTAGCTCTGGGCCTTGGGAAGTCGAGAGCATTCCAGCGCCAGCGTAAATTACTGGTCGCTTGGCACCATTGATGAGACGCGCTGCCTCTGCGATTTCGGGAGCCTCATGGGGCAGGCTTCCGGGCCCAGCTGGCTGCGATTGGTGACGAATCGCTCTGCTGCGAGAGGATCTGGCTGTAGCTCTGGACGGCAAGGCGGCGAGGGAAGGGTGCGTCTGCGAATAAGGTAGAGCTTGCCTTAGGATACCGGCAGTGACGTCCTTGGGCAGGTCGACGAGCACAGGTCCTGGTCTGCCTGATGTGGCAATCTTGAAGGCTTCGTTGATGCGGCGAGGCAGCTCGGCGATATTCTTAACCATGACGTTCCACTTTGTGCAGCTGCGTGAAATACCGACAACGTCTGCTTCCTGGAAGGCGTCGCTGCCAATGGCGCTGGTGGCCACCTGACCGCAAAAGACGACGAGAGGTGTACCATCGCTCATAGCGTCTTGCATTGGGGTGATGACATTTGTGGCGCCTGGACCAGAAGTGACAAGCACGACACCTGGCTTACCGGTTACACGAGCGTAGCCTTCGGCCATGTGCCCGGCACCATCTTCTCGCCTGGGTAGGATAAATTGGAAGTGCTTGGAGTTGTGAATGGCGTCAAAGACTGGCAAAATTGCGCCACCCGGGTACCCAAAGACGTGCTTGACTTGATGCCTGAGCATCATTTCATGAAAAATTTCTCCTCCGGACATGCCTACAAAGGAGTGATCCAGGTCGGCTGACCTGATTGGGATGGGAGATGGCTCTGGCGACTGCTGGAAAGTACTTGCTGGCTCAGGTCGCCTTTAACGTTGAGGCAGCACATGAGAGGAGAGATGATTAGCAGGACCCGACCGGGTGCAAGCAAGAGCGATGGCAAAGAGGACTCACTCTGCGCCCTTAGGGTTGGCGAGGGGAGTGGCTGAGACATCGTTGGAGGGCGTAGAAGAGATGGATCTGATCTGAGACTGCCTTGAGGCGATCCCTGCTGCTTTCGTAGCCTCTGTTGCGGGTGTGTTGATGGCTCTGGCACATGAAGTGCTTAGCATTCGAGCACCTTTGCATGACGAGGAGCGACCTACACTCGATGTGGCTGCTGTTGCAGAGCGCGCAAGGCGCATGGACATAACCATCTTGGCGCAAGCAAAGCCTTGCTCCAGCAGAAGTGTGTCGACGAAGGCAAGAGACGACCGGAATGGTGTGAGTAGCAGGTACGTGGTGTGAACCTAAAAGCTGTGGGGATAGAATTCGTGTGGCAAGTTGGGAAAAGAGTGACTTGGGAAGGTGCTCGAGCTCTAGTCGATAGACGCACCATCAGAACGTGGAGCGTGAATGCGGTCGCTGTCGGCTCTGACTCGAAGACCCGCGGCGGTCACTCATGACTCGTGACCAGAGCGGGGTCGCAGCAGCTACGGACAGCAGCCTTGATTTTTGCCGCTCCTTTGCAGCATCTGGCCTGGTGCCCGCAAGCCGTGCATGCAACGCAGTCGCCGCTCGCGGCCTGGACTTGACTTTTCTTCTTGCAGCAGGCATGCATGCATGCAAAGCTCTTGCGCGAGCGCGCTGCCGGATGGACGGACAAGAGCAGCTAGGCCTCTGCTCTTGGTGCGGTTTGATTTTGATTGCGCGCACAGCAGTGATCAGACACGTGATCGGCATCGATCAACCATCGCCACGCGTTTATTCGAGGGCAATCAACTCTTGAGTTCCGGCGCGGCGAGCACGCGTGTATGCAGCGTTCACAACACAAAGCCTCACAGCAGAAGAGCGCGCCATGCAGACACTCCTGCATGGTGCGCTGCGTGAATCAAGAATGCACGCGCGTGCGCTAGAGTCAGAGAAGTGCTGCTGATGTTCGTGCGAGTACAGCCTAGGATCTCAAGGCACCACGGCTGCTGTGAGGTTGCGGTTGGGCAGAAATCGAGTCGATGAGAGATTGACAGGCGCGAGCCCAACAACGGGCAGCAGCCCTCAGCATCTTGCCCAAAGCGCCTCGCTCGCCTCTGCCGAAAGTCGTCGCGGGCGTTGAGCGCGGCCTCACTACGCGCAAGTCGCTCCCACTCCTTCCCTTTCAACTCTGATCTCTCCAAAATCACTCTTCGCTCTACGTTACTTCTGAGCGTCTTCTCTGCACACACGCACAACAGTCAACCCACCTCACCTCAAATCGCCCATCTCTCAATATGCGTGAAGTGAGTAGCAACTCCTTGTGCGGGACATCCTCTAAGTCGACATCCCTGGCGCGCCGGGCACCAAGCTGACGTGCGCCAATTCCCGTTTCCAGGTTCTGTCTCTCCACGTCGGCCAAGCTGGTGTTCAGCTCGGTAACGCAAACTGGGAGGTGAGTCACAAGCTATGCATTTCCCGAACATCTTCGACCCAAGCGTTGCTGATCAATGCGTACTGCCTGCCAACCAGCTCTACCTCAACGAGCACGGTCTTACCCCCGATGGTCGCGTCACCGAGGGCTCTCCTTCCGAGAACGATGATGGCTTCTCGACCTTCTTCAGCGAGACTGGAAGCGGCAAGGTGAGTGCAAGCTTTTGCTGACGATGACAGACCGCACCGGCCATTCTGATCGAATCGACGACGCCCTCACCTTGCAGTACGTTCCTCGCTCCATCTACGTGGACTTGGAGCCCAACGTTATCGACGAGGTCCGCAACGGTACCTACCGCAACCTGTTCCACCCAGAGACCCTCGTCACTGGTAAGGAAGATGCCGCCAACAACTACGCTCGTGGTCACTACACCGTCGGAAAGGAGCTCATCGACCAGACTCTTGACCGCGTGCGCAAGCTCGCCGATGCTTGCTCTGGTCTGCAGGGCTTCTTCGTCTTCCACTCCTTCGGTGGTGGAACAGGTTCCGGTTTCGGATCTCTGCTCCTCGAGCGTCTCGCTCAGGACTACGGCAAGAAGGCCAAGCTGGAGTTCAGCATCTACCCTGCTCCCATGATGAGCAGCTCCGTTGTTGAGCCTTACAACTCTGTCCTGACCACCCACACCACCCTTGAGAACAGCGACTGCTCGTTCATGGTCGACAACGAGGCCATCTACGACATTTGCAAGCGTAACCTCGGTATTCAAGCCCCCGGATACTCGAACCTCAACAGGCTCATTGCCCAGGTGGTCAGCAGCATCACGGCTTCCCTTCGTTTCGATGGATCCCTCAACGTCGACCTGAACGAGTTCCAGACCAACTTGGTGCCTTACCCTCGTATCCACTTCCCTCTGGCTACCTACGCTCCCATCATCAGCGCTGAGAAGGCTTTCCACGAGCAGAACAGTGTTTCTGAGATGACCTTCAGCTCTTTCGAGAAGGGCAACCAGATGGTCAAGTGTGACCCTCGTGACGGCAAATTCATGGCCTGCTGCCTGCTCTACCGTGGTGACGTCGTTCCCAAGGACGTCAACACGGCCGTCGCAGCCATCAAGACCAAGCGCACCATTCAGTTCGTCGACTGGTGCCCCACCGGATTCAAGATTGGCATCTGCAACGAGCCACCTTCTCTCGTTCCCGGAGGTGACTTGGCCAAGGTCAGCCGCAGTCTGTGCATGCTTGCCAACACCACCGCCATCGCTGCTGCTTGGAGCCGTCTGGACCGCAAGTTCGACTTGCTTTACAGCAAGCGCGCCTTCGTCCACTGGTACGTCGGTGAGGGTATGGAGGAAGGTGAATTCTCCGAGGCCCGCGAGGACCTTGCTGCTCTCGAGAAGGACTACGAGGAGGTCGGCATGGACACTGCTGGCGAGGCCGACGAGCTTGAGGCTGAGGAGTACTAGACGTGCTGCTTCAGAGAGGCGCTCCATCCCCCCTCCCCTCTGCACCTGTCACTTAACCCTCATGACGGTGTCGTGGGACCCTTTCACCCTTCCACCCAGCCACTTTTCTCACGCTCACGAATGAGAATTCGGTTCCGCTCACGAGATCGCTTTGTCAAAGGGGGCCCCCCGCGCTGCATGTCTAGCGACACGTAGCATGCATTTCAGAAGTTGGCAGGTTAGTATATTTTCGAAGGGTGGCCATCTTGTGACAGATTGACCGTGAAGCTGCGAGCTCGAATGCTTAAGCCACAACGAGCAAAGCGCCCAAGCCACAAGAGATGAGAGCGATGGCCAAGCAAGCGGCGCTGGCGGGCGATTTGGCAGACCAAGTGGCTGCATCGGGACTTGCGCTGGACGTCGCAGGGCTGCTCTGTGCAGGCGCACTTGTGCTGGAGGTGCTCTGTTGCATGATGGAAGAAATGACGCTATCGTATCCTCCGGGTGGCCCGCCGCCTATGCCGCTGATCGATGCTCCCGTGCTCGTGCTGCCCGCACCTTGCGCCGAATTGGTGCTGAGCGACGCTAGGTAGGAGGATAAGGCTGCTCCGCTTAGCGAAGAGGGCACCGTCGCTGCTGTGACTGCGAGATTTGGTGAGAGGGCATGATGTGCAGATGTGGATATGTGGAGCTGAGCATGGAGATGGCTGTAACATGGGGCATATCTCTGATATTCGATGGAAGGACTCACCACTCGAACTGGTTCCTAGCGGCGTGATCTGCGCTGTGGATGTGGTGGGCGCTACTGTGAAGGTGGGATTTTCTATTCATAGCGGGTTCAGAGTCGAGAGGGTCAGTAAAGAGCGTTAGCGGACATTTGAATGCTGCGATAATGGGGCCACATCTTTGCGCGCGGAAAGTGCCCTTGCGGTCTGGTATGCTGCACCTCACCATTGGGGGTGTTGGGAACACCTGCGGTCGAAGAGCCTTGAGCGTCGCATAGGCCACTCAAGAGCAGTGCTTGGATAGCCACAGAGAGCAATGCGAGAAAAGAGTGGTTCATCTTGAGGCAGCGGAGATTTCAGCAGACTGTTTGGAGTGACACAATTCTTGAGAAGCCAGTGGGATGATGGTGGGTAGAGGCGTGCATTGAGAGCAAAGCTCTCATATGCACCATCCGCACAAGCTGGTCCCCTCGCATTGCTCCACGTCGTTGTTCGTATGACTGACACTCCACTCGACCTCGCTCTGTCTGATCCCCGCTCGGCTCTCGATGTTGCCTGTTGGACCGATGAACGAACGCATCGCGGGCTGCTCTTGACTGAATGCGGCAAGGCTGTGTTCTCCAACGTTGCCGAGCTGGAAGTGCCCAGCGAAGGGAGCGCATGCTGCACTCAGACTGAGGTAAGCTCCTCTACTGCTGCTTGCGTTTTGTTACACGTTTCAAAGCTTGGCAAAGGCAGAACCGAGAGAGCCTTGCACCCTTCGGTGAAGTATCTGTCATGACTTTTGATTGGCGAGCTGGTTGGGCCGTCAAAGTCGCCCGCACGCCTCGGCAGCTTCGAATGCCTGCATCCAGGCCAGGATCTTGCTGGTCGCAGGGCCTCAAATCACCGAGCCAATAACACTCACGACTCTACCGCTGCATCCTCTGCTCTCCACTCGTGACTTTCCGAACGGGCATCAACCCCACAATTGGGGTCAAGAGTGCTAGATCGCAGAAAGCGTGGGAATTGAAAATGTACCTTGCTTGAACCCCGAATCGAGCCTGTGAGTGTGATTTCACTTCATTCGAATTCAAGATTATGGTTCACATTCAATGATTGGCGATTGCGATTGTGCGGGGAAGCTCTGCCGAACTGCCCCCCCCCCCCCCCCTTCGGCATTAAAATCGCCATGCAATCGCAAACGCGGGGACTTATGCAGCATGACGTTGCTGCTGGCTACGCGAACGCTCCAAGCTAGCTAGCCCATCGCGCGAACAGGAAGATCGAGCAGAAATGCTGACTGCAACGCTGGCCTCAATTGACTGTTCAAGATTCAATTCATGAACTTCATAAGAGTCTCGCGGCCTATACCGTACCACCACTCGGACCAACCTACCGACTTTGAGGGGTAGACAATCGCAATCGCGAATGTTGCGAATCGATTCCAAGATTGAGCAAGTAGGCGAACTGGCTTCTACTTCTCGTCGGACCGGACAAACGTACGAGTACCAAAAAGACGGCACATCGCTCTACAAGCTCGTCCCGGTCTCTCCTCTCACGGACACTCTTCCTTCACAATCACGAATACGTGCTCACGCACAAACACACTCAACAATGCGTTATCGTCTAGTGCCTGTGTCATTCCCCAAGTGATTACATCTGTGCTAGGGTGTGTGACTGCTCTGTCTGACGGCTCAGACAGCGCGTGCTGCGAGACAGGCAGGCTCGTAGATTGAACGACGTTCTATGCGCGCTTCAGACTGGCAGTTTGACCAGGCGACGTGGGCAAGTGAGCGTTGTGGACATGCGTGAAGTCATCGATGGAGCAGAAGTGCGTCTGGTGTACAGCTCGCTCAGTGCCTGCTGGAACGCCTCGGAGGACTACGACTTCTGCTTCTGCTGACAGACCTAGGTGGCCGCCTGACCGGACTTCGGCTTCTGGATCTACGAGATCTATAAGGCGGGCTCGCGCTGCGATCATGGCTTCTGTGAGATGAATTACCTTTCCTTCCTTCGTATCTATCGTGGCCTCTAGAGACAGGATAGCGCGCTTCTTGCTCTTCCCGCGCGTACGATCTTCTCCTTTCTCCGGCATCTCTGATCGCTGTATAAGCTCTTCTCTCGTCGTCCTCTCTTCTGTACGAGCCTCTTCGTTGCTCATCTGCTCGCTCATAGAAATCGCGACGATCCGCATTCCGTGCGGCGAGATCTCTGGACGGGCCTGTGGCAGCCACGCGGGAAGGATGAACAGCAGGACCACGAGGTGGAGGGACAGGCTCCAATCGTGGCGCTTGCGGTCCAATGCCTCCTCTTCTCTGAGACTCGCCCGGTGCAGGCCCCCAAGGATGAGCGGCACCTAGGAGAGCCGAGGGCACATCTGCAAGAGCAGGCGGCCCACGCTGCGGTCTGGCTTCGATCCCTCTCCTCCCCATGCTGGCGCCCCCACGTATACTGATATCCCTAGCGCTTCGCCCAGCTCCGCCAGAAGCGTGGGATGGGTTGGTCAGACTGACATCTATCATGTCCCCATCGACCACATTGATATCTTGCAATGTCGTCTTTGCCGCTCTTTCATTCGAGATAGCGTCCACTTCCTTGACCAACTTGTCGGAAATGGCCGATGGTAGTAGCCCTTGATCTACAGATTGCAGAGGATTGACCCGGGTGACGTGCGCTGCAATTTCTCGAGCTGCCATCTCGGACCGCCGCGAGTCGAAGTATACGAGTCGAAATGCATGATGCGTCGTTGGATTGGAGATGTTTGGCTGTGCTAGGTGTAACAGAGCTGCAACATCTCGCAGATTAGCCGTTCGCCTGGAGGAGCGAGATCAGGAAGGGAAGAGAGTTTCGTCAAGATGCCAGCGCCACACTCTGCGACCACTGCGATCTGATCAGCGTCTAGACCGCAGCTCACCAGACGTAGAGCTTGAACTCGTTGTTCTTAACCTGAGGCGCGTCCCTGCGACCGTGATCGAAATCTTTTAGTGGTCTGAAGGGACCCTGTCTCGCGTGTACACGCAGCACGAACGGGGTAGCCTGACCGAATCGGCTGTCGCGCGATCAGCACGCGTGGTGATATACATTCGATCTTGGTATTTGCGAGCGTCACTCACATCATCGCCGGGATCGGGTAGCTTGATCTTGCTGAAGGGTGCTTTTTGTGCAGAAGGCTTGCGGTCTGGATCTCGGCTTCTGCTCCGACTCCTGCTTCTGCTTCTGGATGAGACGCTCCTGGTGTACGAGCTGGAGCTGCGTCCCCTCCGATGGCCTCGATCCTCTGCGGACATATTCCGCCTTCCATTCCTAGACGAGGGCGAGCGAGAGCGCGAAGAGGTGCTCATGCGGTCCTCGTTAGCTCGAGATCTTCGCGCATCGACGGGAGAGCGAGAGGGCGGCATCGAGTCTGCTGGCGTTGGCTCAAGGCTGAGCACGGCAGAATGTGTGCGCTTCGAAGACCGCGATGACTTGAACTAAGTCATGGTACTCAAACTGTATTTAAGGTAAGATTGATGATCGGGTGAGATGAATGTAGCGTCTGCAGCCACGAGTACCGGTAACGGCGGAGAGAAGAAATAGCGCAGCTTCAAAATCACGTGAATATCCATAGCAGCAGATGCGCGAATCGAGTGCGCGTGTATGCGGCGCCGCATGCACCGTGCAGATCCAAGCAAGTCCGCTGTATACAGTAATACCTATGCGCACCCAACTCGGCCAGGTGTCCGCCTCGATCTTTGAATTGATGGCCCTTGCTATCATGACGCTCACCTCTGAAGGGAGTGGAGATTATCTCGGACCTCTTCATAGAGCCGAAGCAGCCATTCCAGATTGAGGTCGACGTCTTGAGCCCATCTTGCGGGTGTAATCTCAACGTCGTGCTCCTGCGAGCAGACGTTGCGCGACGTCCTCTCATACGCAAGGGGCGCAGCGTTCGACACGGCCATGCGCTCAACATCATGACGCTCACTCACCCAACGCAAGAGTGGCATTCCCTGCAAGACGTCTTCTACCGCCGCAATCAAGTCTACTCGCTCTCTTGGGCGATAGATGATCTGTCCAACTACAAACTGGCAGCTGCGCCAAACGGAGGACTGTTGGCTCTGGTCAGGGATCCTGCCAAGCTCGTCGCATTAGGCAAGGTCTCTAATCTGAGACCCAAAATTCAGGTGTACACCTCGGCAGGGCAATTGGTAGAGAGCATTCCTGTGAGTATACTCGATCGATGCTGGTCGTCAAAATGTCGGTGCTTGCTCCGCAGCAATTGACTCGCAGCCACACCGGTCGAACAGTGGAATGCCTCAGACCGGATCATAGCGCTTGGATTCACCGACGATGAGCAGCTGATAGTGGTGCTGGAGGAAGGAGCAGCTCGTCTGTACACCTTCTTTTCGCCCTGTCCAGCGCAAGACAAGCGTACACTCCAAGCTGACAGAAGAAGCGAAAACCAATCCTACTCCTCCGTGTCGGGTCCAACCCCAACGGAGGTGACTGCCAGCTGTTACTACACGCAGTACAGTCTAGGCGCGGAAGCGGTAGAGACTGGAATCGAAGATGCTCGGATGTGGTCTCAAGGACTCGTCATCAGGACTAGAGCAGGGAGATTTGTCGAATGGTCCTTTCCCTTCAAAGAGGGAGCCAGTGAAGGTGCTTGGTCCAAACGCACCCTTTCTATTCCAGCGCCCATCCTGTTGCCCTCGATCCCGTCCGAGACGAGCACAAACTTTCAGGAAGTCGGTACTTCTATGGCTGCGGAAAGCCAAGCAAGCGTCGGCGCGTGGGACATCATACCTTCCACAGTATCGAACTCAGGCCTGGTCGAAGTGCTTTTGTCACCTACATCATCCGCTCAAGAAGGCACTCTGCTCTCCCTCGACTCGCTGAGCGGCAGTACAGATCTTCGTCTCACTCGTGGACCTTTTCACACCATCCGTCCAAGTCCCAATGGAGCTCTGTTGGCGCTGCTTACGCACGACGAGAAGGTCTGGGTCGTCAGTTCTGACTTGCAACGCAGCCTCTCAGAGTATGATCTTGGATCTTCTGAAGCTTTTGAGTCGAACAAAGGCAAAGGACTTGGAGGAACGGGAGTGGAAGATGTGAGATGGTGCGGCAACAACTCAGTGGTGCTCAGTTCCGAATCGGAAGTGGTGATGGTGGGACCGTTTGGGGAAGTGCTGCGGTGAGCATCTCACGAGAGCCTATGTGAGGGGACACTACGGGACAGTCCTGCTGACGTTGATCCCCCAACAGCTTTCCTTACTCTGGCGCGGTGCATCTGATACCCGAGACGGACGCAGTTCGGATTATAGGCAGCGACAGGCACGACTTTCTGCAAAAAGTACCAGAGGCAACATCTTCGGTGTTTCAGCCTGGGAGTACTCACCCTGCCGCGCTGCTATTTGATGCATCGGAGCACTTTGCCGCGAAGAGTGCAAAGGCGGACGAAGGTGTCAGAGCCATCAAGAACCAGCTCGCGGAAGCTGTCGATACTTGTGTGGAAGCTGCAGCATACGAGTGGGACGCTGCGTGGCAACGCAAGCTGCTCAGGGTGAGTGGTGCAGCTGGCCAAATGCGGTCTTTCAAGAGCAATCTAAGCTTTGTCAGCCCGTCTATCCACCCATGCTTGTCCAGGCTGCTTCATTTGGGAAGGCCTTCGTCGATCTGTACGATACGGCGCCATTCGTAAAGCTAGCGAAGGCATTGCGTATTCTCAATGCGGCTCGGCGGCACGAGATTGGCGTGCCCGTCTCTTACGACGAGTGAGCGCCACGACGAGCTCAAAGCGCATAGCGCACCGCTGACTCGACTCCGACTCTGGATGCAGATACAAACAGATAGGCGCCACTGCTCTCATTGCTCGTCTCACAGCTCGCAATCACCACTTGCTCTGCCTTCGCGTGTCGGAGCATCTGAACCTTCGACCGGATCCGGTTCTCAAGCATTGGGCTCAAGCCAAGATCATGAGAACAAGACCTGCTGTCGGAGCCATAGCGAATCAAGCTTTCTCGGCCGTGGACGATGTGGTTTGCAAAGCCATCGTGGAGAAGTTCGAGTCGCAACCTGCGGTCAGCTATGCAGAAATTGCTCAGACCGCTTGGGATCAAGGTCGAACCAGACTCGCAACCAAGGTACGTCACGTTCTTCAACTCTTCTGGCGCTCTGTCATATGGAGCACAAGCTGAGCCGCCCGCATGTACCCTTAGCTTCTTGACCACGAGCCGCGAGCTGTCGATCAAGTGCCGCTCCTTCTCAACATGCAAGAAGACAAGGCGGCTCTGATCAAAGCCATCGAAAGCGGAGACACGGACTTAGGTGAGCCTGTCTCGCATGAGGACTGTCAGGCTGAGAGCGCACTGACACTGCTCTCCGACTTGACAGTCTACCACGTCCTTCTGAGACTCAAATCGCAGCTTTCGCGCGGCGACTTCTTCCGCATTCTGCAAGCCCCGGCAGCGGAAGCGACGACTGCGGCAATGGCTTCCAACAAGCCACCACCATCCGCTACCGACCACATACACCTTGCAGCAAATCTGCTCGAGGTATACGCTCGCAGCGAAGACCAAGAGTTGCTGAGAGACTTCTATTACCAAGACGATAGAAGAACAGACGGCGCTACGCTTAGCCTTGAAGAAGCTGCTGGAGAAGACGATTTGCAGGAACGCATATTCAAGATCAAGGAAGCGCAAAGACTCTTTGGGGAGGACAAGGATCGGTCGCTCGAAGCCAAGGTGAACTTGTTCGCGTGCGCGAGTGGAGAATAGGCGCAAACAGTTACTGACTCATAGCGCCCTTTCGTCACTCCTTCTGCAGCTTGCGGAGGAAGACGTACGTCTGCTTGGATTTCAAGCTGCTATGGAGAGAGAGGAGGGCGGCCGGTCCACTTGGCTCGGATGTAGTCTGGCCGAGACGATCCGCCAGCTGCTAATTCGAGGAGACAACAAACGTGCAGAAAAGCTTCGAAGCGATTTCAAATTGACGGACGCTAGATTTGGAAGTATCAAGGTTTCTGCTCTGATTGTTCTGCGAGATTGGGAAGGTCTTTGGAATTTTGCGGGTGCGCGAAAGGCGCCCGCACTCGCTTTTGAGACTCTATCGAGACTCGTCACGGCGGGGTACGTGAGGGAAAGTACGCGTTACGTGCCCCGCGTCATGGCTGACAAGATTGCCAGGAGCAAGCTCTCGTGAGTGATAGAAGTGGGATACTTAAACGTGCACCCTAGAGAGCACGCAAGCTGACAATGAAGCGAGACCGTCTCCCTGTCCCCATGCTTCAGCTCTCTCATACAACGCTTGCCACAAAGCGCTGCGCAAGCCGTCGGAGAGGCCATGGATGCTGAACTGTGATACCCTCCGATTTGACTTCCGCTATCTATTCCGCATCATGTCACCTCATTTCATTCCAACAATCTGCATCTCTCTCCGAGCTTGCGCGCCCCTCGAGGAGATGGTCTCTGCGTGCTGGATTCTTGTTGTGGGTGGCGCTTTGATAATTTCTTCTGGCCATCATCAAAAGGTAGTGGAGATTTGCGGCTTCAGGGAAAGCGCACACACCTGACTCACACTGACTGTACATGCGTCGCTAGTTGCAGTGAGCTCTCTCGTGCGGAAAGGCGCGCTCCGCACCAAATTTTGAAATTTCGACTGCGCGGAGCATGCTGTGCCGCGTTGTGCTTGCGATGCAGCTCTGTACCAATTCTTGACTCGCGACTCTCGAGGCTCTAGCAACTATGCGTGCACGATCCACAACCTATTCCCGCCCTCTTCCACAACACTTCCAGCCAACACACAATAGTCTGGTTTGATTGTCCGAGGAGCGCCGAGTCCTTGAACTGGTCAAGATGGACGACGATGGGCTGCTCATGAACTTTGCGGCCCCACAGCCTGTGAGCAGAGCCAGTCGCACGCAGGTCAGGAAAGGTGCTGCTCAGTCTCGAGCAAGTCGGAGTGGAGCGCCTCATGCCAAACGACAGAGCAACGGCGATGCTTCAATCAGCTCAGACACCTCCGCTTTAGCGTCTCGAAGCTGGGCACGGCATGCAGCCTCATCAAGTGCGTCGACACCTCCCTCGACGAGTCTCACTGCACAACCCCCTTTCAGCTCTCGACCTGATCGCTCAGCTCTCAAGCGCCCTCGTCTCTCGGGTGCGGGAGGTAGTGTCCAAGCTGATGGCCTTAGTGCCGCACATGACATTTTAGACCTTTCGGAACGGACCGGTAGACGAAGGATCAAGACAGCTGCGGCTGCGTCCGCGTCTACTCGTCCTCAAGGTTCTCAGCTAGGCAGCGGAGCAGGCAGACCTGGTAGCGGAAGTGGGGCCGGCATCGTCTCTTCTCTCTTCACGGGTGATGTTAGCAGCGGACCAAATGGTAACATCTTCGCCGAGGGGACCACACCTGTCCGCAATGCCAAGCCTACCAACGCCCCTCTTGACAGCTCGACCTTCTCGGGTCTGGCGCTCGATCCGCTGATAGTGCGCCATCTCTCTGGCAGGATGGATATAGGCTCGAGACCTACAGCTATCCAGAGGACCGCACTGCCAGCTCTCATGTCCTCATCCTCTTCCTCCGAAGCGTTTCCGACGTACGACAAGGCGACTGCGAAGGACGTCTTGATTCATGCGCAGACGGGATCTGGAAAGACGCTGGCATACCTCTTGCCCATCCTGCAGAGCTTGCTGCCGCTCTGCGAAGACGCTGCCAGCTGGATAGACAGGAACATTGGTACCCTCGCTATCATCCTCGCTCCCACACGAGAGCTGGCAAGGCAGATCTACGAGGTGGCTGAGAAGCTGTTGGCTCTGCACTTGAGTGCACGAAGTGGCGACAGGACCGATGAACGCGAAGCAGCCGAGATTGCTGGAGACGAGGCTGCTGAAGATGGGCAAGACCCTTCGCGCCGCCGCACGAGGTGGATTGTACCCGGCTTGCTGTCAGGGGGATCTACCAAGAACCACGAGAAGTCCAAGTTGCGCAAGGGACTACCTATCATCGTTGCGACTCCCGGTCGCCTGCTGGATCATCTACAGAACACCAGCACTTTAGACGTGGGTAGGCTTCAGTGGCTGGTGCTGGACGAGGCCGATCGATTGCTCGAGATGGGCTTCAAAGAGACCCTGGATGCCATACTACGGGCTTTGGATGGTCGTAGAAGATTGGCCAGAGAGACAGCAAGAAATGTCATGCTGGAGAATGGGGGCGCAGCGAATGACGAGCCTACCGACGCGATGGGCATACAGTGGTGGAAAGCTCCAAGGAGGACCGTGCTGTGTAGCGCTACATTGGACGAAAATGTGCAGGTACTTGCAGGCACTGCTTTGGTGACGCCCATCGTCGTCAGGGCCTTGGCCGACGGTGACGAGCCAAAAGACGCCTCAGCACCTTTGGCAATTAGATCCGATTCCACATCTTCGGACGTGAATCTCGTTGCAGTCGCCAAGACGGAGGCACAACCTCAAGCAACATTGTCTGCTCCAGCTCAGCTTCGCCAACACTTTGTCGTCACGCCTACCAAGCAGCGTCTTGTGATGCTACTAGCGCTTTTGCGCAAAGCGATCTCGAGCGCTACTTCGACTGAGGGAACGCCTGCAGCTACTCGACGGGTCATCGTTTTCATGTCTTGCACAGACTCTGTCGACTTGCATTGGAACGCCATGGGTGGAGTCAACATGGATATACTAGATGGTGCAGAGGAGCGGTCCACAACAGAGAGCGACGCAGGGACACCGAACTCAACCGTTGGTCAGACTTGTCAGCTCCTGCCTGATGCGCGAGTGTACCGCCTGCATGGTTCGATGCCTCAAGCGGACCGTATATCAAGTCTGAGGACTTTTTCGAAGAATGCGCCCTCCAACGGTGGCGCCTGCAAAGCTTCAATTTTGCTCTGCACGTCTGTAGCTGCTCGAGGGCTGGATCTGCCCGATGTAGGCACCGTTATTCAACTTGATCCGCCGACCGACTCGGGAGCAGACGAGTACCTGCATAGGATTGGCAGAACTGCGAGAGCAGGTCGCAACGGACAAAGCTGGCTGATGCTACTCCCTCACGAGCGAGAAATCGTGTCCAGACTGGAAGAGAATATGCGCTCTGGCGATGCAAAATACAAAGACGCTCAGAAGCATTTGCACGAAGCGGATCCAAGGTCGACTTTGAGAGACGGATTCGGGGGAAGGGGCGACGAGTATGAGGCCCGGGCTACGGATGCGCAATTGGCGTTTGAGCGTTGGGTCATGAGCAGTGAGAAGGTGAGTACCGCAAAGCGCACCAACGGTTAATCTGAAGCTCTGCACCATGCTGAATGATATTTCCGGACGTTCTCGGCAGGCTTCGGCAATGGCGCGCTCGGCGTTCATGTCCCACATTAGGGCTTACGCGACACATCCAGCTTCCAACAAGGACATCTTTCCCATCGGCGCTTTGCAGCTGGGTCATTTGGCCAAAGCGTTTGCCCTTAGAGAAGCGCCTGCAACAATCAAGGCCAAAGCGAGAAGCAGCGGATCTGCGGCCAAATTGAACACAAGCAAGAAGCGCAAAATCGAAGTGAAGGAAGAAGCCCACAGGAAGGACAAGATCCAAAAGATGCAGCAGAAAGCGCAGGACTTGGCCACGTCGGGACGAGAAGACGCGCGCGATGGCCCGAGGGAAGAGGAGGAGGAGGAGGAGGATTCGGACGATCCGGCTGCTTTTGCCCGGTCGGCCGCTCGTAAACATGCGAGGCATAGCCTGCCCAAAGCTGGTGCTCCGACCAAGGACGTGCCAACGAACAGCGCCGAGGCGAGGATGTACGCCAAGGTCAGAGCTTTGGGTAGGGAAACCAGGAAGGGAGGCGTGCTTGGTGCTCATGCGGCTGATGAATTCCAGCTCGCTTGAACAACACCACTTGCTCGGATTGAAGATTCTTCTTGGGCGCTTGTATGCTTGCATTTTGTCACCATTTTTGAATGCAAACTATTCTACGTGGCCTCACATTAGAGAACGCGCTGGGTGATGGCTATAAATTCCCACGGGCCCGTTCCATGCACCCTGAAGGCGCACGTCGAAGCACAGAGCGCAGGTGCACTTCTCCTGGAGCGAGGGAGCGTGAAGCTCCGGGCTAGCCGTTCTGGTCCTTCAACTCTAGGAAGCGTGCCGTGTCGCCCAGGCCGACGACGATGCGCGTAACGCTCAATGACGAGTCTCGCAGATCTTTGCCCAGGGACTGGTCTAGCTTGTGGCAGACCTCATGAGCTATCTTCTGCACCTCTTCGCTTGAGCGACGAGGTTGAATTTGCGAGGCGTCCAGTCCGCGTTTCTGCCTCTGTCTCGCATCGCCTCCAAGAGGCAGAGCAATGCTACCGAAAGAGGCATGAAAACGAGGTGTCCTTGGGCCTTGCTCGAGATGAGCAGATGCAAAGTACCGCGAGGTGCTTCGACTCGCACCCGTGTCGTAGTAAGATTGTGCACCGAAAGGTCTCAATGCGACGTGAAGTTGGCTCGCTAGCATGCGGAGCTGGATGATGTCGGACTGTTCAGTGAACAGAGCATCTGTGTATGCGAGTGCACCATCTAAGATACTCACGGTCTCGTGCCCCTGACCAACCTCTATGGCGAAAAAGATGCGAGACTCGTGATCGTTGACTAGAGCGCAGAAGCGCGCAAAAGAGACTTTGAAGCTGGACCCAAATAAGTGGTGTCAGTCGAGACTGTCGTGGACCCTGCCCTGGGAGGCGAAGAGAGAGGCCTCACTCTTGTAACTCACGGTGCTGTTCGTTGCGCGACAGTCCGAGCTGCCTCGGCAAAGGCAGATCGCTCACGCTTCTCGACGGGCGTGGCACGGCAGAGGGACACATGCGGCGCTTCTATCAAGCGGAGGTTCGATCCGCCTTCCATTCCGAATGCGTTCGACATCACGGACGAGCTTTGCTGCTGTGCTTCTTTGGGACTGCCGAATTGGTGCTCCAATGCTTTGCGAGCTTTGGAAAGGATGGTGACGACCCCTCCTACAGCGCCATCGACTTCGTCAAAGGCTATGATGGTCGCGAATGCATCATCAATCAGTGACGCTGCTCGAGTTGTCGAACACTTGAAGAGTGTCCTGAAATGAATCTATGACTCACTGGGAGCGTACACATAGCAAGGCCACAGCCCCGGCACAGCTAATGGGTCTTCTAGAACCTTGTAGCGACCGAGACCTTCCTTGTTCCGCTCCGCAAAGGGTGCCTTTAGCCTTTCGAGTCGAGTCGATGCTGCACGTAAGTGTGTGGGCTCGGAAGATATCTGCATTACCGTGGCACGTACCTTTTCCGAGCAGGAGGGCGCTGCTCGAGCTCGGATGTGGATGTTTGCGGAGACTTTGGTGTCTCGACGACTGGAGGTTGTGCCATGGCAAATTGGTCCGGCTTGCTTACACGCACGTCAGACTCGGGTGATGGAGAAGGTGACGAGTAAGATACTAGCCGCATTTTTGCTACACCTTCTCTCAACTTGACTATGTAGTCCGAGGTTCAAATCGATGAGTCAAAGAATGATTTGCTTGAAACAAATTTTGGTCGTGTAATGTCATCGTTGAGGTTCCCAAATCTTCTGTGCGTGGACGCCTACGTCTTTAGCAAAGCCTGTCCGTGGCGCTTTAGATCAGACGCTGACGCACTTCAGGGTCTGTGACTCCTCGACTGCTTCAGGTGTTCGGGCCAGCCCTCATCTCCTCTGCTCTGGTCTTAGGCAACCGCTCGACATCGCTTTCGTTCGAGTCCAGGTAGAATGCGCTGTCCTTCCAATGACTCGGCGTTTGCACTCAGCGCAGCCTTCTCTTCTTATTCCTTGCTGTGTGCTTACGTCTCAGTCGAGAGACGAGCCTCAACATGACTATCCAGGCGACTTTGGACAGTCTGTTGCCTATATTTACTCACGGTTGCGAGCCTACCCCGTCCGATTATGAGGTGCGTGCGCCCACGTGGAGGCGCGCCGTCATGGCGCGCAAAGGAAGACGCGATTCAGGAAATGCGTGACGATTCGCGCCTTCTTTTCGCGCATGCAGGACCAGCTTATGCTCATTTCAGCTCCCTCATCCACCTCGGGTCACCCACGCTCTCGTGCAACTCAGCTTCCTCGGGATCATTTTTCACTCCAAAGAAGCTCTGCATCCTCTGCAGACATCAAGCTTGCGCTTTCATGGTGACGTAAGAGTCGCACTCGTCACAGTGACCGCTTCGCCGGCCAGCTCACTCCTTCTCGGGCAACATCGCGCTTGACGCTCGTCCTGGTCGACCTGCATCACCTCGAAGCACACGCAGAGGACTAGAACGTGCAGAGATCAGCTAGTAGCCGTATCTTGTGAGTGCTCGACCGCAGTGTCCGGACCTACAAGTGAACCGCGGTCAAGGGCCGATGGCCGGCCCGCAGCCGGGTACGGGTGTAAGCAGGACGCGATAGAAGTCGGACAACTTTGCAAGGATTACAAATCTTATTCACACTGTTTGAGACGGCGAACAGGTCCACTTCTTCATGGAGGAAACCTTGTATCGTCCCTCAATGATCCATCACTACAACGGTAGATGAGCGAAGCATGGGCGAAGGAAGGTGTCGATGGGCTTGCTCGTGGGACATAGCAGGCGTGCATTCATGACGCCATGTGCTGCGCACGTCTCCCCAAGCTGACTCGAGATCTCGCCTTCGTACAACTAGCTCTGGCGCGATAGACCACCTATCACAGGCTCTCACCTGGCCACGTCATCATGGCGAACGCGCCGGATCGCTTTGCGCTCTTCATCCTGGGTCCGAACGAGCATAGAGTGGACGTAGCTGAAGATCCTCAAATAGCCAATGCAGCCACGTTCACATTGAACAAGGAAGATCACACGATGGGCAACATGTTGCGTCATGCTGTTCTCGTGATTCCGGGTGTGATCTTCTGCGGGTATAGGGTTCCTCATCCGCTCGAGCCTCGGGTGGTGATCAAGGTTCAAACGGACGGGAGCATTTCTCCCTCTCAAGCCATCTTGAACGGATGCAACAACCTCATCTCTCAAGTAGGCCAGGTCAGGAATCAGTTCAGAAATGAATTGCAAGCAAAAGGCTTTGGCTCCGCCTCGGGACATTCGGCAAATGCGAATTCTTTCGATGCCAATGCCCCTCAAGGCTACTCTTACGGCACCGGCTATGGCGATGCGCTGGACCAAGGCAGGGAGAATGGCGATTACGTGGACATCTAGCGTGCCGAATTGGCTATCCTCGGCCGCTAAAGTCTACGCTTCCCAATCGTCTTGTCACATCGCACGATTCATTCGCTTTCTTCCTGTCCTCGATGCTTCAACCCCTCGTTCGTCCTCCTCATGACTCCTCCACGTCCGCCGCTCATTCCAAGAGTCCTTGTCGCAACATGTACTCCCATCAAGCACAGTAAGCAATCATCATACCAGTCACCAGTCAGCGGAGTTCCGCCGCAGTGATGGTGCTTGTGACCGGCCCGTAGCGACTGCAAGTCATGCGTATGGCCAGAAAACAAAGAACGACGAAGCATAGTCGCAGCTTAAGCTAGGGGCCCGTTCGCACTCTCGCTCGATCCACACAAGATGTAAAGGCTGATGGTACATTACTAGCTGCGCTAGTAAAGGGCTTCGATTGCAACGCCTCGGCGCAAAGCGCTGCGGTACGTGAGCGTGGCATGGTGTGGGACAAGTCGTGGTCCCGGCTTGGTGGACATGAAATGTGCGAGCACCTGTCGGCGCAACAAAATTTTGGTGAAGTGCTAAGATGACATGCGAAGACTCGGAGACGGGCAGGAACCAGAGCGGACGCGCGGAAGGCCAGAAAGTTGAGCCAGCGCGCTGATCTACTCGTCGTCAACAGCAGTGGGCTGGACAACGACGTTCTGTCCCGCAAGCTTAGCACGCTTGGCCATCTTGTGCGCAGACTTGTTGCCGCGCAAACCACCGCCCCAAGAGCGTTGAGGAGTCTCGTTGGCCTTGGCAGCAGAGACGAGGGAGGCAAGCTCACGCTGGTCCTCGCTCTTGACGTCAGTCAGAGCAGCGACCGCGCTGGTCTTCTTGTGCACGAGAGCACCGAGACGCGACTTGCCGTTGCGGAGGATCAGGAAGGGGACACCCATCTTGCGGCAGAGAGCGGGCAAGAAAACGACCAACTCAATAGGATCGACGTCGGAAGAGATGACGACCAGCTTGGCCTTCTTGGCCTCGATGAGACCAACGACGTGGTTCAGACCGTACTTGACGTGAATGGGCTTGGGTCCGACGTTGGCGGCATCCTTCTTACCAGCAGCGATCTCGGAGGCGACCTTGGACAGACGCTCCTTCTTCTCGAGCTTGGACTCGGGACGGTACTTGTTGAAAAGCTTGAAGATGGCGGTTGCCGTGTTCTTGTCAACCGTGTTGCTGAATTGGGCGAGCGCGGGGGGTACCTTGAGACGCTGGTGAAGGACGACGCGCTGACGCTGCAGCTGCACGTATTCCGGCCACTTGACAAAGCGAGTGAGGTCACGAGGAGGCTGGATGTGTTGACCTGCGGACATGCATGCAAGGGAGCGCCACGATCAGCAGACACGTCGAGCGCATTCAGATGGGAAACAGTGTCCTCACCAATGCCGAAGTGACGAGTGCGCTTCTCGAAGCGTGGGTCCTTGGGTGCCTTGGACTTGCCACCCTTGGCGTAGGGCTTGCTAGCGGCGGAGGACTTGGTAGCGGGTGCCTTCGGCTGCGGGACAAGAAAGACAAGAGGTACCAAAAAGGTCAGACGGGGTCATTGAGACGAGGAGAAAGACGAATCCAAAAAGATCGATCATGCTTAGCGCAGAAGCGCTTTGCAATGACATCTCTCGGATCGACGACCTCGGAGCTCTAGTAGGTGGGTGCACGCAGGCAAGTCTGTGACTTGTGCGGCTACCAGCACCTCCCCAAAACAAGCGTCATTGGTACGACGGCAGCAAAGTGCTCGAGGCAAATTGCGCCCAGGGTCGTCCTCGGCAAGGCGCACCACAGGGCATCATCGACCTGACACGACCAAGCTTTGACCAACGATGCAGCAGACTGCCCATTGATATCGCTTGAAAGTACTTGGGTGTGGATGTCTCCGCACAAGTGGTGGCTGGCATCGCGTGCGCAACGGAGTGTGGCACGAAGGCATGTTGCGCAACTAGTCGTTGCGGAGCAGCGGTGACGATGCCCTCTTGAAGGAGCTACCCAGAATCGACTAGCAAGCTCGTAAAGTCATGCTAGATGTGCCGAGGCTAAAAATCCAACAGAATGCGCACCATTTTGAAATATGTCTTGAGGTGGAGAGGTCGTCGCGATTTGGGTGTCGATGGTGAGCGTGATGAAGTTCTGGCTGACCGAGACTACTACACATGAGCTGTGCGGACGCGCGCGCGCGGGCCGCAGGCGAACTTTTCTGGCGATTTTGATCCTCTGCTGCGCGCTGCCAGACCACGTGGCACAGGACACGATGGCGCGCCTCGCACTCAAACTGCCAGCCAATGAATACGCTCATCGAGGTCGATCCCCGACTTGCTTCACCTCCTCAATGCGGCACAGCGTCGTTTACGTGTTGCTCGCGCTGATCGGCCTCTGGGCCTCTTTACACATGGTCGCGTTGAGCGTCAGACGACTGCTCAGAATACAGCGACACCAGGGAGGCTCGCCAGCCCCTCGCGCACCTTGGCTTTACGGTCAGGCTGTCCGCGCGGACATAAGAGCACACTCATCGACTCTCTCGACCTCTCTACAGAGTCGATGGAATCTCAAGTCCGTACATGGCTCAGAAATTCGACTTGCTGCCGTTCCTCAATTGTGTGACAAATTTATCAAGAACGGATCGTGATCAGCTTTGCGAGCATGGATGTGCCATGCCACACAAGATGCTTCGCGTCCTGACTGCGGGGTCGTCAAGACCTTTACACCGTCATGACGAGCAGTCGTGCTTAGTCTGTCTGAAAAAGTCCTCTCGCTGAATGGTCTGGAGCTCGCAAGATTGTCAAGTCTCGAGCGAGGTTGACAAGTGCGACGAGCCTTGAGACGTCATCAGGAAGGTTTGCGAGGTCGGCAAAGTGCAGGGAAAGTGATCAGCGAGAGCACCATCGAAAACAAGAATATTCTCGATAAACATCTATTCGACGCAAAAAGAGAAGTCAACGCCCCGCCGAAGCGAAGCGTTGACAGTTGCAAATATGCCGACCCGTCGCCCCCCAAAGGAGAGCGACGGGCGGGTCCCTCCACTGAAGACGAAAACGGGTCGCTGTGCAGATGGTGGAGGGCCCCGCTCCCCATGACGATGCTTGAGCCGCCAATGAGAGGTCAAGGTAAGTATGAGATGCAAATGTGGGGGATGCGGCCTTTGCGAAACTACTTATGCTCGCACGGGGGCGCGTGAACAGAAGGACGAGATAAACGAGAAACACGTGGCAGGCACAGCTGCGAGAGACGCGTACGCTCTTTTGATGAGCGCACCTCCTCTACGGCCGGGTGTACGCGTCTAGCCGCAAGACAGGCCGTGGCTCGCATGGCTGCGCCACTTTGGTTTGATGGATGAGTCGTCTGACCTCTGTAGGGCCAGGCCTGAGCCCGCGCAAAGGATCAACATTCGATCGTGATACACATGTGCCCATCCTACTGATTCCCACCAAACCCACCAGCTCTCTTCAGCGTAGCTCTTCTAACCCTCTCACTAGACTTGTCTCAAAGCAAAGCAGAAGTGCCTCGCTTTTCACAACTCCTACCACCAGCTCAATCACCAAGAGCGCGTTTATGAGCCTCGCTAACCTCAACAGCTACGGTGAGTGTTGGCGTGAGCGGCCAATTCGAAGGGCATGATGATGTCAAGAGAGCGAAAAGCGATGGGCAGGAGCGTGTCGTGCAGGTAGTGGTAGACAGAGGGATCAAGGCAAGAGAGACGCCAATAGGAATGCGGACGGCCGGAGTCGGCGCCCAGGCTCACACGACTGCCTCCTCTCTCGTATACTAGACCCCTTCGCCGATACTGGCGAAGACCAGATAAAACAAGTCGATACAGAGGCCGCCGAGAAGAAGGCTGCTGCCGCTGCAAAAGGTGCGGACAAGTACATCCACATTCGTATTCAGCAGCGTAATGGACGCAAGACTTTGACAACCCTTCAGGGCCTGCCAAAAGGTGAGCCATGCCTTCCAATACGCGGTCGCAGGCATGCGGTGTAAGCTTTGGCAGCGACTTGAAGCAACGGAGACGGCTCTGCTCGGTTGACTAATAGCTGAATGCGTGGTGCCAGCTAGCACCATGTGCGGCCCTTCCTGTCAGGTCGTCCCACCTTTGCGCTTCGGTGGCGTCAACCCTGTAGGGTGTGGACCATGGACGGATTGGCCACTTAGCAGCGAATTGTTGCTCTTGCTGACACAATGACTCGCTTGATCTACGATTTGATTATGGCCACAGAGTATGACAGCAAGAAGCTGATCAAAGCATTCAAGAAAGAATTCGCCTGCAACGGCACTCTGGTCGATGACGAGGAGATGGGACAAGTGATCCAATTGCAAGGAGATCAACGTCAAAAGATTGCAAGCTTCTTGATCGAGGAGATTTCCATTCCCAAAGCCGACGTCAAAGTGCACGGTTTCTGAGCGAATCAAGCCCCATCACCCTCTTTCATCTTCAAAGAGGGCCACCTCCTCACTCCGACACACTATCACTCCCTGCGAAACCTTTACACGAGCAGAGACGCCCAAGACCGCTGGCGTTCAACGCCTTCTCTTCAAAGTCTTGCCTTCCCACAGCTCATCATGATTGTCAGGCAGCGAGATACGCCTACGGGCGCCGGCCCCCCTACTTCAGCAGACCCGAGAAGTGCAATAATGACAATCAGATGATGGCGACTTGCACGAGAGCAACGTCAGTAGCGTTCGCACCAAGACGCTGGGTGACCATTGCGATTCAAAGCGCACGAGGCTCTCGACTGGGTTGGATGGCTTAACGAAAGGAGTTGATGTAGGCCGTCATGCTCGCGTGTTGATTAGTATGTCCTGCGGGCGTGGAATGGGACCTAGCATACACGCGCAGTGAGGCCTCTTCAAGGTGCTAGTCTCGAAAGGATGTCATTCCAAGCGCCCCTCATGAAGCGAAGAGTGGCAAGGGCAAACAATTGGTCGCCGATGACCGATTCAAGCCCTCAGCTAGCTGCGACGCTGGCAGGCGACGGCCCAGACTGCAATCCAACACCGCCAGCGGCGTTCCTTTGAATCATTTTGCCTCTCCAGTTCCACATTCTGCGTCTGATGGGATCCGCTTTCGCCAATCTGTAAAGAACCTGCAATCGAGGCAGATGCGTACAGAACAAAACGTCAATTTTGCGAGACAAAGTCGAGCATGTTTAGGTGCACGAATTCAGCAGACGAGCTCAGCTTACTCACATCGAGCGCTGTGGCGACATCCAACCTCGCTGTCGCTTCGTCCAAAAGCCATTCCAGCGCAGGCGGGCATTCGATGAGGGGTGCCCCGGTCTCTTCTTGCGAGTTTCTGACTTGCGTGAGCATTTGTCTGGCCAAATCTGCATGAGGAGCGTACGAATTGCTAGAAGGTGCCAATTTGACTAGGCTAGAGTCACCAAAAAGAAAGATGATGTCAATCTGGCGCTGCTGGGTTATCACCTAGAACATCGATGCTCACCCTCGCAGATATGTCCAGGCGCTTTGGTTGTGGGGCATCCTTGCAATGTGCGATTGAGCGAAGCTGAGCGGCCGCGCACAGGGCAATCGAGCGCATTCAGCCACCTCCTCACGAGCTGCTGCTCGAAGCCAATGGTCGACTTACTTGGATTCATTGGCCACAACATGCTCCAGGTCTGCACCTACATATCGCCCGGCTCCTGGTGACCTCGCCCACGCACTGCCAAACAGAACTAGCCACCGGTGGTTCCAGGCAGAGTTGTTCCTCGCGTCATCTGCAATCAATTCGCTGGTGAAAACAAGCTCTGCATTCCAGATCTCATCGATGTAAGTCATAGCTGCTGGTTGTTCTTCAGCAGCTACGCGAGTGATACCGAAGTGCGACACCAGCCACGCCCGATAGGCCCAGGTATGGTAATTCTTTGCGTCGTCCTTGAAGATCTCGGCCGTGAATGCGAGCTCCTTGCTGAGATCTGGTCGCAGCTGCATGGTCAGGATCTGTCTTCTGTGCTGCCTGCATTGTGCACCGACCACCGCATTAAAGAAAGGGAGAGAGACTTTGAAGACCAGTGAAGATACCGCGTCATCACACAAGGGGACGAGCTACTCACCACACTTGATAATTCTTGAGGCTGATGCTGTTCGAAAGGTCATCCAACCACTCCAACTCTCTCCTGAGTCTATCTTCCTTCAGTCCCAAGCCCCCTGGGGAGTGATCATCGTCGGCACTCAGAATCTTGGCCCTCCATGCCCAGACTGTGTATGAGCTAGCATTGAGCGTCGCGAGATGCTTGGTCAATTGCAGAGCTCGAATTGACAGCTCGCCACGGGGTAGCAGTGCCCTGAGAAGATCCATGGCTTTCGAGTCTGGAGAACGCAGCGCCCGGTGATCAACTTCAGCACAGCGAGATCCGGTACGATACGTAGGAGGGCCGTACATGCACTCACAATCGGGGCTGTACATAATTGGACAAAGAGGGTTGGGCCCATCATCCTGGTGCACCGGAGCGACGTCCGCCCAAATATGCGACGCCGCGTCGAAGTCTTCACTGTAGGGATCAAATGAAAGTGCCATGATGATGCTGAATGTGTGTCGAGAGGCGATTCGTGAAGGTGTCGGGCAAGCCCAGCGGCAGACTGAGTGTAAGGGAGGCGTGGGGGGTGGGGCATACGCTTTCGACTAGACGAAAGCGGGGTCAAGCTTCTTCCGGGCAGCTTGGCCAGGCTCAGGGAGAAGGAGAGCCTTCAAGAAGAGAGGAAACGCGGTGTTCGTGATGGTGTTGCGATGTTGAGATCGATTGCGAGGTGAGCAGGTCCGAATGGATTGGCTTTGTGCTGGTGATGCTTCGGAGGTAAAGACCTGTTCAGGATTTGTGGTCGCGGCTGGACAAAGGAAGCGCTCAGACAAGCGCGCACCATCCGTTAGAAAGTGGAGCTGCGCATCGGCGAATTGCACACGCACATGCAGCATCATCATCAGCAGCAGGCGACGCGCCGTCCCGCGGGCACTCGCGATTTTTGATTGTGACTGTGGTTGCAAAACGAAATGAAGATCACAGGTGTGGCTTGACGCGAGCAAAGCAAGCCCACAGAAACCCTTTTAGAGTCGCAAATTCGCTAAAGGTCATTCCTTCACGATTGAGACAGCCAAAAAAAAATCATCGCAGCAACAATCACGAACGTTGTGCATTATGATTACAGTGCAGCATCCCAAATCAATGCTTGGCCGATTTCCACTGTTGTACACGTTCGGGCCCACGATTTTCAATTGCAACTATGCTTCGCTCTTCTTGCATTTGGGTGATGGTCCAGTCAAATAGCCTACGCACTTTGTTCTCCAGCTCCTCGCTGGACAAAGCACATTCCGTATCTAGGCGAGCAGCATCCGTAGACGTCTTGCCGTATTTATTTCGCAGTCTTCGTCTGAGGAGAATTCGCACCAATCTGAATGCGAGGTCGCGCAGTTCTGCCACTTGCTGAAGATCACAGGACGTGAAAGGAGATTCACGTGAGCTGCCACTCGCAGCTCTCTTGGTGATCCACATCTCCACGTGCAGCCTGAAAAGCCCCTCGTTGATCTTGGAGTCTGGTAGCGCGGAGTGATGCTTGAGGTGTCTGTTGCCTTGTCGGCTGGAGGTAGAGGTCGTGCTCATCGCGGATATGAGTTTTTCAGGTTTGAGCACACTCCCGTTGCCGCACAATAATTTGGGTCTGCTTCGTTCGCCTACGCCTGCTTCTTTCATAGAACGGGCCGTGTCAACGTCATCCATATCATCGATCGATCTGCGCCTGCCTCCCTGTGGGCTTCGTCGTGGTCTTCGCTCTTCGCGAATGTCCAACGCGTTCTTCGAACTTCTAAGTGACCGCCTTACTGGGCTCAATATGGAGTTGCCTTCTCGTACTTTGCCCTTGGCGCTCATTTGCACGCGAGAGGGATTGAAGCGCGGAGGCGCCGCTTCAAGGTATGTGACCTGATGTCGCCGAGCACCCCATTGTGGCGGAGGCGTCAGATCCCTTGCGAGCGCGCCCCATGTCTTGTGCGATAAAGCCTGTTCGCCAAAAGGTGCCAGCGATCTACGAATAATGGAATGTGGGCGCCGCGCTGCTTGAGATAATCGTTCAGCATTGCGCGATACTTCTTGTGGTATGACGAATGGCTTCCTATAGGTCTCTCGAGCAGCCATGGTAGCGAGCACGTGTCGAGCTTCTGCGTTTGGGTCAACGACGATCTCTGAGGAGCAGCATAATCGAGTGAGCATTTGAGGGGTGCCCTGGCGCCCGATAAGGCCTTGAGAATGAGGCTGATTCACCTACGAAACCTCCTCCTCCATTGCCCCATCGTCTCTTGCCCACCTCGAGACCAATACCCCAAGGGAAGCGTTTGACCCTTCCGCACACCCTAATCACGTGTCCGACATCTACGTAGGCTCTAGACGCTGCAGCAGCGCCAGTCCGCTCTCTCTCTGCTGCATCTGGATTGCCAGCGGTCTTGCTACCGCTTGGGGGTTTCGGCGGTTCACGAGGCCAGTATTCTGGCGGCACTCCTGTCCAGTCTTGCTTCGGCGCGCTGCGCAGCATTCCCGGATCCTCTTCGTGCATATCTCCTGTTGATGCATCGTGAGCATGCTTCTTGCCCTTATCCTTGTCAAGCTTTGTATGAATTGTGCGGATCTGGTCCGGCTCTTTGTTGACCTGTTCAGCTGCCGCCTCTGCATCGATGACAAGACTGTGGTAGTGGTGAAGAGGGAGCACTGCGGTGCCGTCGTCGACTGCCAACACCAGTAGATAACAGTAAGTAGCTTACTGAGAGACGAGCACCACAGATATGCAGCGCAAATACCGACTCACCCCAAAGTCTTGTCCATCCTTCTCGTGTCTCGCAACCTACGCACATGCCCACCACGTTGACGAACTTGGTTGGTCTTTGACCCAAATGCAAGCACAGAGGTGTCGCCTCTCGTGCGCAGAGTATGTTCGAAAGCAGATCCCGCGCCTCGATGCAAGAGCACAATGTGGCTGTCAGAGGCGACGAGGACCAGCTATGAAGTGCTCTTAAAGTGAGCGGATCTCGCAACTGAGAAGGAGGTGCTGCCTTGGATGGACCCGCGAGTGCCATTTTTGTGCCGCGATCCTGTCTTTTACGCTGGCTTCTTCATGATGCGGACATGTGCGCCAAGTTGAAGCGGAAGTCCTTGTTGACGTTCGGTGTTTTCCTCTGCACACAGCCTTGGCAGGAGGATGGTCATGAACAGGCGTTGAAAGTGCTTCAGGAGAATGTGGGGCTTGTGGGTAGTGGGTCCAAAAGTCACAAGTCAATCGTAAGTTCTGACTGCGCGCGCGTGTTGACTCAAACTTGACCTCCGCTGGATCGCGGAGCGCGCTCGCGATGGGTCACGTGACTTTCAAAACGAGACTGAACGGCCATCTTCTCGGACTTCTTTTATAACTCCCGAACTTTCTTTGGCCTGATCATACGCCCAAAGATCCGTGCTCTGACGGGTCAAAGCGATAATGTCCACACCAGCGGTACAAGTTGCGAAGTCACTGCTCCAGGGTGATTTTGCGAATCGAAAATCGGTCACGGGTTGCACGCAAGCGTTAAATTGCTTTGATTGCAGAGACACGATTACGCGAGGACAACACGATGCGAGTCAGATGATGCCTTGTCGTTTCAGCAGTTCGTACGTCCGTTTTGTATACGTCTGCAGAGAAGAGAGGCGAGCGCAGCTCGTGAGTGATCGCGGATGCGCGAGTAGGACGCTCCGAGGGCAAGCCGAGTGACTCACGTTGCCGTGCTCATCTTCGACTTCTTCAGCATCGTTTTCCGCCTCCGTCTGCTGCTTGCCTTGCTTCTTGAGTTTCTCCGCCACTACACCAGAATGAGCAAACGTTCAGTCTCGTTTGCGTGGCAGGCTGCGGGGCAAAATTGCCCCCATTGGCAGCTAAGACTACTCACAAGCAAGGGCGTCCTCAATCTTGGTGATGCCGTGGAAGTGTTTCGTGTTCGGCAAACCCAGAGCGCGCATTCCAAAGGCATGCCTTGATTCCGAGAAGTGTCTGTCAAAATTTTTGCTGCAATGGGAAGTTGGGCATGACAGACTGAGCAGGAGGACGGGAATAATCACGCGATGAGGAAAAGACTTACGGTCCCTGATACATATAATCGCTGCATATCTCGCATCGATACTCGACTCGAAGTCCGTGCAGCTTGTAGAGCCAGTATGGAATGGGTTTTCCATCCCATCCAAGTGGCAGCTTGAGCGGATTGTAAATCTTGTCATCGTTCTCGTCGTCTCCGTTCGCGTCTTGATCTGCCAGCTCGGCATCTCCAGTGCCAGTAGGCAGTGCGCCCGAGTCCTCCATACCCAGCACGGCCGCCTCCGCCTCGGCTTGCCTCTCGGCATCCGTCAAAGCTGCTCTGCGCTCCACATTCGCTCTCGTCTCCGCGACGACTTCTCCAAGATGGGAGGCAAGAGCACGTATCAAAACCTCTGTGCGCGCTAGCGCTTTACACCTGGCCAATTGCTTCGCCACTTCCAATGCAGCCGCTTCTGACGCGCTCGCATTGGGACCAGATGCGCCGCCCGAAGGTGTGGATATCTGGGCATTGCCAGCTGCCAAATTTGCCGCTGCTTTCTGGTGCTTGCCCCCTTTCAAATGCGCATCAAAAACCGTCTGCTTCGCAAACGTCCGCTTGCCTGGGAGTCGAGAGCCAAACACGAACAAGCCAAGGTCAGCGCGCAGCGGTGTCAAAAGTGTTAAACGGCGCGCATTGGCTTCCGTAAGTCAGCGGCTACGATCCACTCACAGGCCTCGCACCAAATGCCCTCATCCACAGCGCCACTTTGGGGCGCTTGCCTCTTCTGAGCTGCACCAGACTTGCAGAGGCCGCTTCCCTGATCCTCCCAGCCTGGTACTTTGCACGCGTCCCAATCTCCCTCGAAATCTGCCAAAGCAGATAGCTCAATCCAGTCCACGTCCGAGGTCGGTCTTGTCCGTCGCAGGAAAGTGAAGAGCGCATCGGACAGATTGGCGACGTAGCTGCGCAGGGGTGAGGGCAAAGGAATGCTGCCGGTGAGCAGACTCCCAATCCCGCATCTGCCAGCATGAAACAAAGACGTACGCACCGCCTGTAAGCTTCGCTCTTTTTCGTCTCTGCTGGCACCCGTGACTCGACTCCCGCGAGCTTTTCAAACTCTCCCAGGTACTTGACATAAGGTAATCTCTTCACGCCTTTGAGATTGACGAACGCCTCGTGATGTGTATACAAGTCTAGATATCGGCCCAATGCCTCTTCGCCGCTGAACATTCGGTCCAAGAAGTCTGGTCCAGCAGCGACGCCTCCCGCTGCTTCCTCTTCCCTGCTCACGCCAGTCAGGCTTGACAGGTCCAAAGAGAAGGCGTCGGGTAGTGCACCAGGATACCTTTCGTGGTATTCTCTGACTTTCTTCAACCTGGAGTAGAAGTTCTTCAAGGTAGGATCCATGGGCTTATCGTCTGCCTCGTCGCCTTCCTCATCGTCTGGCTGTCCCTCCAGCACATCTTTCAATTCCTCTTCTCTCCCCCGCTTCGCTGATCCGTCCCCATTGTAAAACTCGGACAGATTGTGCGCGCGCTCCACGATCCTATCGAGGACCTCGCTAGCTTTGTGAGACCTTGTCAGCGCTTCTTTGTGAGTTGAAGCGGGGACCAGAAGCAGGTCCACCAGCGCGGACTCATACCTGTCGATCTCCTCGTGTGTCGCTCGAGCAACTTCGAGCGAAGAGGTTGACGCCATCTTGCGAGGATATGAGGACTATGCCGATGATAGAGATCTAACAAGCGGGAGCACCTTCGTTGTACGGCCGCGTAATACCGACTTGAGTGCCAGGATGAAGAGGAGGATGAAGCTGATGATCAAAAAGTTGCTGTGCGAGTGTCGTCCCGCGATGATGTTGTGGTAGCAGACTGCATGCGCGTTGTGTACGCGTACGCGCCTGTGAGGGCGAATCTGAGTGTGCTGTGGAAATCAAGAAATGCGACCGCGCTTCACGTGATTTGTGCGAGATCGATGGCGCTGATTTTAGATTTTTTTTGGTCACGCGAGGCGCGCGTGGGTGAATTTGCATTCGTGATTCGTGATTTGAATTTCATGGCTGCTGATGATGATATGATGATGCTCGTGTTGCTCACTCATCCTAGCTCTGCTGAAGGCACCTGAGGTTCATGGCCCCTTTCAGCTGATGAATCTGGATCCACGAATCACGATTGCCCAACGTTCTGGTTTGCATGATTCACAATCGAAGTTGCTCATCGAGCCAGCTTGTCTCAACACCACCGAGAAGGCGGCCGAAAGCAAGCCTTTTTCCTGATTCAGTGCATCGCTGCGTTCGAACAATTCACCACCGCCCATCTCAGCTGCCAAATTCGCACTCACGGCAGGAAGACCTCTTCCTAATCCACATTTGGCAACATCCTGCCAGGCTTCGAGCAGAGGCCTTCGCGCCCACGCAAAGAGAGAATCTGGTCTCCAAAGTGCCGTTTCTTAGCTCGCGCTCTCTCAACACCTCGGCACGATGAAGAGGGCTGCTCCATCAAGCTCACCCCGCTCCGCCGAGCTGGCTGGTGAACCCTTTCCAACTGCTCGCTTCTCCAGCTTGGCTGCTGCTGGGAGCTCCTCTGCGCCTCGTCAAACTCCTCCTCGACTGCACCAACTCTCTACGAAAACGGAGAATGCCCAAGCGAGCTCACTCAGCGAAGCGGGGTCTTCCAGCCCTCGCTCCAGCATGAAGGCTCGTTCGCGGCCAAGTCAGGACGGCTCGAACGGCGTAGCTTCATCTGGCGCTGGGCAGCCCAATATGTCTCACTATCGCAAGGGCATGTACATCTCTTACGTCACCAACAGCTTCTCTGAACTCTCAAAGGGCAACGCGGGACCTTATCAAGATCTCATAGGCCAATTTAAAGCCGGCGCAAACAGTCTGGCGAATCCTGGCAGCAACATCAGCAAATCGGCGACTTCCATATCAGCCCTATCAAGTTGGCTCTCAGCAGTTTCGGCTTTTGCTAGCCATCTGGATCGCAGGACGCACAACGATTTGGTGGAGTCCATCCTTGCTCTGCCTTGGACAACTACACCCTCACAAGCGTTTGCTGCGTCGTGGATTAGGTTCGTCTGTGCTCTCGTCAGCGCAAGAAGCGAATGGACTAAAGCGGTTCTCAAGAAGGCGATGCAAGGGTTCGGTCTCAGTGAGTCTGCCTGCTGGGCGTTGCGATCCATCGCTACCTCTCGGCGCTGCGATGCAATGTTTCTGATCGTGACAGCCTGGTGATGCGCCTTCTCAGGGTCAGAATGGCGGCCTCCGACAAACCCTACACAGCCACTGCCGCCTCGCAAGCACACCTACTACCACATTCACCTCTTGCTCCGATCTCTGCTCTCCTTAATACCGACCTTGCCATCGCAATTGGCACCTTTATTGGTCAGGAGCTTTCCACACAAGCGAGAAGGCAAGGTTGCGCACCTCGTCTTTGTGTCAAACGCTCTCAAGCTGTGCGAATATGCGCCCGAGCTAGCCGAGACTGTCTTGAGTTGCGTAGTTGATAGGGGCATGCAGATTGACGTGAGTTGCCAGGGAGGCTTCTAGCTGCTGAGTCCTTTGCGCACAGCGTGGATCGAGGCGGCGCATGCCCTTTTCTGACACCGCTTCGCGCTCTTCATGCATGCTGCAGGTCGAGATTCAGCTGGAGCTAGACGATCTGGAGGACGACGTCGACCCGAACGAAGCCTTCACTGCTCCCAATGCTTACGACGATGACCCTTTCAGATCCGTAATGGAAGGCACGGCCACTGATGACGACGACGACTCTGACGATGAGGACGGTTTGCTTCTAGAAGATGACGGATTCTCCGATCTGTCGGGCAGTGATGGGGAGGACTCGAGGCTGGACGACGCAGCGGCGCAAGCAAAACGTTTAAAAACAGTTCGGGAGCTGGTCGACAAGCTGGACGCAGTGATGGGCTGTGTCTTTAGGCATTTGGAGGATCGAAATTCGCACTATGAAGACCTAGCCAGAGGCGGTGATGGGAGCGTCTCACGTATGCAACTGGATGAGCGCAAAAGCGCTGCGGGCGAGTTGGCAGGGATATCTGCGGATCTAGGCTTGGATCTGACCAGTCATGCCCCATCTCCCGCGAGAGCCGCCGCTCTGCGCTCGAATCAATTTCACTTGCTGCTGAGCGTATTTCAAAGGGCCGTCCTACCAACTTTCAAGTCGCGCTACGTCCAGTTCTTCGTCTTCTGGGCAGCATCACTGGACCCCGACTTCGCAGACCTGCTTCTCGGATTCTTGCTGGGCAAAGCCATCTACGGAGTTGGGGCGGAGCAGCAACTTCTCTCGAATGGCAGCACGCAACCCATGACGGGGTCCGAGCCAACCATCATGAGGGTAGCTGCCTCCAGCTACGTTGCCAGTCTCGTCAGCCGAGCGAGATACATTTCCATAAGCGACACTCGCGCAGTCATGCTCAATCTCTGCTCTTTCCTAGAGGGTCATCTTGAGCGGACTGGACGAGTACAAGTGCAAGAAGCGTCAGAGGTTCCTTCTGGCGCAAGGAGGCAGCTCGAAGCGGAGCTTTCGGGAGGGGTCAACGGACAGCACGCGCTATTCTACTCTGTCGCTCAAGCAGCTTTCTATATCTTCTGTTTTAGGTGGAGAGACCTTCGAGTGTCTAGCGCATCGGAAGATGAAGAGAGTGCAGGAGGACAGGACCTGTCCACAATTGGCAACGCGAGCTGGCGATGGTCGGAGGGCTTGCACATTCTACAAAGAGCCATCACCTCGCCTCTCAATCCTTTGGCGCATTGCTCACCAGAGATCGTCAGGCAATTCGCAGCAGTCGCTCAGCACACCGGTCTATTGTTCTGTTGGAGCATCATCGAGAGCAACAACAGGCGGCGAGGCAAGCGCAGAGCTCCAGGGATGGAGCTGCGAGATGCAGGAAGCGGGAGCGGTACGCCTATGAATCAGTCCGCTCCTGGAACCCCAACTGGCAGCAGACCGGACCAGCTCTCTCGTCAAGCTTCCGGCGCAGACGTCGCGCAAGACGACAGTGACGGCGGTGGGACTCCCAGGCAAGGCATGGGAGGCTATGCTCCACAAACGCTCGACGTATTCTTCCCATTCGATCCTTACCGGCTCAAGCACAGCTCCAGATGGATAGATCCGCTGTACAGAGAATGGTCTGATGTTGCACCGGAGGGAATGGAACCGGATCAGGAAGAGGGCGAGGCTGAGAGCGGCACGGAAGCTGAGAACGAGGCAGACGAAGATCAATCGTCGCTAGCTCAAAGTCTGGATCCTGAGCAAGGAGCCTTGCCCGCTTCCTTTACCACCTCCAGGAGCGCTGACACGACCCACTCGCAGTCCTCGGCCTCGGACTCGCCATCTGTGGAAGAAGGCGACACGGGCAACGAATCCTCCGTGCAGCTGCTCAATACTCCTCAAGATTTCTTGGGACCTTCTGCAACATTAGACATTCCTCGGCAGGGCAAGACGCAAGGCGCAACAGAAGATAGCGAGGGCTTCAGTCGATCTTTGGAGGTCATGAGCATCAGCCGATGATTTGAGTCTCATCGACATTGCACGCGATCACTCGACCACTACCTTTTGCGCTCGTGTCGCACTCTTTCATCACTTTTCCCCCACACTGTTGACGCTGCTTGCACAAATCCACGCAAATGCATTGTTATCTCTTCGGCCGGCCTTTCTGCAGGATCGTCGAGACTTCTGGGAAGATCCATCGAAGCATGGGACCGAACGCGCGTCTGAGGACCTTGGTCAGCAAGCCACTCTTCGCGGCGCGCTCTGCTAAAGCCTTGGCCTCTGCCCTCTGTGCTTGCTTGGCTCGAACCATGGCCGCAGGCGTCCGATACCTAGCGTGGAAACCTGGCGAAAGAGAGATTCGTTCTACCCACGGAAGTAGCAGTGGCGATAAATACGCAGAGGTAGCATCGAAGCCTCGCGTGACGAGCATCGCACCGACGAAAGCTTCGAAGCTGGTGCAGCGAGGGCCAAGACATCGGGAAGATGTCAGGTCAAGAGTTCCTTTGGATGCCCGAGGATGGTGATCGCGCGAGTGCGAGATCGCAATCACTCACTGATCAGCTTTGCTTGCGTGCGACATCTTGCCGTCTCCAATATGCCTCAGGACTGGATTGAATTTGGCATTCAGAGCCTCTGCTTGCATAGCCGGATGCTTCCTTAGGGCCCTCTCGTCGAGCGTGTCCTCCCAGCGTGTTCTCCTCCCGTCGTCCAATCCCATCTTTCTAGCCGCATCTTCATCCTCATGCTCCATCCTATCCACATGTCCATGCACGATCGCATCAATCAGCCTGCGCTTCTCTTGCAGCACAGCTTCCGATGTGATGCGCTCCGCAACTTTGAGCCGCATTGGCTCCAGACCGGCGATATCCCAGAGATGCCCAAAGGTGTCGTTGGAAACGATGTGACCCCATGCCTGAGTGGCTCCAGCGACGCTGAGATCTGGATAGCGCGTCATGATAGTGTGGCGAGCTACGAGCCCCACCACTGCATCGCCGAGCCACTCTAGCCGCTGTGATGGATTCGAGGGATCCAACAAAGTGGATCAGCGCGCGGGTGCAGATCTAGTAGCATAGCAGGGTCGCTCGAAAAGTCTTGCTCGGCACTCGCCTCGCCACTCACTTTGGAATCTTCAAACATCCAATCCGGCGATTCGTCACCATATCGTGTATGCACCGACGCTGAGCTCCAATAACCATCCGCATCGATGATCTTGAGAGCTTCATCTCTGGTGTTCTTATCTTGCTCCGCCTGGTCGCTCGGAGGCTTGTGCACCGCGTCTCCTTTTCTGACCATGCTATCCAGACCCTGATTCACCGCCGCCAGTGCTTCCGCAGGTGACCCTTGCCTCCACGTCGGTCTAGCGCCTAACGAAGCTACACCTAACGCGATAGCACTGAGACGCAAATCGTCGGAAGCGATGTCGGGAGCTGAAGGCGGATACCTATCCCGCGGCGGGAACCTCAGAGGTACACTCTCCCACATTTTGACGTGTTTGTTGCTTCCCAGCTCTGGATCGTTCAAGGGTTTTGGAGTGTTGGGACGTTCGCTCGGAATTGGGGCAAGCGAGTCGAGTGAAGTAGAAGAGGAAGAGGAAGAGGACGAGGCGGAATCTTGATCTTGGGCCAGCAGCGCGAGCTCCACCTCCTTGTTGTGGGCAGCTGCTCTTTTCATTCGTCTGGACCCATCATCAGACGTCGGCTCGACTATCTTGTCGATCGTTGGTATCGATGTTGTGCTCGCACTTGGAGCGCTTGAGCTGTTCGATTCGCTGGCTGCAGCCGCAGCGGCAGCCGCTTTCCTGATGGCAGCTGCAGCCGCAGCCGCTGCTGCTGCCTCCCGCCGAGCAGCCTTGGTCCTCTTCGAGACTCTCAAGGCGCTCGTTGATCCCAACAGCAGCGACCTGGTCGGCGTAAGTGCCGCGATGGATGTCATTCTAGCGCTCTACGTCCCGGCCGTGTGTGAGGCCAGCTCTGTATGATGGACTGACGACGAGGATGAAATGATACTTGTAGAGATAGCCATCAAGCTTTCCTTGATCGGGCCGTGCTAGCGCAGCTGACGATGTGGTTGTTGCAAAGATGGAGAGCAGTCGAGTCCCCTCAGTCAGTTAGATGTGAGCCGCAGCCAGGCTTCTTTCTCTGTGTAGCGTGCAGGCCCGACTGTCGCATCTCTTGCGCTCTTGAATATAATCGAATCAATCAGTGACTCAATCAGAATGCAGTCTAAGTGCACTGAGCCATCCTTTGTCCGCGGTAAGTAGGTCATCAATCGGGACCCTTTTGACTGTCTCGTGGATCAGCCTCTATGCATGATTGCGCGCGCAGCTCTCGAGCTTAGTCTAGCTCGATCCTCGTTCCTTCTTGTTAGCTTTCGTGCGAGTGGATCACTCGATCCAGCCCAGCCATGCACGACGGTGGAAAGCGCGTCACCGCGGGGCTTCTCGACGCGACGCGTAGAGAGGAACACAAATTCGCTCGATTCATATAAATCACGCTCACGACTGCTGATGATCGACTTGTAATGAGTTCATGGCCAAATCCTTGAGTTGTGTGTTTCGAACACTTTTAGCAAAGGCGCAACGAGAAAGCCCTGACGAGTCGCGAGTCACGAGTGTGCGCCTCAAGCCATCCTATGCTTTGAGCGCTCTTCTCACCGCGAGTCCACCAAGCATCAATCAGGAGTCGGAGCTTCCCTGCAACAATTACGGTGCGCACCTCTCGAACGAGAACTACAAACGGACCACATGCCACTCCGACCCGCATCCCCACTCGCAGCATCTTCTCTCCCCCCCAGCAAGGTCCTGAAAATGTCCACTACCACCGCTCCGAGCACTTCCAAGCTTCTGGTCCAACTGGATGCTGCTCATCCAGGTGCCAAGCTGCCCACTCGAGGTTCAGCATTCGCAGCGGGCTACGACCTTTACGCTTCTCAGGGCTCCGTCTTGAAGGCTAGAGCAAGGGGCATCGTGCCTACTGGAATCCGACTGGCCATTCCCGAGGGATGTTATGGAAGAGTGGCTCCCAGGAGCGGTCTTGGTGAGTTTGTTCGTCAGTCAGTCAGTCAGTCACGCTCCTAGACTGGACTGGGCTTCGCGTTGCTTTCGCTGTGCTCAACGACTGACCGATGCATCGTCGTTGCATGTTCAAACAGCATCGAAGCATGGTATAGACGTGGGAGCAGGAGTGATCGATTCGGACTACAGAGGTCTTTTGGGCGTCTTGCTCTTCAACCTAAGCGAAGAGGACTTCACGAGTGAGTAATGCTCTCTCGACGTATCGAGCGTCGATCCTCGCACAAAAGCACGCGCGAGTGCGCTCATGCATCATCTGCTGGACACGATTAGTCAATGAGGGCGATAGAATAGCTCAACTCGTAATCGAGAGGATCGCCACTCCAGAGGTGGAGCAAGTAGCCGTGAGTGCGAGCAAAAGCAAACATCGTTTGGAACCTAGACTGATTGATGACGTCTGCTTCTTCTCGCTCAAGGATTTGGATGCGACCGTGCGAGGCGCTGGTGGGTTTGGCTCGACTGGCGGATTCGGCAAGAACAGCGCTGCCCCTGAGGCGCCAGCCAAAGACCCTGAAGGCGTCATCGTATCGTAGATGGCTAGATCACAGCGAGGAGACACGTAGCTCACGAATGCGGATAACTACACCCAATCAATTGGCCTTCCAAACATCGAAATGTTGATCTCGAAACGTGTACTGAGAATGGTGATCAATTGCGACGTGTGCTCTATAAGATCTCATCTATCTGGTGTACATAAAGGTGACTGAGGGGTATGTTGGTGTGTCCAGAGAAAGGGCAAGAGCGAGAGTAAAAGGAAAAAGGATCGATCGCACGCGTATTCTAAGGTTGCTGACACGAATGTCTTGACCTGAGGGTAAGCTGCAAAGTATTCACCTGGTTGACAGGTTGGACGACTCCATTCACGCATCATTGAGCGTAAGGTCATCGTGTGCACAGCAGGCTGAAGCACACAAGTGGAGGATGCGGCACGATGGACTAGGAAAAACCTCTAATCCGAAGCATAGTCCCGGTGTGCCGAGTCTGTTGGGCGAGTGATCGACGGTGGAAGTAGGGCTTCGAGGACGAGACGAAGTGTGCCGAAGAGAATGAGCTGGATTGGCATCATTGTAGACCAAGCGAGGCACCAACCGATGGGGTTGCGTCGTGCAAACGGGTTCAGTGCGCCTGGGCTTGAATTCTGTTAGCCCCACCGTGCGGCTCCGGTAGAGGAGTCATGGCGAGGTTAGGACTGTGACCATGGTGATGATTCCGGTTGGCCGAGGTAGCTTGGCTAGCGAGGTACGCGTTCTTGACCTCCTCCGACGTCCGAGGACTACCGACCGGCTCGCTGTGGTACACAGCGCAAGCACCTGCCGAGGTGTTTGGCCCTCTGTACTTTCTCAGCCTGCTAAAGTCCGGCCCGTGAGAGGCGACGCCGGACTGATGGTGCGAGTCGCACGTTGGGGAATGTACCACGTAGGCACCTGGAATGGGCGAATCTTGAGCGCAGCCGCAGTCGTAAGATGAACGACGAGAGTTGGGAGACGAAGAGGCTGGCGTGGTTCCTTGAGAGTGCGACAGCGGCGGCAGAGCTCGCTGTGACGCCAACGAGTGTCCGGCTGAGTCGCGTCTCGAGTTTGAGGCTGAGGGCTTCTTGTGGCGAATGACTTCCAGGAGCGTCATGCTGTACGAGAAGGTGTATTTGACGGAAGAATGAGGTACGCTGTGGTCAACGACCGACTGCAGTGTTGTAGGTTACTGCTGCCCCACCAATGAGCTTGATAGTCTGAAATGGGAGTGGGAGATGGCACTGTGTTCGCCTTTGACCGTGATGCTCGACGAAGATCAGTCCGACCGATTTTGGCAGTGCTGGCAATGAATGCTGAGGTGTGGGTCGTGCATGTATTGAGGCGTATCGTGGTGGCAATTTTGAGGGAGCAAGCTACTTTATATGAGATGAGAATCGAGCTTTCAACCGTCTGCGTGCTGAGTGAGCAGTCCTGGACAAGCGCGAAATCCTTGTGCGGACGCGCGCTAAGTCGACAAGGATGGAGCGCTATACACAGCACCGGTTCACGAGCCTTCGGCATGATCGGGAAGAGGACCGTTCCTGAAACGTCCGTCACGCCAACACACGAGTCACGCGGCGACTGAGCAGTAAGATTTGCAATCTGTTCGCACACCAGATCGCGACGGATAAGACTTGTCCTTGCACGCTTTCGCGGTTCGGCTCGCAGCTGTGCCGACTCCGGTCTATGACCGTTGCGCAACACGCGAGGCATCAAGTAGTTTAGACAGGGGCCGCGGGAAGGAAAGGCGAAAAGGTGTGAGCGTGCTGGTGCCGAGGTGATCGAAATCAACGCATGACACCAGATCAAGAGCCTTTGCATATATGGTGCACATGGCTGCTGCTGCTGGGGATATTGTGCTTGTGCTCGTGATTCGAGATTGTGATTCCTCTCGACGCGTCATCATCGTCAGCATCGAAATCTTTCTCGCAAAGCGCCGACGTCTCAATCCGCATCTTTCACGGACGCACCCATCAACTGCTGTGTGCGCACGTACGCGCAGCAGCATCAGCGCGTCTTGCTGCTGCGTTCGCGTCCGCGTCCGCGTTTGCAGCATGCCTGTCTTGATGCAATCGTGAATGCAGCTGTGGCGCAAGGGACCCCTAAATCCTAATCAAATCAGCCATGCATCCAGCAATAGTCGCAAATCGCGAGTCAATCGCGAGTCAAAAGTATCGCCGCGGCGGCGGAGTTTACCACCTTTGCTGAGATGCAGACAAACGCCGAGATGCGCAACTCGTGACTCAGACTGCTGATACATGAGCAAACCTTCGCATTTCGACCTTGCTGTGCGCAGCGAAAGTGTGAATCCCCTGAATCACGTCAGCCTTACAGACTTGGCAGCGCGAAGCTCATGCGCCATGCCTAGACAGCACAGATGCACACCAGCAACACCTCTCGCGAGCGGGCTGCGCGCTTGGGCCCAGACCGGCGGTATCATTCACTTCGCCATGGCGTGTGCGCTGACTCGAATCTAGGGAACCAGCCCACACACCTCAAACGCTTTCGTCCCACCGCACACAGATTCGGCCGTTGTCAAGCCACTCGTGACTTGGTGCTTGGGCTCCATTCACGATCACATTCACATTGCCACGGCTAAGCACGCGCACGCGCACGCGCACGCAAGCCTTCTTCGGCAACCTCTTCGGTTTCCCAACTCTGGTGCATGCGCAGCCGATGGTGGTGTGTGCGTGGGTGCTCAGGTGACACGTTCCTTAATTGCTGCGAGCTGCAAGATCGTCCGTCATCGTGTTGCTGATTCCCGGTCCAACCGTGAATGCAGCGAGCAGCATACAGCAGCGTTCTTGCGACGGTACAAAGCGCGCGGTGATCTGGAAGGCCGCCCGAATACATCCGTTCCCAGATCATTTTCGATTGATCAATCCTTCACGATTGGGTGGGGCAGGAGTCCGTGAGCAGGCTAGATGGTCTGATGTGATTACACTCGATGAGCACGTCGCTACATCAGATGCGTATGAAGGCTTGATTGGTATGCGAGTCATGAGTGCGACCGGTGTTAGACGGCCACAGCGGCGGTGCCAACGTTGGCTGCAGCGGTATGTTCGTCATTCCGGCCGGCGAGGCCCGGTCTGAATTGCCCTTCCGGTGAACGCCGAGTGGCTTGTGTCTCACCAGCAGACGCGCGTAGATCTCAACCTGCTGGACATATGCACTGGTACAGGTACAGTATAAAGCGTCACGCGTCTGCGTCACCGGCGTTGCTGCAGCCGCCGTACGACCCACAAATCTTGAACCTGTACGCGTATGTATATAGGACCGGATCACAGGGTCCTCCCATCGATTTCGGGGGACCGACCCTCCTTGCCTCGATTGCTCCCTTCGAAAGTGCATGTGTCTGACACAACGCGGCGATCACGCCAGCATAGCTTGAGAGAAGTACGTTCACCCGGTGGCAGTCCAAGAGTTCAGCAGGTATCAAAATAGCACCCACCTAATGTATGTGCATGTGTGTAACTGGAGCCATGAGTGTGTTTTGCGATAGTCGGATTCGGGTCTCGGGTACCGTGACCCGGGAATATGCGTTGCGAACCGCTGCTCGATTTAAGGAGCATCGCCCGCTGCGCGACACGCTTACGAAAATCGCCATCAAATGTGAATCTTGTGCGCCTTCAGATGGATGATGAGCTCGCGGTCATCAAGTCAACAAGCACCGAACACAGGTGTCATTGGACAGCTTCGAGCTGGTTCCATGAGCAGTCGAAGCGTAGAAGCGCAACTCCTCGATCGAGTTCAGGACTCGTCGAGGAAACTACGAACTGATTTGATGAGTGTCCAGTGTGGAGTCATGAGTCTTCAGTGTGGTGAGTACACGCGATCACGTCAATCGCCGGGCGGGCTCGATGAGACACTCTTCTCTCTCAACAGTCTGCGATGTCTGTTACTCACAAGTACAAGTACCTTGACAACCGGCGCATGTTCTGTCTTTTTGTGCTCGAGTCTGGTGCCGCAAGTTCAGTGAACTGTGAGATGGATCACTAATCTTGAATCTTGATGAATCTTGAACCTTGGAGAACAACGGCCTGCCTGAGCGGTGGCCGAGGCCCGAGCATCACGTGATGGTAATCTGGGTCTTACAGCCACGTGGTCTCGAGTAGCACGGACGCACAGCACGTCCGATCGCGTCGTGGGCTTGACTCACTCCCACACAGCGCGACCTCCGCCAAGGCGAGGCATCGCCTCCAACTGCGCTGACGCACATCCTGACATTCACAGCAGTTCCATTGTATTGGAATCGCGCAAAAGACCATCAACACCGCAATTTTCAACATATCATAGCTGCCCAAAATGTTCGGCTACCGCGCGTGAGTGTCTCTCGTCTCGCTTCAGCATTAGCCTCGCACAACTCCATGCGGCATAGCTTGCTTCGGGCGCTTTGCAAGCTCCATGTGTAGGGAACTGAACTGACTCGATCCGATCGCACCTGCCTCGCAGCTACCCAACTCCCATCATTCGCCCTCTGTGGCCTTTCCTGACGGCTGGCGTCATCGTCTACGCTGGCATCAACTACCTCCAGGATGCTGCAGTCTCCACTCCCGAGGCCAAGAAGGACCCCAAGAACCCTTACGGTGCGTGTAGCTCGCGCTGCTTGGTCTGCTGTTGGAGCATAGTCATAGTCACGCCTCAGAGTATGGTGGTGCGGTAGAATGGCGGCTGTCAGGCGAGCAGGTATCCAAAGGCCAAATGCTTTCCTCTGTGTCAGCGATGTTGGGCTCGCAGCTTCGAAGCGACGTTGGATTACAGCAAGGAGTACGCCAAGCCGTCGACAGCTGCGATTCGCAGAGGTCATTGTGACATAGGAAAGCAGCTCCGGGCTCGGAACAGAGACGCATGCGTGCAGGCAATTCTGAGGGGCGCCCAGCCACTCGTTGGAAGCATCTCACCGAGAACGTTGCGTCGACTCGCGCGGCGACCTCTTGCGCCTGTGTCGCGTCACAGTTGCATGTTGCTGACGCTCATTGCCGATTTCTCTTCCAGCTCTCAAGGGAGGTAATGGCCACTAACTGTAGACAGCTTGTGCCTACGCCAACCTCTGTGGCTTCAATGGAGCGTCTCATGGCTTCACACCACGCGCTTTGAGCAATATACATCAGGCTTGTCTCAATAGACAAGAAAACCTCTCGATTCTGCACGCGCCTGCGATGGTGACATTGCATTGACCTGGAGGAGCAGAGTGCGAACGCAGTTGAAAGGGAAGAGGTCTCGCTCCGTCATTGGACGTGGATGCGCAAGTGAAGAGGAACGTCATTGGGAGCTAGTCTGGGGAAGTCTTTGGCTCGAGCTCGCCATCTCGATCTTTGGATTGGGTAGCAGTCAGCGCATGAGCTGCAAACGAATTGCAGCGTCTAGCACTCACTTGCTCATGATCCGAGACGATGAAGGAGCCGAGTTCGTAATTGTCCTCGGAATCACTTGGCTCTTCAGCATGCGTGCTCTCGATCTCTCGGCGCTGGCGGTGCGACCCTCGCGCTACGCGGATCGGAGACTCTTCGTGCTCGTCGGAGGCAAGCGCTCCGTAGCGACCACCATAGAACTCTGCTTTGCGCTGCGGGCGATCCAGGCCCATTTTTGGCGCGGCTTGCGTCCTGCGCCAGTGAAAGCCTTCCATAGGTCAGCTTGATCGCTTCGTATCACGGGCACCCTTGCGACGTATCGACTCACAGCAGCGATTGCGCGTACATTGCTTGTTGATTGTAGCCTCGAGGAGCCTGGGTGGGCTGAAAGTGACCCACATGCTCGCGGTCGCTCGAGTCCGCGTCGTCTTCGGTGTCCAGACCCTCGTCGTTCTCGTCAAGCTCACGGTGGATCTCTTCATCCGTGTCACGCTCTGCGGACCGGCGAAAGAGCATCCGGCTGGTAGGCGAGTTCGAGATGCGCTTCTTCTGCCTCTTGTGTTTCTTTGGCCCGTTCGCCTGACAAACGGCACGGCTGTCCGCTGCAGCCGGCTTCGAGGAGGACGCTCTCCCTCCACAAGGTCGATCCTTGCAAACAATTCCATCTCCTGCATCAGGCTGATCAGAGTCGCACCCCACCACGCCCCGACGAAGGCGTTTCTTGGGTCTTGCGGCGGGAGGCGGCATTTGGAGAGGTGACGAGCCAGGGGCACTAGGCCGGGCCGGGAAACGCCGCACCTGAGGTTTGAATGGTGTGTCGTCCGAAGTCAGCAAGGCATTTTTTGTCGAGTCGCCTTGCGTGCGTGTAGTTGCCCCTTTGCCACTGTCGAAAGCCGATTTCGGCGCGCTTCTAATGGCTGGGGCTGCTGGCAACGGAGGTGCGTCGAGAACGCTCACTGAATTCTGAGTGCTCAAAAGCGGGAGCGGCTCAAGATCATCAAAGCTGTCTTCCACATCGGATGTGCCGCCGTCCACGAGCATCGCCGCGTCGGCAGCTTCTATCGCATCCTGGGGCGCACTCTCGTCATCTCTGCTAGCGACATGCTGCTCCAACAGCGCTGCCACCAAAGGATGCGGCTTGCCAATACCACATCCGGTTTGGGCTGGCGAACTGGATGGGCAGCAATCTTGCTTGGCTCGCGTGTGGTGCAGCGTTTCGCCTCCAGAAGCGAGCGCAAAAGCACGCTGGTCGTTGCCGTCAGGCAGTCCCGCTGCATTGGCGACCAGAGAATTGCAAAGAGGTGAAGAGAGCAATGCAGCGCTAGATGGCTGGCGTCGAACGCCGAGCCTGCGGCCTTTAGGGTGACTGGCTGAACCCTGTAGCGAAGTAGCCGTCATTATCCCTTTGGGTCCTTGGCCATTCGTCCTCTTTGTGGCCGTGGCAGCCGACCGAAAGTCGATGCCACCAGCAAGAAGATCGTCGTCTGAGTCGTCGGACAGAGCCAAAGCTGGGGCCGCTGCTATCCTCTCATGCGGTGATTCTTCTGATGAACTTGTATCTCTTCTCTTACCTCCGCTTTTGCGTCGGATAGTCTTCGCCGATCCAGAGCTTTTTCGCTTGAGCTTGCCATCCTTTCGCAACTCGCTTGCTGCAATGAAGTTCATCAAAGCACCTTCAGGCATGTCTTCGGCAACGCGTTTGTTCTTGCCTTTATCCTTGCCGTTCTTCGCAGCAGACTTGATGGCGTTGCTCGAAGTCTGAGCGAGGTCTACCGCTCCAGGAATAAAGTCGGGTTGTTCGACATCACGCATGACGACAGTGGGCTTGATGTGCTTAGGCACCAATCTTGGAACGTCGCCGAAGAGCTCCAAGTTAAGGCCTCTGGTGATGTCTTTCTGAACGGATTTGTAATTGTCCTTGGACTGGGCCCAAAGCTTCTCCTCACGCCCCTCTGACATGAGCACGACTATTTTGCCATCACGCTTGCGTCCCGTGCGGCCGACACGTTGCAACTGTTGAGAGCAAAGCGCAATGAGTTGCAGGGCTGGACTGGGGAGCTCTGCGCTCTATCTGCTCACCATGCGGACCGAATCTTTGACAGCTTCGTAGCACACGATCAGGTCAACTTCTCCAATGTCGAGGCCTTCCTCGCCGATTGAAGTGGCGACTAGCACATTGTAGTAGCCTTGCCGGTATTGGAAAATGATCTTCTCGTTCGGATTGAGCGCGGCGATCAGCCCTCCACGTACTCATGCTAAGCCTGACTGCACTCACCTTTTCCTGGGCTTTCTGATTCATGCCACTGCCACCTGTGCGATCTGCCGACTGGCCGATGAATTGTACAGCCTTGATATCGTCGATCGTGTTCAGAAACTCGACGATCTCCTTCACGCATTCTCGGTACGAGCAAAAGATCATGACACGAGTGTCGCTGCTGCGGCCCTGCTCTTGCTCTGCAACAAAGTGAGCCTTGACGACGTCCCGCAAGTACATCATCTTCGGATGCAGCATGTTTTCCGGTGTCTGATCGAGGCTGTCGAGCTGTATTCGGAAGCGTTTGAACTCGGCAGAGTCTTGATTGATGCCCGGTCGCTTCTTCGCGGCGAAGTCTTGCACGCGCGTGCGGAACATGGTGATTGAGTGCTCGTTGAGCAGCTGCATGGCAGCGGCCATAGCCTGGAGTGTTCCAAGTTTTCCGCGAAGAGAACCATTCTTAGCGAAGATCGGCTTGTTGCCGGGATTCCTGCCGGCGCTTATCAAAGCGAAGGGGTGCAGTGACACGGGGTCTGCACTGTGTATTAAGCGCGCCTTGAAGAGCGGATCGACGACAGGCTGTCGGATAGAGAAGGAATTGAGTAGCGATACATGAGACACGTCAATTGGCGTGCGAGCACGTGCATCTCACTATCATCAGCTTTGCCCAGGCCGCCTGGACCTCCGAGGCTTCATCTCGCATTGGCACGAGGACGGGATGCTCGTGCTGCAGACAGAAGGGCTCGTTAGTGTCGCCAGCTATCAACGGAAACGAGGTCTCCGTTCTCGCACCTTCTTGTGAATGTAAGTCCTAATGTCAATGGCTTCCTCCGTTCTGATTTCGATGTGGCTGATGTGCAGGTTGTCGACCACTTCTTGCACCTTCTCGCTCTTGTTGCCAGGCGTGGCCGTCAAGGCTAGAATTCTGAAATATGGGTTCCTCTGAGTCAAGTACCTTATGACATTGCCATAAGCATAGTTGCCTGTGGCGCGATGGGCCTCATCGACCACTACGCAACAAACATCGCGTGCATCCACGGCCGACGAGCAAAGGTCGTTCTCGAAGCATTGCGGTGTCATGTAGAAGATGCGCTTCGTCTCCCACTGATCGTTTCTTAAGCCCCTTTTGGTCGCTCCTGTGAGCTCAACGGCCGTTTCCCAGGGTAGACCACATATACGGTGGCAGGCATATTGCTGCTGTGCTACCAGCTGTCGCGTAGGAGCCACGAAGATGATCTTGCCGTCCGGGAACCAATTGAAGTAGTTGAGGATTACGACGGCAGCGATGAAGGTTTTGCCGAGACCGGTCGGCAATGCGACCAGTGTGTTGCTGTACAGAGCTTTCTGCACGATGTCGAATTGATAACTTCGCTTCTCCTTATTAGTAGGATAGATCCACTCCTTTGCAGCTTCCTCATCGATGCGGAGTTTCATAGGCTGCAGCTCCGGAATGACGTCTCTTGCCTCGTTGGCAGGTTCATACGGTCTTGCGTTGTCCCAGTCCACTTGGCCTTCCTCGTCGTCTTCGGGCACTGGTAGGCCATTCTTCTTGCGCCGCATCGCTTCTGTATCTTTGCGGTAGCGTCGACCCGTCTTAGCGTACGCGGTCCGATCCCATTGCTTGGTCTTTGCGACGCGCGGGCCCGTCTTGCTCGCACTGGAGCTCTGCCCCGCAGTCTGAGAGAGCACGCCCACAGAAGACCCACCAAAGCCGGCTGCCCTCATGTACGCGTCCTTGTCCCATTCTCGATTGGTCGATTGAGGAGGCAAATCTTCGACGATTTGTCCGAACAGATCTCTCTGCCGCATCGTAGATCGGGCAGCGATATGGGCCTCGCAATCACTGACTGCTTGCGCGCTTCCGCCCACTTTCAGATTCGCCTCGATCGCATCCACACCCCGTAGTAGCGCATCATCCCATAGAGACGCGTCCCCGTCTTCGTCAAAGTCGTCAAAGTCCAATTGTGCTCTTTCTTTGCCTTTCGCCTGATCTGGACCGGCGTTGAAGCTGACCTCTTGAATGCTACTGCTTGGCGGCTTTGCTGGCGGCGCCATGCTCAAATCTTCTCGCGGACTTTGTGACCGACGCCTGCTTGACGAGCTTTGGCTCCCCGTGCCAAAGTTGGAGTGAGGCGAAGAAGTCGGTGGTGTCGGCTGCATGTGATCGTCGGCGAGGAACGCGGCACGGCGAGGAACCAAGGGCGTTTCGAAGGCAAGTAATGCACGTCCAGACGTCTGAGTCAAGCGTCGTGGCAAGGTGGCTGCTCTCTTGGGTGTGCAAGGAAGGGCTGGCGCTGAGGGTGGAGCTCTGGGCTTGGAGGGTCCGGCGGCTCTCATGGAATTCGCTTCCGCCTCAATAGCAAGCAGCGCCGACTCGTCCAACTCAAAATCGTCTCCGTCCCCAAAGTCAAAGTCGTCGGTATCTGCGACATGTTCGTTGGCAGCTCCCGCAACGGCGCTCGACATGGTGGCAACGAAGAACGCCAGGCGTTGCAATCACCGCGTCGGATTGTATTGTCTCGGTGAACGAAGAGCTCTACTGAAACGTTCCGAGCCCCAAGATGCGAGGAAAGAGAGCCAGAGAGAGAAAGAGAGGGAGGGGGTGTGTCAGAGGTGTTGATGTGTTGGTTTGAAGGATTGATTTCTGAAAGAGCATCCGTCCAAGCTGTGGAGAGTGGCTCGCTCACGCGTCGGGATCACGCGTAAAGTGTGCATCAGAGGGCCTCCGCGCAGCAGCGGAACGCTCGCCGCCAAAAGAAGTTCCGTGCTCCGCGTGACGCATATATAATAGGCTGTGCGCCTACGTGAGCCCCGACCTGTGATGGCTCGCTCGCTCTCCACTCACTGGACTATGACTTGGCATTGATTTGTCTTTCACCGTGCACTCGTGACTGGGCTTGGCCACTCATTCCCAGCTTATCAAATATCACGGCTGAACAGAGCCGAGTCGGTCATAGCACCTTATCGTTTCATCCTGCAACCATCCAGATTTTGTCGGGCTTGCTTTGCAGACGCTTAGCGTGACATCGACTCATCATGGTGAGACTGCATCTGTCATCTTGCCAGGCTGTCTCTCAACGCTGACGTGACATCGCGTACACATTGACGACTGTTGAGAAGCCATTGCAGAGACCACACGTCGACAGCACAGGTGCTTGGCACTTCTTCGACGGCGATCTGCAGACATGGCTCGTCAAAGATGATGGCAGGAGCTTCACTTCAGGCCAGCGTTTCAAGAAGGGCAGTCCGCATACGGGTGCAGGAAGGAAGAGTACCGCTACACCTCCTTACCACGGTGAATTGCAAGCACTCGCCTCTCGGTTCTTCAGAGGTTTACCGAGTGTATGCGTCATGGTAGTGGCTCATGGATAGCTGGACCGACTCCTCCCATTTTGCAGTGCATCGCTTTCAGACCGAGACTTTCGCAGTGCAGTCCGGCATCCTCGCTTATCTGATCGACGGTCGCACAGGTATCCTGAAAGCAGGCGAGACTGTAAACATTCCTCCCTGGCGACCTCACACGTTCTGGTCTGACGAGGCAAGTGGAGAGGATCTAGTTGTCCACATCACTGTCAAGGGCGGAGACAATCCTGGATTCGACGAGACCTTTGTGCACAACTTTGTGAGTCTTTCACTTTGTTTGCTGAGTAGGATCAGCTGCCGATCCCAGAGCAACAAGAGTTGTGCGCTGAATAACATCTCTATGCTTTCAGTATGGCTACTTGTCATCTGTGACTCTCGCTGGCCGACCGCCTAACCCCTTCCAGGTGAGGCTGGCATGCAAGCAAATACCTGAAGGTGCATTTTATACTCGCGACTGACATATCTGCCGCTGCTATCGCGGTCATCGCAGATGCTCAGATTGTTGGATCACGCTGATGTCATCCTCGCAGGCATCCCCGTCACCATTTCGAACTGGGTCAACATCATTTTCGGTGAGCATCCGTCCCTTTCGAAGAGCATTAATGCTCTCTGACTGCTTCTGTGCCTCGCTCCTTGCCGCCATTCGTGATCTCATCGAAACACTTATGCGCTTCGCACAGGTCGCTGGATCGGAGGCTACCTGCTTCGCCTTCCAACTTCTTTCAAGGAATTTGCAGACTGACATTTCGTGCACGAGAACCACGTGGGATGACGCCGATGGAGAAGAGTATTTCGGAAGGAAGCATCTTTCGTGCTATGTGCCGTGTTCGTTGCCCGTGCTGAGCGAGACAGATAACCCTTCGGCTGCTTGTATTGTGCTCTACACTTTCATCCGCTACATCGCTCTTTGAATTTGAACGTTCCTCGCGCTTGTGAGCGTGGCGTTATATTCACAACTTGATCATGACTTGTATTCACAACTTGATCATGAATCACGCCCGGCCCAGTCAAGAGTGGTGTCGCACAAGCTGAGGACACGCACCAAAAGTATCAAAAATGAGCTGGGATGCCTCTCGAGCTCGATGAAGGTCCATCCGATATGGCGCATCTGATATCAAGCGAAGCTCTTTAGTAATTGACCCACGATTCGTGACGATGTTGACGTTGGAAGAAGCATCAGAGCGTGCTCAGTTGGCGGTGAGCGGCCTAGCGCAACGTAGCGTAGCGGTACGATGGTACCTACAGTCGTGAGTCAAAAAATCAGAAGAGAGAAGAGTCTAATAAGTCCGTTGATTGGCAAACACAGCTGCTGCTGATGCATGCATGGCAAGTCACGAATGTGAATCTACATACATCCATGCAGCAGCAGAGCTGAGGCAAAAAGTTCGCCTTGGAGACGATGCTTGCTGCATGGTGAAGCACCTGGCGCAAGCGGCAGGGTTCGCTCTTCGATGCAAAGCGTCAGCGCGCGTCGCATGCCGGGGCCTCTTCTCGTCCTAGCTCATCTGCAGTCACGAGTCAGTCGTGAGTGGCCTTGTGCTGTGCATGCTGTGCTGATGAACGGCGCGCAAGGCCGTCGTGCCGCGGCGACGTTCTCCCCCTAAGCGGGCGCGCGCGCGCCCTTCTGCGGTGTGATGCCTTTAGGCGCAATCTTGCACAGCAGCAGGCGGCTCGGTGGACATTTCTCGGCTAATGGACGCGGTGCTTGGTACCACGAGACGCGAGCTTCGTGGCGAGCGATTCGATTCTCGTCCAAACATCACCTCTTCACCTTCCATACCTCATCGGAATCGCCCAACAGCCACATCTTGACCTCAATTGCGCCGTCGACCACTGCTCGCTCGGGTTTAGGTCCAATCCGAGTCACGCAAGTCCTCAACGCACCTTCCCTGACCAAATTTGAGCAGCTCAGCTGATCGTATACCCGACATCCCACCCTTCGCTTGATCTTTCACGACACTCGTATCGGTTCCTTGGCCTCAGGATCACCAGCGTCCACATTCGAAAATAGCATTCAAACAAGTGCACCTCTTCAATTCAGTCTGGGAACGGCAAAGCTCCGCTGACCACGTCGCGGTGAATCGGGCATCCGCCACCATCACACTCTTACTGGCTACTGCGCCGTGTACGACCTACACCATCACTACTGAAGATGGGTCTCTCTTTTGGGAACTATGATGAGATCTGTGATACGGTAGCATTGATCGTGTGTCCCTTGTTGGGCAGCGAGTTGGGATTGGAGCCGAAATGCTACTCGAGGAATGTCGAGATCAACAACACCATCATTTTCCAACCGGGTGAGTGCGCGCAATCACGTCTCGAGCAACGCGAAGAAAGCTTCTAGGGAGCAAGCATCGAGGTGCGCGGATGACAATTTGGCTCGAATGCTTAGCAAGACCGTCGCAAGTTGCTACTGTCTGGCGGCATAGTCCCCACGACAATCCGCACATCTCTGATGGATCTTTGGCCCCTTGGATTGCCTCACAGCGGGGCCTCGGGTACACCTTGCTTCTGTGTACGGCTTGGGCGGAGGCTGACAGTAAACGTCGCACCGACTTCATCTCTCTTCGCAGCAACATGTTTTGTGCACATCGCTGCGCTCATCATGACAGCGATCATGATTTACCACGTCCGCAGCAAGTACACTGCCGTCGGTGAGTCTCACGGTTCTGCACACGCAAGCGGTTGCCCTCCAACTTAGAATGATTTGGGGCAAGGTCAGGTGTCGCTCACTCAACGTGCTGGGAGACGGAGGAGCGGCGCTGAGCGTGACCATATCCCAGGTCCGCGCCTGCCCCTTGGAGTTTGTGCCACAAATGCTAATGCACACCTGTACTTTGGGCTTGCCACAGGGAGGAAGGAGATTGTTCTCTTCTTCTATCTATATGCGGTGGCAGAAATCCTTGCCATCTTTCTGGACTCGGCCATCATTCCCACCTACAGCACCGCATATGCAGTGAGTCAGGGCAGCTTTGCTTGGGAGACAGGGCCGACTTTGACGTCCTCTTCCTCGCTTTGCGCAACAGGTGTTTGCGGCCATCTACGTGGGACTAGGCACTGCAATCTATTGGTGCCTGCTCATCAACGGCTTTGTTGGCTTCCAATTTGCAGAGGACGGCACTCCCAAATCCCTGTGGTTCTTGCGGATATCCTGCGTGGTCTTGTGGCTGATCGGCTTTTTGGTCGCGCTTGCCACCTTCAAGTCCGTAGGCGGCTTGTCACCCACAAAGACAGTCGGCCTCTGGGTCGTCCAGCTGCTTTTCCCGGTCGTCTGCGTGGCGATCTACGTGATCTCGCAAATCATCTTGGTCCTGCGAACACTCGACGACAGGTGGCCGCTAGGAGACATTACATTCGGTACACTGGCCTTCGTTGCCGCTTGCGTGCTCATGTTCGGATTCTCCGCGACGATCTGCGACAAAGTCAAGCACTACATTGACGGGACCTTTTTTGGTACGCTTTGCTTGCTATTTGCAGTCATGATGACGTACAAGTATTGGGACTCCATCACGAAGGAGGATCTCGAGTTCTCCGTTGGCAGTAAGCAAAGCGTGTGGGAAGTCAAGGACCCGTTGATTGGGGCTGGAGACGTCGACGTCATGGGTCCTGCCTCCATCAACACCCACGAGAGCCCGTTCAGCGGTGGTCATTCGTCGAACCGGAACAACAGCCCTGGCAGATTAGCACCTGGCTTTGGATCGAAGGGATCCGGCTACCCTCCTGCCGGACAGTATGGAGGCAGTACGTACTAGGACTTTTGTGCGCTGCATTCGACAACAAGGACTTTTTCGATCAAGTGCTGCCTTGCGCTCAGTACCGGCTCGTGTTACGCATCTCAGCATGTACATCCCATCGCATTCTTGACTGCCTCCCTGCTTCTCATCTGCCCAGGCATCGCTCCGGGATTGCTGCATCACCCTTGCGGTTCCTGAGCGTTGCATGCGCGTCCTCGACGTTCACGCATCTCTTCATACACACACACACAACCCACCTCCCTCTCTTGCCTCCGGCCCGCCCCTTTCTCGAGGCGTTTGTTTCTTTGTCCCGCGTAATCTGATAGCATTGCACTGGATCGCTACGCCTGTCCTGGCCCGCGTTCAAAGATGAGGCAGAAAAGATGACTTTCGTCGAGCTATCATTGCGGACGGGAGCAGGGCGATGGCACAATCTTGTAGCTGCGACTCATCGCCGCCGACGGCTTGGCGCAAGGATAAGCTGCCTCGAAGCTTGGGAAAGATTCAATTCAAGCGGCCGTACAGCTAGGTCTGAGGGGATGAATGGTTGCTTGACAACAAGACGATGTACCGAGAAGCATATCCGAAGGAGATGCTTGTGCAGGGCTTCCATGATTCACGATTCATGTGACGGACTCTGACTGCTTTGAAGCGCCTGGGGTGTGGGGGGAGGGACTGTTGTGAATAGATTGCACACATATTCGCGAAAATCGAGGCTTGGCTGAAGAAATCTTTTCTCGAAAGTGTGCCTGCCACATGCAAACACGCCCAAATCACAATGAAAAAGTTCTGCGTTGTTTGGTTCGGTGATTGGTTGGGGGGGGGTGGGTTTGCCTGATCGCACAAGGTGAGTGAGAAAAGGGCGACGACGAGCATGCAGCAGGGTCATGCGACACCACATCTGCTGTAGCAGCAGCAGCAGCTAGATCTCAATCACTTATCTTCCTTCGTGCTTTACAGTCTTGAGTCGTGAGTACCTGTTCATTTTTTTGACTTGGCGCATGAAGCGTGCTTAGTGCGTGCGCGTGCGCGTGCTCTTTCGAATGCGAATGCAGCTTGTACGCAGAAGAGAGAAGGGGGAGAGGGATCAGCTAGACCCGGCAAGGGAGAAGGTGCAGAGCAGCACTTGAGCAGAGGAGGTGTGTGAGTTTCCATGTGGGCAAAAGTCGAAAGACGAAAGTGGCTGACGCGCTCGCTGTTCCTCTGCCCTTGCTTCTCCCAAAGCCAAAATCTCATCAAGGTGGCAACGATGAAGCTTGCCAAGCGTCGGAGAGGGAGAGGCAGAAAGAAGGTCGACGTACGCGACGCGCGGAGACGGAGGCGTGGAGCCAAAGAGGTCCGGTGCATGGATGTTCGCCTGCTGCTGGCTGCATGCGTCCCCTCTCCACGAGCCCTGAGCCCACACGTGCAGCGCGCAGCAGACCTTACACCTCTGATGAAGCCGTAACGATGTCGAATATTTCGTAGACTTGATCGGATTGTTGACTCTGATGGACCCGTATACCCTTAGACCCCACCTGGCCGACACGGTGCTCACCAATAACAATTAAGCGTCGTTAGGGTTGACCAAGTCAGAACTTTGTCAGCGCAGAGCAGCTATAGCAGGTACAGTACATGCACGTACCAGCCAAGCAGCTCCTGTTGTAGAGGAGAGGGCTGGGCTGCAGCAGCAGCTTCAGTGGTGTCGAAGCAAGGCTGCACGCACGCACGCACGCACGCACGCACGCACGGAGCACCGCGCACGGACAGTCAGCGCGGACGCGCGCATGTGCTGCATGCAGGGTGCAGCAGGCATGCTGCTTAGTTGCTAATCCTTCCGATGAAAGCTTTTGTTGCAAGCAGCAGCAGCAGCACCGCGGATGGCCTCGCTGCGATTCGCAGCTTGTTCACGATTTGGTTGGAGCCTTTGTTTGCAACAAGGACGGCGATCGACGACTTGTTGGACTCGAGCGCCGAGACTGGCACTCGATATAGGAAGGGGGGAGGGGGAGATGAGAGGGACAGATTCTGATTGAGAACAGCGCAGGAGCCGTCATGCAGACATTCACGATTGTGATCACAGATTCACCCTCGCAGCTCACTCCGACTCGATCGCGACGCCCGACCGGATGACTCGGTTTGCGCCTGCTGTCTTGTGGCGCACATGTAGCAGGGGTGAGATAACCGACAGAGTCCCCCCCCCCTCAAGTCTTCTTTGGCCAGCTATAGGTGGCCCACAATGTACACGTATACACCGTATCGTGCACCGGCATGGACGCTCCATGCACCGAGACTTGTATATCATTATTCCAACTTTCGTACTCTGATTACAATCGAGAGAGGCACGTTGCCAGTCTTGAAGCATCATTGGCGTAGATCTTGCATGGGGCGATATACCTTGCCGAACAGCAGCAGAGGTTGAACGGGCGTAGCCCATAGCACATGCTTCATCTCGACCCTGAACTTGACCAACTCTGGCTCTGACTCATGCATAGATTGCTGGATCCCATACCGTAGCGTACGCGGTATGCATTGGCTGCAGGGTGGAATTAAATGTGACTGAGCACCTGGAGTCGCCGTGCAAAGGCTCGATGCTGAGAGCTGTGTATGGCTTTGCTCGTGCTTCACACGCTCGAGGGATGCTGTGCTGGCGGCATTCACGATTCGTGGTTCAAAATGGTGATGGCGCTGCTGGCGAGCATCATTATAACGGGATCGAGGCAAGTCCCGAGGTCGCAATTCCACAGCCCTCGGGGAGTGCTGCTTAAGGCGTCGATGGAGGAACGAATACTTTAAAAACTTGTATGCATCTCCCTAATCACCAATCGAGTTCAAGCGAGACACTCCGACGGTCCTTGCTGGGGACGATACGCTAGCTTACACTGCTGCACTCATGAGAGCCTCAATCAGGGACGTGCACGAACAGAGCTGGAGCGCACCTGAGCTGTGTGTTGCCTGTTGAGCATCCCCAAGCTTTGCCGATGAGCACTGCATGTCATGTCTGGCCTATAGCTGTATTTTGACTGTACCACTACTTGTGTGCCGTTCAGCACATGCTGGGAATCTCTCTTGACGCTGCGCCCAAAAGCTTCCGGTGCTCGATTTGCGACTGACGCAGTGCGTGCGTGTGACACTTGACCGGCGCATGACCTCCCTTCCTGCTGCCCAATCAAGATCGAGGAGCACAGACCAACTCGCCAGATCGTGAGAGCGTCCCCCCTTTAGGCGAGAAGGCTACATGTATATAAAGCCTAGAGATGAAGCACTTCGTGCCCGCCGTGCAGCCATATCGTCTCTCGAGACTCTCTAGCATACGCATACAACACCCTACCTAGACGCCCCACTCTCTGTCATCACCATGGGTCTCAAGACTGACAAGGTCTCTTTCCTCCTGTGAGTCGCATGAGTTTCTCGCTCCTTCGGGTCCCACAAGCTCAAGCTACTCCTTTGCGTGACATTCTGGTGATCAGCAATTGGAAGGCAACGCCTTATCACATCGCCGTATTTCTGGCGCAAAAGCAGGGACTCTTCCAGAAAGAGGGCATCGAGGTTGCCATCGTGAGCATGTTGCCCTCGCTACTTGATGATCGAGAGCCCTTCCTGATCCCGTTCCGACGCCGGCTATTCTTGCAGCTCGAGCCCAATGACCCCAGCGATGTTACCGAGTGAGTCAATCACGCCTGCGCGTTCGACTTGAGGTCTTAAACTGACTCGCTCGATGCATTGAACCTGCAGTATGATTGGATCCGGCAACGTCGACCTTGGCGCCAAGGCCATGATCCACTCCATCGCTGCCAAGGCAAAGGGTTACGATGTCACCGCCATCGGTCAGTGCTCATCTGAGCAGGGACAAGCGCGCATTGTTGCATTGCTGACGGCGCTCGCGCAATGGTCTTCTTTATGCAGGCTCATTGATGCAGGAGCCTTTCACTGGTGTCATTTACCTCAAGGGCTCCGGCATCGATGGTACCTTCCAAAGCTTGAAGGGCAAGCGCGTCGGCTACGTCGTGAGTGCAGGAGGACCTCACGATGGGACTAGCAGATCGCACGCTGACGTTCCCTCTCAATCTGACTTGCACAGGGTCACTTCGGCAAGATCCAGCTTGACGAGTTGACTGGCCACTTTGGCAGTGAGTGGAGAGAGGGGTGATGTGTGCCGACCGCGCGCATGTGCTTACGCCCTTGCCCATCGTGATCGCTTGTTCATAGTGTCCCCGGACGACTACACGGCGGTTCGCACAGGTATGCACATGGTTGACGCCATCAAGCGTGGTGAAATCGATGCCGGTGAGTGGGGACAATTGGAGAAATGTCGACAGCGTATCTTTGCGTCCTTGTCAGCTGACGAGATGCCCACGTTGTGATCAGGTATTGGCATCGAGAGCGTGAACCAGGTCGAGCTGGAGGAGTGGCTGAAGGAGCAGGGCAGAGACCCGACTGACGTTCAGATGATGCGCATTGACACTTTGGCTGAGCTTGGGTGCTGCTGCTTCTGCTCCATCCTCATCCTCGCCAATGACGAATTCCTAGCGCGCGCTCCGGAGAAAGCGAGAGCGTTCTTGCGGGCCGTCAAGGGTGCCAGCGACCAATTATTCGCCAACCCTCAAAAGGCTTGGGAAGAGTACAAGAGGTTCAAACCAGAGATGAACACTGCTCTGAACGAGAGAATCTTTGAGCGATGCTTCGTCTACATGTCTACGGACGCTGCCAATGTGCCGCGTGACTGGACCAAGGTCACCAATTACTCCAAGAGACTCGGCATTGTTCCCCAGGACTTTAAGCCAAACTACACCAACGACTTCCTCAGCTGGACCCCTGACGACCCTCAGGATGAGAGAGCCGAGGAGAAGCAGCTGGAGATTGCCCAGATTCAAAAGGACGTCGCAGCTGGCAAACGCTCGGCTCTCAAGAATGGCGTTCCTCTACCCGTCGTTCAGCTCGCTGCCGCCTCTTGAGCCGGTCCACACGACTACTGTACTCCCTACACCTATGATGCCAGTCGAGAAAGAATGAAACAAGTTGAAATGCGCTTTCGCTCACGAGTATCGGACCATGCATACATGCATCAAGGTTCGACAGGTGCCTGCGCCTCCCAGTCGGTCGTTGGCTTTGCAGAAATGTCTGCTAGCGAGCGACAATGCCGACGCGGTTCGCGCGGTGTGAAGTCCATGCATCCACTCTCCAGTAGTGTGAGTGGCGTTGACTGTCTATCGATTCCATGTTTGATTAGGTCAGAGCAGTGGACCTAGCTATGGGTTGCTCGAAGGATTGGAAGGGGGGGGGGTGAGTGTGATTGTGAGGCTTGAGAGAACAGATACTTCTAGAGAATGAACGGATGTTGGTTCAGCTCGGGTTGAACGCTTTTGGCTGCTGCTGCACGGGGTCGTGTGGCTTAGCTTCTCCGCGGTGGCCGCGGACGCTCGACAGCTTCGTCGTAGTACAGGTCTATGAAAGCGTTCAGTATGAAGGGACCCTTGATGCTTCGCTTTGTAACCCGGCATGAAATCATCGATATGAAAGTGGTGCGTCGCTCCGATTCGCTTCTGATCCTTTACATCCCCACACGATTGCGTTGCGAGCGAATCAGCTTGAGCGTCTCGTTTCAAGACAAAAGAGGCGCGAGGCCGAGTTGCGTTGTGCATAGAGCTTCCCTGTCGCGTTGCAAAGGCAACCTGGACCTCTTTTGTCTACGGACCTGAGGCGGGCCATTTCACCATTTTTCAGCACAGGTGGGGAGTATCTGGTGACCTCCAGCTGGTCTTTTAGACAATCAGACGACTTGTAGCGCATCATTCTCAGCCTTCAGGAGCAGCGCGTCACGAGCCAGAAGTCATGTCGACGCCTGCGCTGAGCACCCCAACTCGCGGCGGTGGGGCCAGCGAAGCGGGAGGCGGAGGAGCGAGCAAAAGACTAATACACGCACAACCGCAAGCTCAAGGACAGGACACGATCAATGCTTTCTTGGATCGCCAAGCTCAAACAACGCTCAATAGGCTGTATCAAAGACCAGCAAATTGCTTGGCCATCTTCAGATTGGTACCGATGCTTGCGCGACAACAAATCATGTCTATGCTCTTCTTGGAGGGAGAAGAAGCATCCTCCTCCTCCACCATGCCTGTCTCGGACGCTCAGGCTTGGATCAAGCGAGAGACTGAAGCGAGACGAAAATTCGAAGAAGGCATGGACCGCTTGTCCACGCTCAACATCGTGCGGATCAAAGGTGCAAAGTATCAACTCAACGGAGTGTTTAGGGACGGCATGAGAAGAGCACTGATAGGAGGAGGCGATCATAGATCTTTCGGGGTCGCTTGCGATACGCCTGACAAGAATGCAGTGGACCTGGAATACCTGGACGAGTATGCTCGAAGTAGATGGGAAGCAATACTGCACTACATGGTGGGCAGTGGAGGTGCAGAAGTACCGCGTGCTCCTGTGCTCTACCTCCTCAGAGCTTCTGGCTTGATGCAGCACGCCTCGAGCAAAAGACCAGACGATGCGGACCTCTCCATCACTTCGCTCGGCTTTCAATTCCTGCTGGAGGATCTGAACACGCAGCTTTGGGACCTTTTGCTCTCCTACCTCACAATGGCAGAATCAAGAAATATGGATCTGGTGGAAGTCTTGTCGTTCATTTTCATGCTGGGAAATCTTCAACTGGGCAAGGACTACTCCATCGAGGATTTCACCGAGACGCAGCTGCACATGCTGCAAGATTTCAGGGACTACGGACTAGTCTATCAGAGGAAAAGCACTTCGCGAAGGTTCTATCCTACACGTTTGGCCACCACGCTTACCAGCAGCGCCACCCCGCTGGTCGGTGGGCATGGCAGCGATGAGGAGAGAGGTTTTGTCATTCTGGAGACGAATTATAGAGTGTATGCGTACACCAGTAAGTCGAACTGGTGCCTTGTGTTGCGGCACTTTGGACCTTCGGAAAGGAACGCTGACATGATTCCTCTCGCCTCGTCAGACAATCCTTTGCGGATCAGCGTCTTGAGCCTCTTCGTCTCTCTTAAAGCCCGCTTCCCGAACCTCATCATGGGGACGATCAATAGAGAAAGCGTCAAAGCCGCGCTGAGCAACGGCATCAGCTCTGATCAGGTGAGACGGCGCCGAATGAATAGCGCGGGCGGTGCGAAGCTGAGCCGTTTTCCCCTCGCCTTCTTCGCGCCTGATAGATTATAGCATACCTCACGCACCACGCGCATGGACAGATGCTCAAGAATGTGAGTGTGCAGCCTGCCGATCTTCGCTTCGCGTCGCTCGCAGGCTCGGAAGGGGCGTCAATGACTTTGTTGCTAAAAAGATGCCGTTTCTTTTTCTTTCGTTCAGGATCCGGTCTTGCCAGTCACGGTCACCGATCAGATCAGGCTGTGGGAGCGGGAAAAGAATAGAGTCACCACCTCATCAGGTATGTGGGTCCACATGTCCACGGATGATCCGCATGGCTCTAGCCAGTGCTCAGCGGTCAAGCACCTCTTTGCACGACCCCTCACCACCGACTCGCACTCACCACAATCATTCCCCCCGCCCTCCTCCGCAGGCTCTCTCTTTGCAGATTTCTCGTCCTTTGCCGATTTCGCAATGGTCAGAGATTACGCCTCTCAGCTCGGAGTGCTGCTGTGGCAAAATGAACAGAAAAGATTATTCTTCGTCGCTGCTGAAGGGTGAGTTGCACAGCATCGAGACTTGGTAGAATGACCGTCTACTCGTCTGCGTCAAGGCGGATCAGATAGCTCGCATGATCTTTCTCGTTTTCCTTTTTGTTTTATTTTTAAGCAAGCTTGCTGACACGACGCTGCTACTTCACCGCGCTGCCATGACAGTGATGAGCCGACCCGTGACTTTATTCGGAGGAGACTGCAGAATTGAGTCACCTCCGAGCGTTGTACTATAGCCCTGGTCAAATCACACATTATTCTTGAAGCACCCTCGGTCCGCTTGATACATGCTGCTGCATTGCGAGGCAAGACATCGGAACGGTGAAAGGAGAGAGAAGAGAGAAGAGGAAAGGTACACGTGAGGATGATGTGATGCTCCAATCAGCCGACGCGACGGACGAAGGGTCCGACCGAAAGAGGGGGGCTATGTGCACGAAGCTCGCTGGCTGTTCGGGCGATCTTTACTCCCGCTCGCTCTAGATGGCATCCGTGCCGTTCCAGTGCACCAATTCCAGGCTGCGACTGGTGACTTCATCAATGGTCCACCTACGTCCAGGTGCGCCAGTTCCAATCTTCATGTGCAGCGCCTCTCCAATCTCATCGGAAGCACGTAGCACATCGTCGATGTCGCTCTTCGTGTGGCTTGCGGACACGCAGAACCTGACTCTGGATGAGATTAGAGGTGTGGCTGGGTAAGCCACCACGACGACTACGATGGGTGGTCGGCTGAACGTGCCATCGTCGTGCAGCGCCTCAGCAGAAGCCGGGTCGTTGAGCCTTGCCAATTCCCGTGAAGAAAGATCCTTCTCCGACGCTGCCAAACGCCTGGAAGGTGGCACGGAGGAAGACCGATCGAGCATCATTCGGCTAAACATTTGCATCTTGGCTGGGTTGAAGATGAGCAGCGGAACGATAGGACTGTCGCGATGACCGTAGACGATGAAGCCCAGTTTCCTGAGCCCACTGGATAAGTATCGAGCATTGAAAGCCAGTCTTCGCAATCGCTCGCGACCTTCGGAGCCGTCGAGCAATCGGGGAGGCAGGTGAACGAAGGAGGGCAAAAGCGCCATCTCGTGCGCAGCATTGCCCACGCCCATGATGCCAGCCATGGAGGAGATGATCTGGGTCAGAACAGGAGGACTCAACGTCTCTCCGTATACGTTGGCGTGGTTAGCCAACCTGACCCTATCGATGATGCTCTTGTCCCCGCAGATGTATCCTCCAGCAGCTCCGAACGATTTAGTGAATGTACCCATCAGAATATCAACGCGCGCCGGGTCGACACCAAAGTAGTCGCAGACTCCTCGACCGCGAGGTCCTATAGCACCGATAGAGTGAGCCTCGTCGATATAGAGGTAGAACTGCACGACACGCGCAGTCGACGTAACACTTTGGAATCAGTCGCCAAAGCTTCAAGTATGCTGAGAAGCCGATGCACAACTCACTTTGTAACGGTCCTTGAGCTCCAGCACTTTTGGCAGGTTGACAAGTGTGCCTTCCATCGAATACAAGCCTTCCACCATCAAGAAAATCTTCTTCCATGGTCTGTGCGTGCGAGGCATACCTTGAGAGATGCACTCTCTCAGCAAATGTTCCAAGTCCTCCATGTCGTTGTGCTTGTACTGTCTGATAGCTGCCCCCGTAAGTCTGGCACCAAATCTGATAGAAGAATGATTGTACTCGTCCGAGATGATGAGCGCGCCTGGGCCAGCAATGGCAGGGATAGTTGTGCTGTTGGTGGCGAATCCCATCGATACCACACAGCAATCTTGCTTGCCCACGAATTGAGCTACCAGCTTCTCTGCTTGGGCTTGCAGATCGAGTGCGCCCACACCCAACCTCGACCCATAGCTGCTTACGCCGTACGTATTCAAGCACCTTTCTACAGCGTCTGCGCAGGCGCCGTGACTCTGAGCAAATCCCAGATAGTTGTATGCTGATACGTTGAGACAGCGAGTCTTTTCGCCGGTGAGCTCGAATGTATCAAAAGCATTTTGGGAAGTGCGATCGAGCAGAGTGACGGTTCTGCCGCACACGCCCGTGACCGGTCTGGCAAAGCAATCTTCTAGACGATGCTTGAGTCTACGCGTGTAGAAGCTGTCAAAGTCGGAGTTCAAAGGAGCATAGCCGTTGATCTCTACGAGATGAGTAAAGGTCGAAGGGTAGAAGCGCTTTTCGAGAAAGTCTCGAATGTGACCCACGACGATGAGGATAGCATACGAGAGGTAGGTGGTCAGGACCGTATAGTATGGCGGTTCCTCTTCATGTGGGCTTGGAAGAGACCCATTCTTGTGTGAAGACTCGTACCTGAAAGCAGGGTTCGCGCAGTATCCGAACTCTGAGTGCACTAGCGTGGAGCCATCTGCGCTGCTGGAGTGGGATGTGGGAGCCTCGGCCGCAGCAGCTGCGCCAAGACCAGCGCCAATGACGACGTTGCCGGCTGGAGTGCTCAAAACACCACCTGACAGCTTGTTTGTTCCACCAGAAGCGGCGGCCGCGATGAGAGCTGCTTTGGCAACAGACCTCTGGTGCAGATCTTGAATGCTCTCCAAGCTCTCTATACTGGCGGATGTGCTGCCCGTCGTCATGCTGGGAGGCTGACTGCCTAGCTCGTCGCTCGGAGAGCTAGAGGATGAAGAAGGGCTGTCTTTTGAGGATCGTCCTCTTTGATGAGACGGCGAGCTGGAGTCATTCGAATCTGTGCTGTTGCTGGTCGCATCATTGGCAGCTTCAGGTGGAGAAACACTGACTGTGGGCACTCCCTTTCCGGCAGCGCTGACAATGCGCGATCCGGGACTTGGGGATGCAGATGTGGCGAGCTCTGTGGCTGCTTCGCGGTTTTTGCTCGGTGTCAAGGACCAGCGCTTACGCATGCTTGGCGAAGGCGAGGACGTGACGCTCGTCCCTGCCGATGGAGACGGAGAGTCAGTTGGTGTGCCTGTACTGCCGCTGGCGCTGCCGCTCGAGCGATTGCTAGATCTACGCCAGGAGGGCATAGCGGATGATGTCGTTGTGGGGAGAAGGAGAGTGATTAAGAATAAGGAGCGAAATCCACTCGGTCAGAGCTTGAGAGCTGCCAAGTCCGCTCAATGCCGCGACGAGCGGTAGGAGCAAAGGACTTTCGAAGCGGAGAACAGCAACGAGAACACAGCCTTGTGTACGTATATACGAGTGTGAGCGATGTGTGGAGTCAAAGCAAGAGCGTCTGATTCACCATTCGCGGGTTAAGGGCTGATGAAGAGCTCTAATCGCATCTCGTCATGCACGGCGCGCAACCTCTTGTAAGCGACGCGGACGCGGTTTGTATTCGCTCATTACCACAATTCACACATGCGGCTCACGGTTTGCGGAAGCTGACTGCCGATGTGAAGCTGCTGGCTGGCTGCTCACTGCCGTAACCAGCTGGTGGTCACGGCCGTGCCATCCATCCTCAGAGCCAACTTTGCAGTGCTTTCATCGATTTCCCCAAAACACGGTGTCAAGGCGGTCAAAAGAGATGCCACCACCACGAGTGCTCACATCATATATTGCACTTTTACGATGGTGCTGAAGCGCGCATAACATGTTCGGCATCACGCCCTCACGTTGTGACTTTGGCATCTGACCACCGAAGCTTGCACTAGCAGCATCCCAGCTTATAGACAAGCTGGACCTCAGGTTCACTGCCGCCAATCTTGGACGATCACAATTGTGAAGGCATGTGCTGTGTGGAAGTCTGCCTGTCCCGCGTGTTGGGTTGGTGTACAACGTCGAGCCGGCGGAGAACCGGTGTGCGTACAGCTGTAGTTGAATTCAGATTGCATGGGACCAGTCAGAGTCACGAGTCGCTGCGTCGCTGCTGATATAAGACAGAGCACGTGCTGTCTTTGTGATCAGCGTCGGCCATCGATGCGCTTCTCGCGCGAGACGCCTGCGACGAGTGCCAGGCTCGCCACGTGGTCGAATGTTACGAGGGGCGCGCGACCGTATACAAGCTGCAGCTGATGTCCGCGCCCGCAGCATTCCTTCGTGTATACCTACAGCAATTCTAGAATCGGCATCAATGCCTGACGTTTCTCTCACCACTCGGAAAGCTCAATACTCCGCTAGCAGTCATACTCAAATATGTAAGTATCAGCGACCTGCTAGAGCCTCTCAGCAGCATCTCAGCAGCGCACGTTGGATCTCTACATCCCTCGGGTGCGCCGGAGAGCTTCATGTGGAAGGCCAGGCGATCGAGATAAACAGAAGGCAGTGCTTTCTTCGGCACTTGCTGGGAAATGTTACAAAGCTCGGAGCGCACTGGTGTTGCGGCAAGATATGCGTGGTGACGGGGGAAAGAGGGGATGAAGCAGGGCGCAGACTAGCAGAAGCAAAGAGCAGGAGCAGGAAAAACGCAACTACAGGCGCAAGTAGGCAACAGGACCGTGTCGAGCGCATGATGACTGCCTTCCATTGCATCAGCGCCCCAATCACTCGCATAAGAAAGCGTTTGCTGACAACCCCACGTTACTTTCTCGCCACACTCAGTGCCCAACATGGCATCCGTTTCTAACAAGATCCTGCGCACAGCCGGCGCACCCGCGGTCAGCCCTTCCGAGACCGAGACCACCGTGGCTCAAGCTCTGCTCGACCTCGAGAGCAATGTCCCCGAGCTCAAGGCAGAATTGAGACCTTTGCAGATCAGCGCTGCCAAGGAGGTTGATGTGAAGGGGGGAAAGAAGGCCATCGTCATCTTTGTGCCTGTGCCCCAGCTCAAGGCATTCCACAAGATCCAGCAGAGGTGAGTCGCCGATTGAAAAGGTTGCGCGAGGCGTAGCATGGGCAACAGTATCACCACGGGGAAGCAATTCTGTGTGGCCTGGACAAAAGGCAGCTCGCGCTCATGACGAAGTGCACATGAGCCAGGCCACATCACCTTGCTATACCAACGCGCACACACCACTTCGGCAGGAGGTAGACCCTCGGCACTTGATGGCGCTCGCATAGCACGTTTGAACTTTCCTCGCTGACTCAAGACTCTCCCTGGTGAAACAGGCTGACCCGTGAGCTCGAGAAGAAGTTCTCCGACCGCCACGTCATCTTCGTCGGCCAAAGGCGCGTGCTGGCCAAGCCCGGCCGCAACTCTCGCGCCAAGCAACCCCGTCCCCGTTCCCGCACTCTCACCGCCGTTCACGAGAGCATCTTGGAAGACCTCGTCTTCCCCACAGAGATCACCGGCAAGCGTGTGCGCGTTGCTACGGATGGAAACAAGCTGATCAAGTGCTTCTTGGACTCGAAGGATGCTACCAGTCTGGAGTACAAGCTGGACAGCTTCTCCAGCGTCTACAGGAAGCTTACAGGAAAGGAGGTCACTTTCATGTTCAAGGTGAGCGGCCCGTGTAGAAGCTTCAGGAGAGGCAGACATTTGGAGAGAGCACGGTCGTTGAGCAAGCTGCAGCGCAATGGCGATGCTGAGATCACTCATGCGCGAAGCTTGCTGACCCGCCGTCGTTCTGATCTCCGCTCTTCAAGGACGCCGATGGCGCGTAAAGGTCTTTTCCGCCCAACTCTCGTCTCCGTCACGCAATCCATGTCGCGCAACAATCACATGCCAACGAGCTTGAATCTGATCCGCTCTCGACTCAGCGTGATGGCGGACATTCTTCACCTCACACATCCAAAAAATCGAGCACTGTGGGCGTAATCTCGAGCGCGCATTCATGGGGCTCATCAAGCATGCAGGCTTTTGCCTGCTCTTCTACTTGTAGTATCAGCATCAAATCATATGCCTTTCTCTCCGACCCTCGACCCTGCTCTGTTGAGCGCGCGTTTTAAGCGTTTCGCGTAGAATTGACAAGGCGTGCGGAGGAGCGATGGGTGGAGGAAGAGATGCTGTTGTCTGGAATAGGAAAAGAGGAGATGTGCTCAGTTCGTGCCTTCTGGCCCTCTCGACGCAAAGCGAGCACGGCGGGGCAAGGCGCATTGGGTAGGAAAAGGTGATTTGGTGCAAGGGATGGGATGTGTGCATGACGGGGCCATGTGTGCTCGGATGTTGCAAGGGCGCTTGAGCGAGTGTCTAGACGATCTCGAAGCAGATGCGCATACCGACCGAAGCGAGCTCGGTGCTGAGATACTTGAGAACATAAGGGATGGCCTGTGAGGAGCCAATCGAGGCAATAGGAGTGAGGAACGGAATGATCGACTGGATAAGACGACTTGTCTTTTTCCCCCCAGTCTCGACTGCCATGGTTCTTCTTGAAGCGCTTCGCTTACTCACAATGACGTCCAATCCGCCATTTCCTCTTCTAATGACGTTTTCCCTACCGATTTGAAGTCTAGTAGCGCCTTGCGGGATCCTGCTAGCTCCTTTGGGTAACCTAGCTCTTCCCTGCGCTTCCCTGACCTCATCGTCCGCTCTACATATCCTACAATATTCGCCATTCGGGCCCAAACTGGCCGGATGATTGGACCTGGACGTATTGCCATCCAGCGTCTGCACGCCGGACAAGCCGGCATCGTCGTAGCCCAAACTGATGATGCTGCCGCACGTGCGGCACACGAAGCTCGTGCTGTAGTCCGAACAGTTCATCAGTCGATCTTGCAGAAGGAAGCTGGTTCCGTGAGCTAGAAGCGCGTCGCGTTCCATCTCTCCGAATCGGATGCCTCCTGCCCTCTTACGACCCTTGATGGGTTGTCGAGTCAAGGAATGCACAGGTCCAGTAGTTCTCACTTGAAATTTGTCATTGACCATGTGTCTCAATCTCTGATAATAGACTACGCCGAGGTAAATGTCCGCCTGAAGTTCTTGTCCCGTGATGCCAGAGTACATCGGTTCATTGCCGACGTGGTTGTATCCAGCCAGCTTGAGCTGCTCTCCAAAGTACTCGATCGGCGTATCCCTCTCGCTAAATGTCCACGGCGTGCAATCTTGAGAGATGCCGTGCATGGCGCCCGCTTTGCCTGCCAAGCTCTCAATCAGCATGCCGATGGTCATACGACTAGGAAAGGCATGCGGGTTGATGATGACGTCCGGTTGCATGCCGCTTTCCGAAAAGGGCATGTCTATAGCTGGCCACTTTTGACTGCACACACCCTTTTGCCCATGTCTGGAACTGAATTTGTCGCCAATGACCGGGGACCTTGGTATTCTCAAAACGATCTGTATCTTGGTGCAGCTACCTTCGCCAGAGTCTGTACCTATCAAGCGCACCGTGTCGATGTATGCGAAGTCGTCGCCCTTGAACTTGTGGTAAGACGTCTTTCCGCGAAGGTCGTCAAAGTAAGCGACCATGGGCGCGCCGTTTAGCACCTTGGCTCCGATGATGGGCAGTCCGTCCACATCGATCGTATTTCTCACTTTGGACTCGACGTCCACATCGTGCCCGAGAGCAAAGCGAAGGTTGAGTATTCCAGCGCTCGTCGAAGCACCGTGCATATCCGTCAGATCCACCGTCTCGCTCTTGTAGACGCTGCCGTAGCCGAATCCTCGTTCGTGCGCAGACTTGTTCAGAATCATCGCATCTTCCATGTCATATCCTGTATAACTGATGACCGCCACAATGGCGTTGGCCCCGTTTGGCGCCTCGTCGAAGCTGTAACGATTATGGAGCTGTGGTCGCACGACGGGCGTCTGGGGCGTCTGAATCCGGTACAGCTTATTGTCGGTACGGTGATTGATGGCCGTGGAAGGCGTTCCCATCGTCTGCTTTCCCATCTGGCACTCTGTCGACGAGCAAGCTAGCGATCAGCAAATTTGGCAACGAACGCAAAGGCGCGTCCCTGAGACACTCACGGTACATGTTTCTTGGACTCTGATTAAAGTCTGAAAACGGCGTGAGATTGGCAATCACGCTGAGCACATTGGTAGGGCTCAATTCGGCATGGGTGGTGACGCCCGTTTCAATCTCATCGGGCATGCACGCAACATCGAGATAGACCTGTTCGAATGGTCCCACCATATCGACCCTATTGTTCTTGAGGTATCTGACAGGTCTCATCATCCTAGCTCTGCTAGAGAAGAGGTACAGACCAGGGTACTGACCGCCTTTAGATGTAGGCACAAAGCCGATTTCCAGATCCATCGGCACCTTTTCTTTGCCTTCTGTTTTCCAGCTGCGCAGCTGGTTGGCCATGTGGAAAGCGAGCGCAGGAGTGGCATAGCCGATAATGATGCCGTCAAGCTGAACAACGACGTGTTGTCGTCCATCGATGCCTGACGCGAACGGAGCAGACATGCCCAGCGAGGAGAGCAGAGATGGCACGCAGCTCGTGTCCACTTCGCGCGTAATGAGCCTGCAAGAGTGACTGAAATGATTCAACAGCCCGCATGGGGAGCCGTCGGGCGTGTGCACAGGACACAGGAAGCCCCACGCTTCAGGCAAAAGCTTTCTGACGGTCGTGGTCTTGAGTTCTGCAAAAAAGGCTCCTCGATGGACGGACCTGAAATGGGCCAAATACCTGTAGAAGTTGAGCTTCTCCGCCACTACTGTGAAACCACCAATCTGTTGAAGGTCCAATCCGGTCGGACTGACCAGGTTGCCAGTGGCCAAAAAATTGGCCAATCTCGCTCCCAGGTCAGAATTGACACGAGCAAAGACTTTGGACATGGAAGAAGCGTTGAAAAAGTCCATGCCTTGCTTTGATCTCAATTCTCGAGAGACTTGGCCTCTCAAGGCGATCAGGTACTCATCAATCCTCTCCTTGATGATCTGTCCGTACAAGAATCCCGGCAAGAGGATCTCTTGATGTTGAGGCGAGTCGGGATTGTCGGGGCAGCAGTCACCAGCTACGAGAGAGTACAACTTGCGCATCATAAAGATGAGCATATTGTACTTGTCCCTTGGCGTGTCCAGATGAGGCAAAACCATGCGTTTGATGAGCTCGCTGCCTACTTGAAAGTTGCTCCAATCTTCCGGTGTGGCCATGGCCACTCTGAATTTGTCCCCGAGGTATTCGCAGCATTGCTCTCCCGTCCACAAGCCGTACGATTTGAAGCCTCGCAGCAAAAGCTCCACTCTATCAGCCAAAAACGTGTTGTCGAAATCGCCTTGTACCAAGTCCGAAAAGATCTCCTTGTCGGTGGCGGAGACGAGGGACTTGAGCAGCATGACGACAGGAATCATGTACTCTGATTTCCTCATGCTGAACCTGAGCGTGACGCCGCCGTTGGTTAGGTAGTGGACAGTGTTGGTAAAGCTCAACAAGTCGTTCTTGTGCAAGCAACGAATGGTGCAACCCTTGGTCGAGTACTCCGGCCCTCGTTTCTGGAACGATGGTCTTTCGATCGCCGTGACGTGATTTGCTCGCGGGACGATCAAGAAGCGTACCAGCCTTTCATTGCCATTGATGATAAAGTAGCCGCCCAGCTCGTGAGGCTCTTCTGCTCGCTGCACCAACTCGCGCGAGGATAGGCCCCGAAGATGACACCGGTTGGACTGTGCCGAGGAGGGTGCAGCTGCTCGTCAGCCAAGCAGCGTGCCAATCAATGGCCATCCGCAGCTGCTCACCTTGACCATGACGGGAACCTGACCTAGATCGCGCTCCTCGATGTGAGGCAAGTTACCATTGACCCTCCAAGCGATGCGCGCAGTCATGCGAGCCCTGTACGTCATGAGCCTTTCACGGCACTGTACGCGAGGTCAGAAGAAGGGCAAAGTCGGTGAGCATGAGAATCTGTCGAGCGTTGACATTCTCCGCAGCAGTGCACCAACAGTCAAGACAAGAATGACTCACCTCGCTTGGAAAAGTCTTTTTGCCAGACAAGCCCTTTGCGCGCTCGCTAGCAGCGGGCCTAGCCAGACTGACGCTCTCCACGCTGATCTCCATCTTGTTGCCCCTCTTGTTGTCAGATCCACCTTTCCCATCAAAGATGACTTTTGGAGGAAGTCTCTTGAGAGCTTTGGCAAGCAGACCTTGACCTTCACCTATGCCCAGCGTATCTCCGAGTCCCGGAAGACCCTTTAGCAGACTGTGGCCGCTGGATGACGCGCCGCTACCAGCCTGAGAGATGCGCGAGGGCAGGATGGAAGAGGTGGAAGGGTCGACGGATGGATCTTGTGCCCACAAAGCATTGAAGCTCTCGATATGAGGAGCGGTGAGATTTTGAAGATCTGGATGATCGAACTGCTTGGCACTGGGATGCTTGAAGCGCGCTTGGGTACGCAGCGTGTGAAAAGTGTGCGGTTCGAGCCAAGGTACTGAACTGTGCTTGCTGAAATGGTCTTGAAATGGATCGCCTGCTTCTGCTTCAGGCTGCGCTTGGCGACGTGCTTCCTTGAGCGATCTTGGCAGTGTTGCGGTGGCTGCTGGCGGTGTCGATGGGCCATCCGAATCGGAGGTGGAGGAAGATTGGCTGCCACTCATCCTGCGCAGCGTCCCTCAAGATATGGCTCTGAGTGAAGACGAGCAAGGTGTGTAGCGGGAGATGCGCCAAGGAGCAGCAACGCAAGGCGAAATCCAGCTTGTCCGTGAGCGGCGATGTGATGTCAATCACCGATCAGTGGCTCTGCCTTGTAGACGCGCGGAGAGAGAGAGGGAGAGAGTGAAAGTGAAATGTCCATGACCATGTCCATGATAGCGAAATGCCTTCCTTGAATGGTGAATGAGCGAGCAGCTGCGAAAAGTCGAAAATTCCAGCCCTGCTGCTGCTGCTGCTGCGTTGTTTGCCTGCTGCAGCATGCTGCACACAAGCCATGCATACCCGTATACATCCTCGCTCATGATCGTGCAACCGCCGCGTCAAAAATCTCAAAGCTTGAGCGCTTTAAAGTTGGTGTTCTGATTCTCGCACGAGAAGATCGCCTTGCATGTACGGTATATAGAGATAGGCCCATAGGCGCTCCACTTGCCCAAGCATGCGAGGTCACAAGCATTCACCATTCGTCACATCAGGTCTGCGAGAGTACGGAACATCTGAAGCAGGCCTCGCCTGCCCCACCTCCTCTTCATCGCTCACATCGTTCCCAACGTGTTCGAGGAATCACAGGCTGGAATTTTATCGCACGAGAAAAGGATCTAGGGAGCAAGTCGACGGCACTGCAGAGCTGCGACGCCAAAGGTGGACCTTGGAATCAAGACTTGTCACCCGACCACTGTGATTCGCAACACCGGCCAAGGCCAACTCGGACTAGCTTAGCGCCCGACCCGTCCGATCAGCAGCACTTCAAAGGTTGTGCTGTCATGTCCGATTTCGACACGCGTGAGTCGCGGCACATCGCGGTCCCTCTCAGCTCACCGCCTCCCTCGGTGCTCGTGTCCTTCGAGCGGTGAAGGCTCAAATCCTGCTCATGCCGCATCAAACAGTGACGAATATGGGCTTCGAGCCTGCCCGTATACGCTGGGCCATCGAGGCGACGGGCAGCAAGGGCTTACAACAAGCCATGGATCACATCCTCGTGAATCAAAACAGGAACGTCCCAGATTATTTGGCCGGTTCAACAAGCAGCCTCTCCAATGCAGACGGGCAGCAGCAGGATTTTGCCCTCGAATCAACGCATTCAGAGCAGAATAGCAATCAAAGGGAGACGGTGAGCGTATCGCGCAGACCTGTCGCGACTCAGCATACTCTCAGTGTCGCTCCAACAGCGGGGCGCTCCGATGGCTCCTCAGCAGCAGCCCTTCCTCCCCCACCTCCCTCCTCTCAAACAACACACACCACCTCCTCCTCCTACACCTTCCCACCCCTACATTCCTTTCCTCCCTTTTTCACTCCTCAATCGCACGCCGAGACATGGTCCACTCAAGCTACGAACTGGTCCAGCATTATTCGAAGCTGGTGCAAACATCACCGCAGATTCTTTTTGGATGCCAAGGGAGAGTGGGAGAGGGGTGGAGCGGATGGACTTTTTGAGAGTAGGATTTGTGCAAGGAGGTTGGATGAGCTGGCGATTGAGAGGATTCTGGCATTCATGGTGGAGCGAGGTGAGTTGTGCATCGGTTACGCGCAGAGCAAGCTGGGTCGAGACGAGGATGATGCAACCCCGCGCTTCTCGCATTCTTGCGTGCTCAAGCGCTGATGTCGGGTCTTGCTCCTCTCTGTCCACCTTGGTCGCAGGCGATGCGACTTGGGATCCGTCCAGACCTTCCAAACCAAAAATTGGAGCGGCACTGTCGACGCGTGCCCTAATCTTCTGGTACAGGCCCGAAGAGTGGGCCGATCAAATCTACGCTTGGGTGAGCCCTGTTGTGTACTCGGCTGATCAGGCAACTTCTTACTTTTCTTCTTCGATATCACACCCTTGCCATCTTCCTTGCTACCACTTCGCCTTCCCTCTCGCAGATCTGCTCGACGGGTCAGAACGGCTCCATCTTGACACTTTACGAACTGACGCACGGAGATCCTTCGGAAGGAACAGAGTTTCATGAACTGCCCGACGAGATGCTCCGAAAAGCTTTGGCCATCCTGATCAAGGATGGAAAAGCCGCCTTGTTGGAAGCGACGGGAGGAGAGGGGGATGGTGTCAAATTTTTGTAGTTCCGACCCTGCGCCTTGCAAGTGCTGGTAGCCCAACGCCGTGCGAGGCTCGTAGGCCCTGCAGCTCTGAGAAATTTTCGGACGAGACGGCGAGGAGATCCCCAAGTGGCGCGAGTGGCGGCACGAGCAGAGCGCCTTCTTTCTCATACATTCACACCTCGGGCGCTAGGCACGCGTGGCCTGGGAACCGATTTCGACAAAGAAAGGAGGCTAACTCGTGTCTCTTAGGAGCCCGCTCACACGCCAACACAGATCCTGGGCAAGAGGCCCTCGCTAGATCAGGATTTGGCCGCCTGTGCGCTTGATCCTCGAGCATGCCCGACACGCTTGTGCAGAGCCAAGAACCGTCGACATTCCCTCACGAGATCTCGAGGTGCAAAAGGACGAATTTGCGCGAGAATTTGCGCCCGCGCTCAAGGAGCTTTTCAGCCAAGTGATCAAAGGAGGGGAAAAAAAAAAAACAAAAGATGATGCGCGGTCTCGAATGGGATGGATGGTACACTTTTCGCGCCCTTGCGCCCCGACAGCTTTGCGGCAAGATGTGACCCACATCAAACGAGTTCCATCGGGAACAAGTCAGATTTGGGCCCGCGCCGCGATAGCCGACGCGCTGAGCTGGGATAATACGAACAGCTTGGGACAATCTATACGAGGGGGCACACGGCAACTTTGCATCGCTTGACTTGCTCCCCTTTTTGGTCTAGTTGTTTAGCGCATGTGCGCTAGTGGCAGCAAGAGGTTGCCGCTTCGAATGCGGCGAGAAGCAGCTGCGAACTGGTGGAGGGGCCCAAGGCGGATCTCGAGCGACTTGCTGCGCGTCCGGGCCCTCTCGGTCCGAGGTGCATCGGTGTCTTGTCGCAAGAAAGAAAGGAAGCCGAGGGGGCCTCCCAAAAATTGGGTCTTGCCCATTCTTCCCTTCGGGGACATCTTTTTTTTTTTCTTGTTGTTTGTGCGCTGTCCGCACAAACAAGGGAGCCAGCCGCGCACCAAACAGGATTCGCGCGAAGCCTCGTCGGCCCCGTCCTCTAGACATTTCCCCTTCAAGGCTCCTCTCAGATCCAATTCGTCCAATGTCAAATGACCCACACATGTACCTGACATGCCCAGCACGAAAGATGCGCGCAAATGCGTGGGACCTCACACTCGATTCACCACGTGTTACAGAAAAAAGAGAAGAATGGGATGCCGTCATTGCGCAATCGAACAGAGCTAGCTACCTCTTGATCTTGCCTTTACCCTCCTCCACCTCTTTGCCTTCCAATATGTCCAAAGCCTGTCTCAGGAACTTTCGCGCAGCGTCCAGATCCTCATGGTCCATGGAACTAGCTGCCCATTTGGCATATTTTTGAACTTTGGCCGAGGCCGAAGCGTCTAGGGATTGAGGCAGCGCTATTGTCGGCGGAGGTGCTGGTGCTGGTGCTGGTGCTGATGGAGGCGCTGCAACTGCATTTGAAGTCGAGTCGATGTTGGAGGAGGTGGGTTGGCTTTGCAAGTCGGAAGAAGGTGGCGCTGAGGGTGTGATGGATGGTGGAGCTGGAGAGAAGAGGGGCGCGCTGGGTGCATGAGTGGAGGGGGGTGCAAAAGCAGTGGCTGCTCGATGAGGCGGAGGAATGGGAGGCCTGGAAGCTGCCACGCTACCTGGCGGAGCTGGCGCAAAAGCGCCGACCGATGCCAATGCGCTGTTGTTGTTGCCGCTGCTGCTTCCGTTGCCATTTGCTGTGCTCGCAGCAGAGGGGTTGAAGCCGGGAGGCATGGGCAAAGGTCTTGATCCCGGACTCACACTTCCCGAACCAGCAGGACCTGGCCCTTGATGGCTGGGAAAGGACAAGAAAGCTGAAGAAGGTCTGGAAGGTGGTTGGCCAGACAAGGAGGGCGAGAGAGATCGACGACCAAACACGTCTTCCGATGTTGCTTCATTCGAAGCGCCTCCTACGTACTCTGATGCAGATCTTCTCGAGTGCCCAAAATTGGGGGACAAGTGAGGAGGAGTGGAAGCTGCATCCTCCACATCTTCTCCACTTCCGCTCCGCGACAATTGACTTCGCATCGGTTTGCTAAAGTTGGGACTGGATCCTAGACCTTGAGCTGCAAAATCGGGCGGTGCGAGCCTGGCCGCTCCTTCTCCAGCGTTGGGTGAGATAAAAGGCCCAATGTTCATGCTTCGAGCATCCACACTCAGACGACTATGAGCTCTTCCGCCCTTGTTGGGAGTGAGCGGTGCACCGCCTCTCGGAGCAGTAGCTGCTCCAGCAAGCGAAAGTGCATCCATCCCTTCATCTGGGCTAATGGCTGTCGGCCCTTGACCAGGGTCTACGCTGAATGCAGGAGCAGAAGGAACGTCGACACCTGCATCACCTTCCAACTTTCTCATCTCTCTGTCCAAGTACTCTTTCTCTTCCTGACTAGCTGCGCCCGCTTGCGCTCCAAGACCGACGCCGAGCAGATCAAGTTGGGCAAGCTTGGCATCTGTGTCCTGATCCGTCTCTGCTGCTGGTGGAGGTGCAGGTTGTCTGCCTTCTCTGATAGCTTTGGAAATCTCGCCTGCCCTCCATTTCGCATACTTGAGCTTCGAAGAGATCTGAGGGCGTGCAAGAGGCGCCAAAGTCAGAGATCGCAATACAGCACACAGGCAAAAGGATTCGCATTGACCCACCTCTGCATCAAGCTCGCCAAATTCCGACAAGACATCGAAGAAGTTGGACGCTGCAAGGTAGGCCAGCGCTGTATTCCTGCGGAGAAAGAGAGAGAGAGAGAGAGGCAAGCGGATGTCGAATACTTTCAGCATCGCCTTGCTGCACCACGGAATGGCGTGCGTGGACGCTGTTACCCCTGTGCAGTGAGCACAGCGATGCAAGGACGGCCAAGTCACGACTCACCTTCCATTCACTCCTTGCCTATCCAGCCTATCCGCATTTCCAAACACGCCCAACGCCTTTCCCCTCACGTACTCCGCCCCACTCTCATCCTCCAATCTCTGATCACCTTTGAGTCTCTCCTTCATCTCCTCCAGCAGATCCATCAATGCGTTCAAGTACGACTTTCCCTCATTGTCCAACGTGTGCAGCTGGGGGATTCCGAGTCGTAGGGCTCGATAGGCGCACCAGTAGGCTAGCATAGGATCGGGCTTCAAGAGCTCCGTGACTCGTTTGAGCAGGTTGGAGAGCGATTTGAGAGAAGGTGGTGCGACGGGTAGCGAGAGCGGAGTGGGCGAAGCGCCCGATGCCGGGCCAGACATGTTGGGTCAGCGAGATGAGGAGGGGGAAATGCTGGGAGGGGGGGGGGGGGGGGGGGGGGGGGAGGGGGGGGGGGGGGGGGGGGGGGGGGGGGGGGGGGGGGGGGGGGGGGGGGGGGGGGGGGGGGGGGGGGGGGATTCGGCAAAGGCTTTTTTGAACTTTTGAGGTGGTGGCTGAATGCGCTGGAAGGCTTTGGACTTCAGCTCACCACCGGCATGCCTGCTGTCGATCGCTGCTGCTGCTGCTGCTTGACGATGTTTGTGGTAGGACGACTGACGTTTCAAGTCAGATACGAAGTCGAGTGGAAAGGATGGAGTGTGGAGCGAAGAATGCAATGGATCTTGTTACACCCAGACAGGCGACTGTTTGTTGAATGAAAGCGAAGCTCAGCCAAGCAGCATGCACCGCACCGCACCTTCTTAATTGAGTCCTCGATCCATTGCCGCGCAGCAAGCACATCACGATTCACGACTCCCGACTGTGACATACAAATCGCGAATGCTCGTTCAATCAAGCCATGCATGCAGCCAGCCAGCCAGCCAGCATCAGCCGCGGGGCTTGCTGAGCGCGTGCATTGCTGTGCGCTCGCTACGCACGGTTCACCTCGCTGCCAACTATGCCGGTACGTCACATCTGATGCTTGCACGCAACACGCATTCGCACCACATTCGTGATTTGTGCTGCTGCTCACTTACAGCAATCGCTTCGAGGAAGGAGTGCGTCGAGTCGAATCTAAATTTTTTTCCTTCCCATGTGCACTCGACATTCAAATGCATACCGTATATCGGTGCTTTCTAGCCGCAAGACGACATTGGTGATTTCATCGCCCCTCAAGAGCCTGCCTGAGGCATAAACACCAGCGTGAATCGACCATTCTTGGCTCACCGAGCGCCTTCCGAAACTGTGTATCGTGGCTCTCCCGAACAAGCGCTCGAGGCTCGGGGGTTGAGGGTCGTAATGAACGGCTGCAGATGGCGCGTGCAACCCAGAAATTGCAATCAAGTCCTTGGATGTGATAAGCCGGAAGCCTAGCTGAATACTTTAGCGCACGCATCGGTGGTGATCTTCCCCCCAGCTCCCGCTCATCCAACATGCACACGCCTGAAGCGCCCATGCACCGAGCCATCTGCGCTCAGTGACGCCATCAAAGCCAAGCACGGGCGGGCGTGGGCGCCCACATTGCATCTTTCACGACTACCAAATTCCTTTCCGCGAGATGTTGATCAACGCTGAATCGCTCCATCTATCCAGTCCAAAATGGCGCTCGAAAGCCGACTCCTCGCTTCTCTCGAGCTCCAAAAATGGTCCGCTCCTGGCACGAGGAGGCTGTTGAAGCCAGTGTCGGAAGGAGCATCCGTTCGCTCATCCTCAGCAACTCCTCGTCTCTCTGCCTCTTTCCCCAATTCCGCTAGCCACTTCTCGTATGCCTGTCACAAAGCAACGCAGCAACCTCGTCAGCGCCTTCGCAGGCGTACCTGCCAACACGAGCATGTGCGGGCAAGATCGACGTTTAGCAACTCACGGAGAGCCTAGTGAATTGATCTCTGTCCCCTTGGATCAAGAGACCACTTCCGCGAACGCATTTTCGAACAGCTTCTTGATGCGAAGTAGAAGCGAATAGGCTCAGTGCCCAACGAACATTGAGCGGATAGGATACGAGCAGGTAAAATGTCTCGTGCGGCTGTGGGGCGGTGTAATGCGAAGCGCTAAGAGAAATGAGCAGCGAAGAGAAAATGCGACGATGCGATCAGATTGAAAAGAGACTTGGCGCGGGTTTGACAGCGGAAAGGTCGCACTTACGCGAGGGAGCCTGCAGAGTAGCCCTGATAGGGATGCATACAACAACCATTTGAATGCGCGAAGGTTTGGGAAGCGTCAGCTGCAGCTGAAAGGGGACGCGTGCGCGAGCAATTCTCAAGGTATGAACAGGGACGACGACGCTCACAGCAGCAAACACCTGGACTTTTTTGCTTCCATCCTCCTCTGCCTTTGCAGCTGTGCATTCTCGATCAGCCAGCACCTGCCTTTCCAGTGCCCAATCAGCCACAGTCTGAAAATCTAGAATTTCAGCTTTTCCGCTCCAGCTAGTTTTGCCAGAACTCGCGCCTGCGCCCCTCGCATCATACGTGTACGTCGTGATGCCGCTTTGCAAGAACACTTGCGCTACGCGCTGGACTGTTGCATCTCTCTGTGATCCACCTAGGGGTGCGTAGGCTGGGTTGGATCATGGGAGCTGGTAGACACGTCAGCTCCAACCTGTAGGGTGGTGGGAGGATTGGGCGCTGGGAGGGTAAAGTTGAAGGGCAAGCTGCATTTTTTTTTTTTTTTAGGCAACTCACGATGCGCAATGATGGCTATACGCCCTTGCTTGCGGGCGCGGGCGCGGGCGCGGGTTGCGCTGGACAGCCTTGCTGCGGGCATCGATGCGCTGCATGCTCTTTCCTGCTCATGGTCCGGGTCCGAAGCAGCCAAATCTGATGAGTGTATGGATGGAGCTGCTGCTGCTGCGAACGATGCGTCGCCTGCTACTGTGTGGTGGATGTTGACCTTGCACTCCGTCACGCTCAATTCGATGTCGTCGGGCGTACGCAGACGATGAGCAGTGCGCGTGATCATGGTACTCTGATACTCCCTTGACGAGCTTCTTGCCATCGATCGCCAGAAGGACGATGGATGGAGTCGAGAGGTAGGAGGCCAATGTCCTGCCCCTAAGCTGGGTCAACAAGGTCACTGCTACTCGTGACTGCTCCGTTGAGTCCCAAGCACTGCCTGTGCTCGAGTGATCTGCCTCCTTGATTTGCTCGCACAAGCTCCAAGTATCTCCTTTTTCGAGATTCAATCTGAACGCAGATAGATGGGGGCAAAGCAAAAGAAAGGGAGGTGCAGCAAGTAGTCACGAGTACAGCACAGCACAGCACAGCACAGCACATCGATGCTCGACTCGACATCATCGACTCGTGACTCTCTTAATTGATTCGCCCTCACCTGTGCCTGCCTGTTCTCCATGCGGCTCGCGCAACTTTGACTCTTGACTGATTCTATGTACAGTAGATCTGTCTTGTGGCAGTGTTGGGCACGTGATGACGGTTTAGCGCTTGGCTGCCGGCTGCCGGCTGTCGGCTTTCGTCTGATGACCGATGCAGCGGCGCCTGCCTGCCTGCCTGCCTGCCTGCCTGCCTGCCTCGCATGCGATGCGCAGCCACAAACGCGCAGCACAATAAGTCACAACACAACGCAGTTAACACAATCAACGCAGCAGCAGCATGCTATGCATGCAGCACGCGGTTAGTCCGGCAGAAGTTTGAAGTTGAAGCTTGAAGCTGAAAAGATGAAGGAGCATCGATCGGTGCTTGTCGATTGATTCAGATTGGATATGAGTGAAGCGCGCAAAGGGGCTATTAACGCAAACATAGCCATTGGGCGCACAGCGCAGCGCACACCGTTTATAGACTCACGACTCACTCCATGCTCATCCACCCCACCAACCACGCAACCTTTCGCAAATCCAGTCCGGGCAACCAACCAATTAAAGGGCAGGAAGCGACGAATCCTCATTAGACTTGGAAAGGAGCGCGCGCGAGCAGAGCAGAGCAGTTTCACGCGAGTCGAGGCGGCCCATCACACGCATCCAGGCTTTGGCTTCTGGGAGGCGGCGGGCGCAAAGCTATACGATGGGCCTGTGGGATTATGGTAGTCGATTGGTGTCTAGCTTGTCGGGCGCGGGTGCGGGTCAGAGTCAGAGTGGCAAAGGATTGATAGCAGAGGTGAATCCGGTGCTGGGTTCGCTCTACGACCTTTCCACTTCACACTCCGCACAAGCACAAGCACAAGCACAAGCACAAGCACAAGCATCCAGCGCATCGCCATCCAACCCCATCCCCAACTCCAACTCCAACTCCATCTCGCCCTCTTCTTTGCCCTCCCTCCTGCGCGCACACGCCCCCACACTGCTTCATGGACCCTTCACACCTACTCGCTGGTTATCCCTGCCCCTCACCTCCCTCGCTTCAGGTCATGCCCAAACCATCTACAGCGTACTGGCCCCCACCCAAAAGCCAGACTACGATCCGGTCAGGTACAAGAGGTATGTGCTGCTCACCACGGATGGAGGCACACTCAGTGTGGATGTTGCCGAACCCGAGTTGCAGGATGCTTGGCGTCATGGTGCGCGGGGTGAGCACACGCACGAGCACGCGGATCAGCAGTCAAAGACCGACGAAAGCAGACCTACGGTGGTCATTGCGCATGGATTGACAGGCGGAAGTCACGAGAGCTAGTGAGTAGAGCGAGCGAGCGAGCGAGCGGGCACGTTGGGAAGCTACCATATATGCAGCGCTCGTTACTCGATCGTCACTGCACACGCGCGCCTCTCTTTACTCTTGGCTAAAAGCTAAGCTGCTCTGCTGTGCGCCCCTTCCCCCCCTCCACGCGCACGCGCAAATCCCCCCCTTTCACAGCGTGCGGCACCTCATCTCCCACCTCGTCACTCCCTCTCCTCAGCGTTCAGCATCCAAATTGTACAGGTGCGCAGTGATCAATTTCAGAGGATGCGCCAACACTCCCGTCACTTCACGACAATTGTACAGCGCCATGAAGACGGCAGATTATGCGAGCGGCTTGTCTTGGATTCGCAATCAATGGCCCGACAGTGTGTGCGTAGGCGTCGGATTCTCCGTGAGTTTTTCCTCTCCTTCCCTTCTTCGCTTTCTCGTCCTCGTCTCATGCGCCTTGCCCTTTCACAACAGCTCGGAGCCAATGTGGTGTCGCGCTACCTGGGCGAGTGGGGCGATCAGGCTCAGCTATGGGGTGCTGCCGTGCTCGCGGCTCCCTTTGACACTCTAGCAGGTTCGCACTCTCTCGAGTCTGGTCTTCTCGGACCCATCTATTCCAAAGCCATGTGCAACAACCTGTCCGCCCTAGCCCGCGCACACAAGGACACGCTCTCCCTCGACAAATCTCTTCGACCAGCTCTTCGACATCTTTTGGGGCCGCCTACTGATCAGACGGACCAGCTGGACAGAGAGAGGCATCAGAAAAGAGGGACGTTGAAATGGGTGGATGATACGCTCACTAGACTTGTCGGGGGTCATCAGCAACCTTTTGGATTGTTCCCTTTTGAAAGCTCACACGCTTACTACTCCAACGCTGGAGCGCTGTCTGTGTTGAAGCACGTGGCTAGACCTCTGTTGGTGCTCAATGCCGACGACGATCCCATCGTTGCGCCAGAGAGCGTCAAGGGCGTACGACAAGTCATCGGTCTAGATGCCGAGCAGGACGTGCATCAAGATGGCTCAGCCCGAGAACGTGGCAATGCGAACATTATCCTATGTACGACGCGAGGCGGAGGACATTTGGGCTGGTGGCAAGGAAATAGGAATCCGACGAGGTGGTTGGCCAAGCCTGTAGGAGAATTTGTGGATGCCATGGTCAAAGGGGCTCAGGATGTTTTGGCTTCTGCTGACGACGCCATGCAGCATTCGGCCGGCCCAGCGCAAAAGAGGAGGACAAAGCAAGTAGCTATCGAAGCGGAGCTTTTGGATTGCGAGCTTCTGCCAGCTTGGGATGTGCAAGCCGAGTCGGAGACGGAGGAAGAAGATGCAAGAAGGACTGAAAGCGGAGACAAGGTCAAGAAGGGCACGCAGACTGCGGGCAATACTACGACTTCGGCGAAAGCCGCGGCGCTAGCTCCTGTAAAAGGAGGAAGACACGCTTGGCTCTTGAGCCCCGTACTGCCCCTACCAAAGGCGGATGCGAAAGCGCACAATCACCTTTTGCATCCCAGCATGAGCTCGAGATACAGCGGACCGGCTAAAGGTCGAGGAGAGATTTTGAAAAGCTTCATGGTGAGCGTCTTGTGTGGCTTGTTCATTGCGCGTTCGAAAGCGTGCCACAAACTTTCGAGGGGGGGCCCCAGTCTCGGGGCCCGTCTGGTGGTGCGCCGCGCATCGTCGCAATGAGTAGCGAGCTGCTACTCCGTCGCAAAAGAGTTGCACGCTGATTTCAAACTTTGATGCATCTCACCTTGCGACATAGACGGTAGACGAAGAAAAACTGGAAATCGGATATTGTCTCTTGCCCGACCATTCGAATGTAGGTGAGTGTTGCATTCCAGCTCGGGGTGGGGTGGGGGAGAGACCGGATGGAATTTCCAGGAGGGGTTCGACACGACCCCCCACCATCTATTTCCCAATTCGCTCATGCATCCTCGTCTCGCACCACAGCTGGAGCAGGATCCATCTTCCGTGGTGGGGTGGATACGCCAGGCTCCAAAGAGAGCGGAGGAGCAGCTACTGGCTCAGGCACTATCCGAGGTCTGTGAATTCCCCCACCCTTTCAAGCCCATGCACGCATAGATCAGCCCCCACCTCTTTCCTGCCTGCCTGCCTGCCTGCCTGCCGCAAGCCGCATCGCTGAGCTTCCATGTACATGTAGCTCATCATCTGGGCACTCGACATTCTCCCACGTACACACGCTCCGCATTTGTGATCCGCGAAAACTCGCCACATTGGGCAAGCATCGCATCGACTTGCGCAATTCCGAGCAACCTTTCAATTTGCCCCTCTCAAGGGGACAAGACAACTTTTCCGACTCTTCTGACTCTTCGCAAAACATTTTGACTTGCTCCACGCGTGCCCCGTGCAGAAGCCGGCGGTGTGGAATCAAGCATCGCATCGCGAGGCTTCGCAATATGGACTTGTAAC